AGCAGTAAGGCCATGGCTGCCTACCACCCAAGCGATCACCAAGACAACAAAGAGGGAAGGCTAGTTCTCGTTGACGAGGAGAATGGGCACGAGGTTGGTGAGGTCAACTCGTACCATGTCCATGCTATCGGTGTAACTCCAGGAAGTAAAGGTATACATGTCCTGCTATGAGTGAGATTGACTGCTATCAGCCATGAATATGATATTGACATTAAAGCAGATCCCGTGGAAATCCAGTTGCCAGAGAATCAACAGGGGACTGTAACCGTAAGTTTAGCGAATTAAACTCCTACCGTATACAGTGACTGAACGATTTGGTTAGGTTCGCCCTGCGCAGCCGGAATATCTCAGGGACTCGTTACACCCAGCATACGCCAAATCGACTCTCGTCAGTACGGCTGCAACGGCTTCGCGCTTGATCGTGACCACGAGTTCCTATGTCGCCAACGCGATCCAGTCTGGAGCAGATGCCTATGTGAGACGCACAAAGCCGAACGAAGTACCGATGGTGTTCGACCCGAGCACTCACGACAGAGTCCGTCAAATCCACAATGTGTCTAGCAGCGCTGCTAAGATTTCCGCACAAACTATTGGACAGGTAACGAAGCACGCTCAAAACCTCGGAGCTCGCATCGCCGGCAAAAACCAAGACCGACCCTCAAGGGGGCAGATTCCAAACCCCGGGTTACTAAACAAGGGGCTCATTGCATTCTCCACCATTGCAGATGGAATCGACCACGCATCTAAAAACCTGTTAAACTCAGGAGCTAATGCCGCCACAACCGTAGTTGGCCATAAGTACGGCGAAGAAGCAAGATCAGTCGCTCATGGCCTGACTGGCTCTGTCACCAATGTGGGTCTCGTCTATGTTGACGCTTCTGGAGTTTCTCGGAGAGCTGTTATCAAGGGTGTAGCGAAGGGCATGGTTATTGGGAAAGTGCGTGGAGGCGGTGATGTCATCGTCCCTGGGCCGCAAGATTCCATTCCAGGCCAACAACTGCAGATTAGCCAAGGATTCAGCACCACATCTCTTCCAGTGAGTGGAGCAACTACCCCAGGCGGGTATGGAAGTGAGGTTGGATTTGGGAATGCCGCGCCACCTTCTTATGGTAATATTCAAGGCACCCAAGGCCTCAACGGTTCGCCCAGTGGTAGCGGATATAACCAAAATTCATATTTTCCTCCGCCTCCACTACAAAGAAGCGTAACGGCCCCACAAACTACAGGGTATGCAAACATGAGATCTATTAGTCCAAGACTATACGAAGGAGTCACTTACCAACAATCTAAGTAGGAACTATCCACCGGAGAAAGTGTCTGCAAACGGGCAGTATAGATACCTCTAAAAATACTCGAGTTTTTTTTACTATCTCTTTCTTTGATAAATAGTTGGTTATTTCGGGATTTGTTTTTGTCTGCGGGCTTGTAGTTCTTATCTTCTTTTCTCTCGAGATCTCATGTTGTTGTTAGGAGTTCGTTTCCGGTTTCTCGACTCCATGCGATTCATATGATATACTTAAGCTTTTATACTTTCTACTAGTACCATTACTTATATTCTCATTATCAGCGATATATAACAATCGTTTACTATTGGTGTACTATTGATAGTTACAATCTTCCAGGAGCTAAAATATGGGATTCCTAGATCTTGTCTCACCTACTTCTATGTTCTCTTGTGTGCGGTGAATGTAAGCTCTAGATTCATTCGCTCTGTCAGAGTCAATTTAGAACCAAACTTCATCTGCAGCTGACTATTGGCTTGATAAGGACAATCACAAGCTATCACACGGCCATTAGTACACCTTGTGTAACGGATATCAAGCCACACTAACTACATACATGTATGTATGTACATGTACTTAAGCACATCATGTATCTACATGTACCTACTCTGTCAGGATCCGGAAGTGACATATGCACAACTAAACTCTCATATTTCAAAAACCCACGCGGATGCACCTGGCTATTGTCGCCTTCGCATCCTCTGAACAATCCACGTAGGGATAATTTATACGGCATTATAGATCTCATCACTCATCAACACGCTTTCATGCTTCGATTCCGACGCTTCACAAACTAGTAGCGCTCAAATAACATATAGTAGTTAATGTACAATACACCTAAGGATCAAAGACTTCTCCTCCTCATCAAAGCTATGGAAATGTCACGTATATAAACATATTCCCATGAAAGGATCACAATGTCTTTGCTAACTCCTGGGCAACGACCTTGTGTACAGGGGCTGTTGGGTGCAGATTGTTGAGCCAGAAGTACTTGTTGACTGGTATAAGGCACTCGTCATACAGCGTGTCTTGAGCGGGAGTACCACTATTTCGGAAAATAAGATGGTTAGTAAGAGACACTAGGATGGAGGATAGATCGATGGGAACTACTTTGTATAACTCTCACAATACCCGGTGGCGTTCTTCAATCCATATTTACTCGGGTTGTCTATAATCTTATTGAACAGCTTGTTTGAGTCAAATACTTGAGCCCACACATCATTATGGGCCTTCTTCAACGCTTTAACCCTCGTTTCAACCATCCCGTTGTAGATGCCGATCGCCTCCGCCTCCAAAGCCACAGACTCCGCACCCTGGCCGACGGTGAGTGGGGAGCGGTCAACCGGTGGAACATTAACGAAGACGAAGTTCCTCGCGCCAGTGGTGTACAGCTTTTCGACCAAAGCAAAGTACTCATCCATCAGCACTGCGTAGAAGTTTTCCAGGTCTCCATTCCAGTAGCTGTTTCCGATATCGTTGATGCCGATCCAGATCAAGAAGAGACTGTCGGACGACTTCCATGGTGCGTAGGAAGGCTTGGGTCCAAGAATGGGGACAAAGAGTCCTTCGACTTGGTCCTTGAGGGATAGTACCGTGGGTGTGTAGGGAGTGACGAGGTCGGCATCGATTGTTGCACCACCTGGAGTTACCAGTTATTGACAGAACGACTTATTTGATTCAGAAGGGATTTACCATAGGCAAGGTTGTACGTCAACAGCTCAGTCTTGTTGAACTCGACAGTCAGGTAGTCAACCCAATTTGGACCGCTAGTTTTTGTTTAGCAACAGAAAGAAATAAGTCTCGTTTAATACACAAACACTCACTTTGCTGAGGTCCATCCAGGGTATACTGGGTTCCCCAGCGGGTTTCCTGATGTTGGGAGAGGTGACCCATTCGTCAAGTTAAAACCAGTTTGGGTGTAAGAATCACCTCTGCATCAATCTGTTAATCATTGCATGCTCTAGGATCTACGATCAGAAAGACCTACAAAGTGAAGAGGTATTTCAAGTTCTTGAAACCTGGGTAGACCTGTTTCGAAGCCCTTGGCAACACACTGGCAGACCCAAATGCAGAGCATAAGCTCAAAGCGACCACTGCGGTAGATGATAATGAGGGGAACATGATGCTAGGACCGAGCTATTGAGTCTGGAGAAGGCGAAGAATTCTTGGATGAGTGGGGATGGGTGTAGAGACCTGAATGAACACCACCTATTTGTACCTCCCATATTTGCAGGTCTTCAGGGGAAACCTTTTTGATTAACAACCACAAACCAGAGAACTTTGATTGAAAATCTCAATCAAGAAGATTCAACCGGAAATCATGGGTGGGGAAGCCGATACCGAACTCGTGGGTATTACGGAGGAAAGGAGGTGGGAGCTCATCGCTGAAAATTGATTGAGTTTTTTCCATTTGTAACATTCATATGGCGAGCCTTTGGAATATGGGGCAATGTCTGGATATTTATTATACCCGGTTTATTGACTTTATACTTATTTAAGCCAAGTTAACCAGGAGACCCCGGGGGATCGGCCCGTGGGAGCCTTCATATATGCTCAAAGAGGTTGAAGTACTCGGTCAATCAAGCCGGTAAATATGATAAATGGACCCATGGGTTGGGAGAAGAACTTCCCGCGGCAGGAACAAACGGTATGTATATATACTCTACAGGCAAACACACTGGCGCGGAGAATCCTTAGTGCACACTAATGTGAAGCGAAGAATCTGGAGAACCCTGGTTTTGTAGCTAAATACCCCGGAATTCAGGGGTCATGGATACAGCGGATCAATGCTTGGTCTCTTAAGCCATGTATCAACTATACATGATACTATTCCTCCACTCCTTAGTCTCTAACCAGAAAATTAATTGAAAAAGAGATTATATGCTGCGCAGCTGCAGGAAGGAACGAGATATGTACTCCACGGAGTTTCCCGCGTCATTTTTTACAACTCGGATTAACTTGCGAATGACTCTAGTTCTCGAACTACTAGCTTCTACATTTACCAGTGTAGTTGAAAGAAAGAAAAGAAAAGAAAGGAAAGAAAAAGAGGTTGCAATTGACACTATTTTCACATAAGTATGCATCAGACAAAAGCTCACGGCCCTGTACGACCGCTTTTAGAACAACATTCTCATCTAGAATCATTCGTTAGACGTAGGATGCATTGTCCAGGACAAAACATCCGCTTTAACTAGAGATTTTATCAAATAATGCCCAGGCCTATTGATTCTATTAGGTTGACATTTTGCGCACAGACGATCTCCACATACATGTATATATCAGTGACTATAGCTAGCTAGTGCCTGATATGTATATCACACACACTCCCGCTATCTCGATCGCAGTATCCGGGGTATCCCTTAAGCTGTCGATGCTGACCCCCCTATAAAAGAGGAATTAGATTTGTATGAGAGATCTATTATTTGATAAGAGAGATCACGGGATCTGTTAGTAATTAAAGCCACACCGAATCTGCTTTTTTTTTTTTTTTTTTTTTTGGGGGGGGGGGGGGGAATCAGTATTTTCGCGACAGCTTAAGGGATAGAATAAGATATGTAAATATTATCATCTTCGATATAACCAAAATCTGCCACTAACCCGTGCGGCTTATCAGCGCAGCTTCTCGACGCACTTTTTATTATTTATCTCTTCCTGCCAGTCTCGGACAACACTTAGTTAATCCACTTGTATAATGGCCTTTGTTTCTTCTTTCTCGCTTTACTAGATTTCTCCCTTATGTAAAACCCACAAAATCATTAAACCACCAGACAGCGAAATCCCAGGGTCCACAAACCAGATCTAACTCTGCTGCCAAGCCATGTTCATCTGCAAGCCTGCCGATCTCCGTTACACACAGTTCAGGCACCCCACAATACCACATACCAATGGTTGAAATACCCACAATTTTCTGCACGCTAAGTTGGAAGGCCTGAGATGCCAGCAAAAATTTCCTTATTCCCCCCGCGATAAGGACGCCTATTTAGACAATGAGCCGTTAGTTGTTCTTTCTTTCCTCCTCTCAATTCCATTTTACTGCGGTAGCGAATTAGTGAGGGCCCCCATTACACATTGAGGCCAATATAGATATTATACACCGGCAGGGCAAGAAAGACCTACATCTCAGAGAATTTCTCTCGTCGGAGAGCAATAATTGCAAGCCGAGTTAGCCATGGACGAACTCTCCTTTGCCCTCGCAATCGAGCTGCAACTACGTGATGTCGAAGAGGCACTCTCCACCCGCAAAGGCAAAGGCCGTCTTGGTGACGCAGTCAGCTCCAGCGACGAGGTCGCATTCAATGACTACCGCGAGCACCTCCTCTCCACCGCTCGCATACTCGCCGACGAGCGGCTTGCAGAGAGCCTTGATCGGGCTGTCAGGAGTGACGGAGGACTTCTTGAGGAGCTAATGAAGCTTGAGCTGGGGGACGAGGGGAGTCGGGAGCTAGCGATGCAATTGTCGGAGGAGGCGGTGATGGTGGTGCCCGAGGAGAAGAGTAGGAATGATATGTGGAGGAGTATGGCTGTTGTAGAAATAGGGCATTGCGACATCGGTTATGTATGGAATTACTCATGTATAAGGGATGACTCATAGAAGGAACAGGGATTCAGACAAGGCTTAGTGACAGGGATTATGTAATCAGGGGATCACGTGGTATTAGAATATCTGTATATATAGAGCGCTCAAACACCCACACTGTCGCTGGAACTTCAGCGGCGCAATAGTATCTTCTTCGCACTACAAACACATCCTCCCTCAAGGTCACGTGTTCAAACCACATTCAAGTCATTTTCTCCCACACTACAAACTTCAGGTTATGAGCCCGGGTTTTGCCAAATAAAATCCGCACAACACTCGCCACATTCGGTTAACTCAATTACACTTCATACAACATCATGTCTGATGCTGGTGAATCATCCAAGGCCGTGGAGGTTAAGTCCTCAGACAACACGAGTCCCAGTAACATTCGCATCAAGTTTGATGGACTCCCAAAATTAAAGGGACAATCCAACTACCAAACTTGGGCGTCTGCCTGGAGGATTACATTCGATGCAGCAGACTGGTGGGAAGCATTGAGCATCGAAAACCCCTCAGAAGATGACACAGACCTCACCAAGGCCGAAATCAAAAAGGCCCGAAAACAAATGCACAGCCTTCTCATTGGAGCTGTAGCCGAAGACATACAACCAACAGTCGTCTCCGCCGAAAATGCATACCACGCATGGAAGGCGCTCAAAGACCTCTACGATCGCGTATCACCAAACACGACGATCACCCTCCTCAGCCGTGTTCTAGACACGAAGATGCAAGACAACGGTAACTTAACCGAGCATCTCGAGATCTTCAACACGAACTGGAACACTCTCAAAACCAGGTGTCAGAGCGGCGACCACAAACTCGCTCAGGCCCTGCTACCCCTCACCAAATCCAACGAAGCAATGGCAGCATTCCTACTTGCCTCACTGCCGAAGTCGATGAGCAACGTCGTCGATAACATCCAGACTAAACAGGATGTTACATACGAAGATGTACGCCAACGGCTACAAAACCTACAAGAGGAAACCCCTCTCACTGGCAACAACAGGGTACTTCATACCAGGAGTACCCCAACACCAAACGGCAAGGAATGCACCTGGTGCAAGAAACGGAATAACCCGTACCAGGGCCACGAGTACAAGGAGTGTAGAAAGCTCAAAGAACAGAACAAGACAAGGGATTCAAACAGAAGGAGACCAGGCAGAGATAACTCAGCGTCTGTAGTTATCAACGAATCATCCACAACAGTATGCATGGTACGCACCGATACTTCACCCTCTCTGCCCCTTACCTGGATCCTTGATTCTGGAGCTACTTCTCACGTAACACCTTTCAAAGACCAACTCTTCAACATCCGTTCTCACACCAGCACAGTCCGAACAGCCGACGGCACCATCCACGCTGTCACCGGATTGGGAAGCGCTAGTTTCGAATGCTACCTTCCCAATGGAGATAGATCCACCGTTGTCCTCACCGACGTGCTGCTGGTCCCAACCATGGGAAATGTGGGATTGGTCTCAGAAACAATACTCGACGAAAAGGGGTTTAGAACAGAGTCAGGAGGAGGAAACAAATTGGTCACGAAAGAAAAGAAAGGAATAATTTGGGCGAAATTGGATAAGGGACTTTGGAATGTACAAGTAGTTAGCAATACAGTTCGCTTGACCACTTACTCTGAATGGCATCAAGCACTAGGCCACCCTGCGACACTAGAAAACTTGTACGAAGACATCCATAAGCTACCCCCCAAACCAGAAACATTCCATTGCAGTCAATGCGCACTATCAAAAAGTGTGCACAAGAAACCTGCACCAATTAGTACAAGATCCCAGCGAGCATTCGAACTAATCCACTCTGACCTATCTGGAAAATTCGGCACACAATCGCAAGGAAAAGCCCTGTACTATATGTCCTTCATTGACGACTATACCCGCTTCGCCTGGATATATCTGCTAAAACAGAAAAACGATGCGATAAAAGCCATCAAAGACTACGTCACGAAAATCGAGAAACAGTACAATACAACAATACTGAGATTTAGAACGGACGGTGGTGGTGAATACGTCAACAAAGACACAATGGATTACTTCAACCTACAAGGAATAGTCCACGAACAGACTCCCCCATACACTCCTGAATCAAATGGAGTTGCAGAACGATTCAACAGGACGATAACAACAATGGTCAGGTGCATGATCATGGACCATCCTAAATCGTTATGGGGTGAAGCATACTCAACAGCTGTCTACCTCAAAAATAGGCTACCCCACAGTACGCTAAAGGGAAAGACCCCCTTCGAAGCCCTGAAAGGTTCAAAGCCGAGTATCCAACACCTTCAACCATTCGGAAAGAAATGCTATGTCCACATCCCAGAAAACTCTAGGCCAGCAGGAAGCAAACTAGCACCCCGAGCACACGAAGGAATCATCGTCGGATACTCAGACAGTACCAAACATTACCGCACCTGGATAGGATCACAAAATAGGTTAGTTGTAAGTCGAGATGTCACATTCCCCCCTCCTGAATCAGGGGAAGTCTCCGTGGAACTCGACTACACCCCTATCCTGAAACCAGAAGCGGCACCTGCACCGACAGACGACGGATATGAATCAGAAGACAGGCCTGATCAAGAACCCGAATCGTCAGCACTCGAAGAAGACCTTGAAACAGACGCAAGTAGACTGGGGGCCGGGCTTACGAGGCCCACTCCTGGACGTCACCTCGAACAAAGTAATAAACAGGAAGCTAATCAGGAAAATACAGAAACACCTCCCCCGGAACCACCAAGGAAATCGAAACCTTGGAAACCAACAACCGAAAAGGAGAAAGAATCTGAAGTCCCGCATCCTGTCACAACAAGAAGATCGAATCGCATCCGTGAAAGAACGGAGAAACAAGCAGCACTTGATATCGAAGGGAAAAGGAAGGAAATCCGACTGAAAATATCGGAATTAGGAACCACCTATGACAAGGAGGTATCAGAGATACTAGCCGATGAAGATATGGACGAACAAACCAAGCAACTAGCAATGGAAGCAGTCAGTCTAGACCACAAAAAGGACAAAGCAAAGCTCCAAAGCCAGTACGACAACCTGGATTCCACCATACATCGGGTACACCTAGTAACTGAACCTACCACCTTCAATCAAGCAATGAAAAGCGATGATCAACACCTATGGAAGAAGGCAATACAGACAGAGAAAGACGCCCTCGACAAGGCCCACACCTGGGACATTGTCGACAGACCAACCAACCGAGCAGTAGTCAGAGGAAAATGGGTATTTAAGGTAAAACACAACGCGGACGGAACAATCGAAAGATACAAAGCTAGATACGTCGCCAAGGGCTTCACCCAAGTACAGTATCAAGACTATGATGAAACCTTCGCCCCCGTTGCCCGATACGATTCCCTAAGACTCCTACTTGCACTAGCCGCACACAACGGTTGGATACCACAACAAATGGACGTCAAGTCAGCCTTCCTATATGGTATACTTAAGGAGGAAATCTACATGGAACTACCTGAAGGCTACAGGCAGGACCACAAGGTTTGTAAACTTCGAAAATGCATATATGGACTAAAACAATCACCCCGTGAATGGTACGCTTGCCTAGCAGACTCCCTTCAACGGAAAGGATTTGTCCCAGCCAAATTCGACCCATGTGTCTTCATACATAAGAAACACCAACTATACATATCGGTGTATGTTGACGACATCATGATATTCGGACCCGACTCCCCATTCAGAAACGAAATCAGACAACTACTTAAGGCAGATTTCGAATGTACGGATCTCGGTAATGCGAAATTCCTACTGGGAATAGAAATAACGGTAACAAAGAACGGTATCACGTTGTCACAACTAGCATACATCAACAAAATCCTAGACAAATTTGGAATGAATAACTGCAAACCAGTTGGGACACCACTCGAACCAAATCTGAGTCTTCGTAAAGGAGAACCAGAAGATCAAATCGAGAAACCAACTGAGTATCAATCCATAATTGGATCACTCATGTACGCCAGCATAGCAACCAGACCTGATATCACCCATACCGTTACTGCCCTCTCTCAGTACTCCTCATGCCCAACTGAGGACCACCTACGAGCAGCCAAACGAACTCTCCGATACCTCAACGGAACCAAAGACTGGAACCTGTTCTACCCGAAAGGAAACACTAGAACACTCGATGGTTTCTCAGACAGTTCCTACGCTTCAGACTTAGATGACAGAAAATCGTTCTCAGGATACGTGTTCAGACTAGGAAAATCAGCCATAAGCTGGAGAAGCCGGAAGCAGAAATCAGTCGCAGTCTCAACAACAGAAGCCGAATATATGGCTCTGTCCCTAACAGCTCGACAACTGGTATGGATTCGCAACGCCTTATGCGAACTCCAACAACAATACCAATACAACATCCACGCCGACAACACAGGGTCCATCGAACTCTGTCGGAACCCACGTATCCACGACCGGTCCAAACACATCGACGTTCACTATCACTACACACGTGAACAACTCGAAGCCGAAACCTTCAAACTCCTCTATGTCCCAACCGAAGACAATGTTGCAGACATAATGACCAAAGGACTACCGAAACCAGCTCACCAAAAATTGTCAGAATTGATACGATGTGGCAAGTGAGGGGAAGTGTAGAAATAGGGCATTGCGACATCGGTTATGTATGGAATTACTCATGTATAAGGGATGACTCATAGAAGGAACAGGGATTCAGACAAGGCTTAGTGACAGGGATTATGTAATCAGGGGATCACGTGGTATTAGAATATCTGTATATATAGAGCGCTCAAACACCCACACTGTCGCTGGAACTTCAGCGGCGCAATAGTATCTTCTTCGCACTACAAACACATCCTCCCTCAAGGTCACGTGTTCAAACCACATTCAAGTCATTTTCTCCCACACTACAAACTTCAGCTGTAGGGACGGGGGTGGAGATGACGGATGAGGCGATTGAGGCGTTGGAAAGGAGGTGTCAGGAGTGGGATTTGGTGGATGAGCTTGAGAAGAAGAAGAAGGTAGATATTCCGTTAAGTCATTGCCTGTTTCTGTTGGCGAGGATAGCCTGGGAGAACTTGTGCATGATGTTGTGTGTTTTCAATCTCTTTTGCTCTCAAAGCTCTAAATCCATGTAATCCAGTGTAGAGTAGCTGCAATTCGCTCCACATATATTACTAAAGCCTTTGAGACCACACACTGACAAGGAAAACAACAGCTGTCGACCGCAGGCCCCTCCTCCTCTGGTGCTGGCACCTATAAACCTGGCGCCAGAACCCCCCACTTTAAAATTGCCCATTCCGGAACCACCTACTCTGGCGCCAATACCTACAAGTCCCGCGCAGACTGCGCCATCTGTCTCGAGTCCTTCTCTACCGAACACACTATTACCGCTCCCTGTAAGCACACTTACTGCTTCACCGACCTCAAAGACCTCTTCATCCGCGCTTGCAAAGACGAACAACTCTTCCCCCCGCGGTGCTGCAAGCAAGAGCTATCCGTCGAGCTCGCCCTCCCCCTCTTGAACGACGACGAGGCAATCGAATTCCTTGAAAAAAGCGAGGAATTCACCTGTAAGGACCGCACGTACTGCTTCCAGCCATCATGCTCCCGCTTCATCCCGGCCGAGAACATTTCGCGCGATGTAGCGACCTGTAACGATTGCTATTCACGGACATGCAAGCTGTGCAAGAAGGAGGAGCACGACAGCGAAGACTGCCCCGACGATCCGAGTATGAAGCTTACGCTTGAGACTGCGGCGGCAAACGGATGGCAGAGGTGCCAGCAATGCCATTCGCTTGTGGAGAGATCGCATGGGTGCCAGCATATGACGTGCAGGTGAGTACTCCGAACGATATAGCAGACACCCACTTGGTGATATTAGCTAAGACAGATGCTGTATCACAGATGTAAAGCCGAATGGTGCTACCGCTGCGGCGTCACATGGAAAACGTGTGAGTGTGGTGACTGGGACGAGGACCATATTCACCGGCGAGCGGAGGATCTGGCCATCCGCGAGATGGGCGCCGGTGCCGGAGTGCGGGCGTTGGCGGTGCGCGCGGGGGCGATTGTGGCGGACCTCAGGGTTAACCATGAGTGTGAGCATACGGAAGGGTGGACGTACACGCGCACGGCGGCGAGGTGCGAGATGTGCTCGGATTTTCTGCCTAACTATATTTTTGAGTGTGATGGATGCAGGCTGAGGGCTTGCAATAGATGTCATATTAACAGGATATAGGCGTTGTGTAGATGTATAGGTTCTGAATACAAAGTGGCATATATATATATTGGCGCTGATAGAGTGTCTGGGGGTTTGCGTGGCAGCTCAGAGGTTGTGCTACTAAATGATAACACTTCTGATCAAACAGCATAGGTTCTAATGAAGAATTTGCGTATGGAGGTCGACATCTCTCTGTAATGGCCGTCCGAATTAATGCAATTACTTTATAATTGTGCTCGATAATCATTGGCTACAATCCAGGCTTGGCATTTAGCATCACAGACTATCACTCGCACAAACCTCCAGCAGACATACCCTACAGCGGACAAAGAGAATGGGACAGAACAGTGCAACCAGAGTCCGCCGTATCCCACTAACTACTATCAGTATAATATAGGGTCCTTTTCTCGGCACAACCCTGAGTCTGTAGTTACGGTTACCCAGCCCAGCCTCACGAAGCCCCCTCTACCAAGAACCCACCTCCCCCGTAAATAAAATAAAATACCCATAACCACGTACCGTCTCTCTTCGCCTCCACAACACAATTCTCAAGTCTCTTGGAACCCACCACATTGCCCGCAATGTCTACGGCCGCTCCAAAGAAGAATATGATGTGTTATGTTCTCATCAACACTCCTCCCGCTGGTAATTGGAGGGGGGAGTACAGTTTTCCAGTAAAGGAGGAGGAAAAAGAAGATGATGCTCCCATGTGGATGTCGGCGTTGCTTTTGCCTGAAGCAAAAAAGGTCAAAAAGGAACCAGCGTCGCCATCTAAAGCCGACAGGAAAACCATGTCCGCACCAAAAGCCGACAAGAAGGTGGCGCCAACACATAAGGCCAACAAGAAGGAGATGCCAACACCTCAAGTGAACAAAGAACAAATGTCAGCGCCTAAAGTCAACAAGAGGGCACTGCCAGAGCCTGAGGTCGACATCTCAGCACCTGAAGTGGACAAGGAAGAGTCCTACCACCCCTCGTTCGACGAGGTCGAAATAGATAGTAAGTCAAATAGTTCATTCCTACAGTATAAAGTGACTTCTAACACAGCAACTAGGCGCCGGAAACATGAAGCTCGTGCGCGTTCGCAAGAAGCGCAAGCTCAAGGCCCCAGGCCCCACCCCCGAGGAGCTCGCTGCCCGCGATGCTAGTATTAAAACTCTTCTTTTATGTCCGTCACTCCCCCTCCCTCTCTCCCCCAACCCCACACTAACACACACTTCAGCCAAACGCCTCAACTTCACGGCTCACACGAGCTGCGCTGAAATCCACAGTTGGCTTGAGCACATGAACAACAAATACCTCGAATGGCACATCCACACCCGCCTCGTCACGTACACGGACCGCCGACGCAAACTCAACGAGATTTCCCGCATCATCCGAGGCCCCCTCCCAGAGGCCTTCAAAAAGGCCGAAAAGAAGGACTGGAACCTCCCCTCGTGCCTTAGCAGCGGGCTCTACAGCGTCCGCACCACTGGTACCATCTTGATGTTCTGCGCGCCCATCTGGAACCCAGTCCAGCTGCAGGGGCGCATGGTCGCCTTCCACAACTACGTGATTATCTACAAGAACCGCACTCTCATCCTCGCCGACCCGGGCTACAAGTTGGAGGCGAAGAACATCGTTGACGGCGTTCCCGGGAAGTGGCGCGAGTGCGAGCTCACGTATGGGCTGGGCCTTGCGGCGAAGTTCATGGCGATGGTGAGGAAGAAGTTTAAGGTGGAGAAGTGCTGGTATGGGAAGGGGTCAAAGTTGCCCTATGATGATACCAATGGGAATGTCTTGTCTCAGGACTTCATTCTGCAGTATTTGAATGAGAAAGCGAGGGAGCAGATTGATTGGGAGAAGGAGGGGTTTGTCGAGCTTATACCTTAAGTGGGTGTAGGCTGGCCACGTGGGTACAGTGGTGATTAAACTAGGGTGATAAAAATAAGTCACATAGTCAAGTAGAAAAGGTCAATTGGGAAAGATTGAAAAAGGTTGGGAAAGGTCAGATAAGTCCAAGAAAATATACTGGATCTGTTTTAACTCTTAAAATCTTCTTACTTGCAGTCCTTTAAAGCTCCGAACTATCAACTATATAAACCTCGTGACATATTGTAAACACTGTGCTGTATGATTGGGCGTAGAGTTACGTGATTTAGTCCAGGAACCGAAATGGTCCCTTCAAATAATATATATAAGCAAGGGAATATTCCAGGGAATAGTAGGAATAAAAAGAAGAAAACAAACAACAGAAACAACCCAATAAAGACAAAGACCGCCAGCCCACATCCTCCATCACCTACCTATGCCAAACAGGAATACTTCTCACTAGCTAGAAACAAATAAATAGAACAAAACCCCAAAACCACACCTCCCCAAAACAAAACAAAACCAAAGAACTTCCCAAACTTATTACCATCCAACCAGTTTTCCAACCATGAACGATCAATTAACCCTTTCTTACCAGCAGGGTTTTCAAGCCGGCTACCTAGCTGCCTTCCACGCCTCTCTTCAGATATTGCCCGAGCCCATGCGGGCCGCCTTGCAAGCCGCTGCGGCACCTCCTGCCCAACGTGTCCAAATACAGGTCGCTGAGAGCGCCGATGTTTCCGCAGATTTGGAGGTTGATATCTTTAACTTGCCTGAAGAGGGGGAAGAGGGGGAGGGGAAGGAAGAGGGCGAGGAAGAGAAGGAGGAGGAGGATGAAGAAGAGGAAGAGGACGAAGAAGACGACGAGGAGACTGAATCAGACACGCCTCCCCCCGCATCCAAGCGCCGTTGTCCCCCGAGACCCGGCTACTACTAACGCTGTCTCCCCGTTAGTCCCGCCCCTGTTATCGATGCCACCTCTCTTATCCTCGCGGTCGTCTCAAACCTAGGCCTGCATACTATCGAAGACGGGCCTCACGCCAATCCTTAAATCAAGCCTTTTACTATAAATCTCATTAAGATGTTTTTCTTTTTTAAAAATAAAAAAATAAAAATTCTGGACCCACGCGGGCCCAGTCAGTCACATTCTTACTTCGGCGCATACAGTGTCAAAATTTCTGGTCTATATATCATTGGCCCATGCATACCACATTCCTAATTGGTAGATATATGTATACGTAACTGCCATGAGGGAAGAATACATCAGGAAGGGGTACGCTACTTCGAAACAACCTTTTCGCTGTGTTTTTCGCTGTGTTTTATTATGCGTAACGAGCGCAGGGTGTGGATTTGTCCATGACCCTATTTATTGGTCGACGAAGCAGCCGTAAGTCCAGCCCACACTCAGCGACTAAGAGCTTGTGTTGATACATGTATGTAACATGGTAGCTTCATATTAATGAATTAAACAAAAAAAAAAAAAAAAAAAAAAAAAGGGTAGCTTCATGATGTATCACTCGACAACACTAGCTGCATTAATTGGCGCGAGAATTCAGAATCGGTCAAGTATTGGGAGCTCATAATTATACATATAAATTAACGACATAAAAGAATAAACAAATAAAAGCCCATCCCAAAGAAGGTCTAATAAGAAGTTGGAGAATAGAGAATAAAAAATAAGAAGAAATAAAAAATGAACCAAAAAAGAGGGCGGTTTTCCCAAAACACCCAAGAAGTAACCCAGACAACCAGCCGACCAACCGACAATCACCTAACCCATCTACATCTATCTATTAACCACCTTTTCTAACCCCCTCCCACCATCACCACACGAACACCATCTACTTGGCCGCCACCACCGCCTTCTTCTTGCTATTCTTCGGCACTCTCGCCAGCCAGTAAATAACGATGGCCATTGAGAGATTGAACACAGAGTAACACAACATCAACCCAAAGTTTCTCCAGCGGTCGCCGTAATCGATCGACAGCGCCGACAAGAACGTGTTGGTATCCGCGATTGAGCAATATCTACAGTCCGCAGTCGCTGTCGGGTTAACGATAGTTCCGCCAGCAACTGACATGAACGGCTCCAAATAGTCCGCACATGTCTGATTTGAGGGAGGGTTGAAGATTGTGAACTCGATATTGGAGCAGTGGACTTCGGCGTTGGCTATAGCCGTTGAGAGCATAGCACTAATGAGATATGTGAAAGGCGAAACGCGGTACATGAAGATCCAGAAGCCGGGAAGACTGTCTACAGTAGCGAGGACACTGTTATAGGGTTAGCAGCCGAATTCTCAGAAAATCCGTAAGAGAGGAAGGGAGGCTCACCCGCAAAACATAAACACCAACATGAACAACAAGTTTGCCAAATTGCTTCCCGCCTCTGCGGTCTCGATCCCGGCAATCATCATGTGTGCGAACGTGGACGTAAACATGTAGAACGACCACAGCAACAAGAACATCAAACCACCACGCTCAGCGGTAGAGCCGGTAGCTTCAGCGTTTCTGAACATCCCAATGGGGTAATACCAGAGGAAGAAACTGATGACACACATCATCGTCTGCCATGGGAGCTCAACAATGATTGATGAAAGGATGAATGCTTTCCACGAATAAGCCTTTGACGGACGCTCTCGAGCCTCGTAGAGACTGCGCTGGATCACAAAGTGAGGCATGATCTGTTCAACGATGGTACCGAAGATTGTCATGAACAAAAAGACGGAGAACATCTGGTTCTGGAGGCCTTGTAGGGAATTCTCGGAGTTAAGGAAGGAGAGACCAATCAGGAGGGATGTCGCTGTGCAAAGGAAGATCTTCGAATAGATATAGGACGGTGTGCGCCAAGTTTGCTGGAATACACGCATGAGGCACATCTTCAACTGGTACGAGAACGGCATCGCAAACTCCTCATGGCTATGTCCATCAGTTGAGCCTCCGCGGCCTCCAAGATCTGCCTGCATATCATCCAGTTCCTTCCTAACCGCAACCCGCTCAGGACTATCCAACCAAACCTGTGGCCAGTCCCTGGCAGAAACAGCTCCCGGTGCAGCACCAATGACCTCAAGCATCCACTCAGCCGGGTTTGCGTCAGGAGGGCAAGGGTGCGCTCCGTTCTTCTCAAAGTATCCAGTCAAGACGTGTGAGTTCTCACCAATCTCTCCAAAGTACACTGTCTTACCACCCTTGGCAAGGAACAATAGGCGGTCAAAATTCTGGACTAAAAGGGCCGACGGTTGATGGATAGTGCACAAAATTGCCTGCCCGCTGTTTGCCAGTTTCCTCATCAAGTCGCAGATGGACCAGGCTGTCTGACTGTCAAGACCGGAAGTAGGTTCGTCGAGGAAGAGTAGGAGTGCAGGTTTTGCGGCAAGCTCAACACCAATTGTCAAGCGTTTCCGCTGCTCCACGTTCAGTCCTTCTCCAGGTACACCGACGATTGCTTCTGCGTATTCCTCCATTTCCAGAAGCTTGATGACCTCTTCAACATAGTCCAGTTTCTCCTTCTCAGGCGTAGTTTTTGGTTGGCGCAATAAAGCACTGAAGATCAAAGCTTCTCGTACAGTGGTGGTCTGAAGATGTAAATCCTGCTGTTGAACGTACCCGGTTTTCCGCTGGAAAGACTCATCCCGCTGCTGGCCATTGACGAGCATATCACCGGTAACAACACCCATGGTAACTCGACTAGCAAGAACATCCAAGAGCGTAGTCTTTCCAGCTCCCGAGACACCCATCAGCGCAGTCAAAGTTCCAGGCTTAACCCATCCATCCACATGATCCAAGAGACGTCTGTGTTCCTTCTTGATCTGAATATCATAGCACACATCCCTCCACATGAAGATATCTGTCTGTTTTTGAATCGCCGCCAACTTCTCGCTGGTCGCATTTTGTGCCACCACCGGCCGTCCCGTAGCAATGGCTTCTCCGTCAACACCTTGTTTCCTCATTTTCTGGAGATGCTTCTTGCGGAACAGCAGAACTTCACCCTTGGACCTCGCCGCAGCAATGTACTCTGTGCCAGCAAGATATGTAAACAGGAAGAAGATCATGAACGCGAGGATAATGCCGAGGTTGCGCCAGAGATGTCCGTGCTCATACTCATAGGTGGTGGAAATATAGTTACCACCGTTGACTGTGGACCTTCCCGTGACGGCGCCCTTGACACTACATGATTGTTGATCAGGGGTGACGTTCTCATATCCAGGCCCCGATGGGATATAGATAGAGCACCCAAACTCACGTCCGTGGAATTCGTTAACCATCAAACTCTCAAAAGCGTATGCGATTGGATTAAGGTAATTAAACCAGCGCAGGAAGACCGCCATGTCGCGGACGGGAATGGCAAAACCAGTATAGACCACCAACAGGAGAATCAGTACAGCGGCGGGCGCCATGGCTTGCGAGATGGTACGCGAGAAGGCAGCAATGGTGCGGAACATCATGGACATGCAGAGTGTGACTGTGAACGAGAAAAGCAGGAAGATGAAGAAGTGGTCGGCCTCACGACGAAGGTTGGCCATGAAATATACCGTTGTATTGAAGGTGAGCGTCACGATAATTTTCGCCGGGAGATCACATATCATGGATGCAACGGCTTCGGCGAACGGATGATAAAGAGCATATTGCGTGTGTTTTTCGACGATGGGACGTTGAGCGTAGAGAGTGAGAATCTATGATCAAAGTTAGAATTTCCACAATCCACAACCACCATGCAGATGTCCACGGGGGTACATACTTCCAAGATACTAGCAAAAGCATTCATCAGAACTGCGAAAAAAAGCAAGGCCCCCTCAAGAAGAAACTAGAGGTGTTATCTTTAAGATCATAAAAAACACTACCAACGATTAATCCAATAATCATGTTTCCGAATACCGTATTGCAAAAGTTTGTCAGATCACCCCCCAACCGCTGGAAGCCACGTTTTATACACAGCTTTATTTGCATGGGTACTGAGATAGTGTAGGGAGACTCAATCCGCATTCTTTTCGCCTGTTGGGCCGCTCTTGACTGCTTGAACTTCTCCAACTGCTCGCCGGCGACCGGGTACTGTTGCTTGTAAGAGTCAATATCCTGCAGAAGCCTCTTGCACTCTGCGCTCTTCTTCCAGACATCTGCAAACTCATCGGGAGTACGGGGAACCCTGTTTTCGAAGCCTGGCTTGACCTCACGTTCGCTCGGGCTGGTCAGGGATGTAAGGAAATCCGCGGTTGTTTGTCGTTGCGGGCAGTGGAAACCCATATTCATGAAGAAGGCCTTTGCGCTCTCGGTGGGGCCAAAATAGATCTGCCTGCCCTCGTATAGCACGATAACTTTATCGAACAGCTAAATAGAAAAAAAAGAATTAGCTTCAAAAATATTCAAAGCAATCCTGCTGGACACTATTTACCTCATAGGAGCTCTGGGAAGCCTGGTACATGGACACAAGCATCGTTGACCCCGCCAGCTCACTCTGCAGTCTCAAGGTCTTGACAAACTCGAGCGCAGTAGCACTGTCCAGACCTCTTGTGCTGTTATCCCAGCATTGCAGCGGACTCCCGCCAAGAGAGGCTTCCGCAATACTAACTCTCTTTCTCTCGCCACCACTCACACCTCTGACAAAGTCATCTCCGACCTTAGTGTTGAAGGTGTGGGAGAGACCAAAAACGGCCATGACAACGTCCCGCATGTGGTCGCTGTGCTGTTCACGAGTTATACCGGGGAAACGATTACGAGGGGCGCGGGCTTGTGCAGCAAAAGAGAGTGTCTGGCCGACTGTCAAATGGGGGAAATGGACATCTGTTTCGGCGTTGTAAATTGCTTCACCGCGGAAGTTGTTGTGCATCATTTCATGTGGGATTCCTATCATTGGCCCATATTAATATCTGTATCCTACACCTTTGTTGAGGACCATTCATTCACTAACCTTGATATTCGATCTCCGATTCTGAACCAACATAGAGACCATGAGTGCGCCCAGCAATGGTCTTCAAGAAAGTTGAACAACCACTATAAACCAACCTCAATTAGCACACGTCTCCAAGCTGCAGCATACCAACAACTTACCTTCCAGGCCTTCCCAACACAACCAGCATCTCTCCATTCTTCACCACCCCATCAAAATCCCTCAAGATCTGAATCTTTGTCTCGCCCTTATGTCTATCCCCAGAAAATATCTTTTCCATCCCGCTCACTGCATCTCTCCACCCATTGGACACATCCTTCTGATAATCCAGCGCACTTCCAAACCCATGAACAGACAGGTTTTTAAATGTAACACCTGCCGTTCTATTTGGATATCTCTCTGGGTCTCTGTCTTGCAGGTGCATCATTGTCTTCACCCACGCCCTTGGGTTAAACTTGCCCGAACCTGGCTGCAGGACCGGGTTGTCCGAGTTGAACGGGTTCTCGACCTCGCCATCTTTCGGCACCGTGTATGTAGAGAGTCTGGAGAAGCGTCGGGCGAGCTCAGTGATTTCCTCTCTGGCTGAGGGGTCTATTGTAGAGTGCCGGCGCGGGTGTGCGTGAATGTCTTCGTAGCCATGGCCGGAGGGGGATGGTGTGACGGTTCCACTGTTGTAAGAAATTCCATCGCCTTCGTCTTTTTCGACACGTAGGGCATCCATTGTGGACCCTGAGGGAGGACGGGGCTTCTCCGACTCGCTGGCCATTGTGAAAGGTGGTAGCTTGGAAACCACCGAGCAGTATTGAATACTTGGTGATATGAGGAGAACAAAAAAATCGAATTCAAAGAATGCGATGTTTATTCAGCACACAATTGATCTGAAGAGAGAATCAGTTTGAGAAAAGCCGGCCGTATTATTATGGTCTGATAACGACCTTTTTCCTTAGCTGATGCTCAACTGCAGAATACGTATAAAAATCCAAAACCGGGGGACATTGGACCTTTTGTAGCTACATATCGCGCTATCAAGAAGCACGTGTGCATATGTCTTCCTAGGCCTCCCGCAAAATTCTTACCGGGTGGTAGGTCTTCCGGCGGGCTTCTCAGGCTCAAACCTCATTACTTGGCTTCGTATCTGTGTCTTCCTCATTTGGCCGAGAACTTTTCATCCATTCCTGAGTTGCTGCTACTGCTATAGTACGCCCCCAATTAACTGGCGAGGGGCAATTTGAGCAGGGATTATAAGTATCATGCTGTAGCGCTATGTATGTAAATAGGCCATCGTTATTAGACTATCGGCCAGTAGGACGGGACCCTTCACGCAGCTATGCAAGATCAAATGTCTCTATCCCATACCAGTAAAGTAGAATGTGTAGATACTGGAGGTACATGTATATAGAGTTTTTTTTCTTTCTTTTCCTCCTCCCCTACGTAAAGTACGTGTATACAGAGCTTTTTCTTCCCTTTCTTTTCTTCTTTCTCTACGTAAAGTACATGTAATAAGGCATGCATACGTATACCGTATTCGCGTTCGTTGTAGTGCAAATTAAGAGGACACAAACCATATCAGGAGCTAGAAGACGTTATCATTGTCACACTAGCCTTCGTCACTGTAGGTACTCTACTACCAACCTGACGGGCTGCTTACCACCCCCCCACCTCCACACCAGGAACGTCGAGGAAAAGAACTTTAATTGATTAAGCTGCCCAGCCTGTACACGGATTCTGTGCGTCCCGAGAACAGTAAATATTGCCTGATGCTCGGCTAAATTTCTCTCCGGTCGGAAGCAGCGTAGTTGTATTGTATAGTACATCCTTTCACTGTTACTCGCAGCCCAATTACGCCAGATGTGATTGGGGGTTATAAGCAGGAGAGACGCGGATGCCTGTCTGTGCTCAAGTTGTCCCTCAGTTTCTATCTCCTATTTCTTCGCGAGTCCCTGTGATCTAAACTCTTAGACGGGGTGGGTGGATCGAACAGGCAGGACCGTAGGTAGGGCTGAGGTGAGTTGAAACGTTAGTAAATTATCTAGCATCATACTTAATCTTCCCTACTTCCAGGTTAACCCCACCGTCGGCCAGCTGCCGCGCCCTGCTTCGAGCTTGCTTGATAGACGGCTAGTTAGAGATAAAGTTAACAGATCCGCAAAAGCTAAAACGACTGCTCCAGACGGCAAACAAGCGTTTCCCCCAGTTGGGATTTTAAAAATCTCGCTTGGGTATATATGTTGCCAATGGACAAATCATTTGTTTCGCACATTTCCTCTCCTCTCTGCGCATGCAGGTAGGTCTAATGTAATCATCATGGGCGTGAGCGACTTTAACCTTCCACCAACAACAGCCAGACCAGAAGTTTCTCTTCTCTCTATGATGCTCGCTCACATGCGAGGGTACGAAAATGCAAAAAACCAAACCTGCCATCTATTGCCCAGTACCGCCACGGAGGTTTAGGTAGGTAGAGCGTCGGATTCTGAGGTACTTGGCTTTCCGCCATCGTCTGTTTTAGGTTGCTCGGGAACACGAAGTTCCGTGTGAGAACTCTCGGAACAGCGACTTTCCGGTACCAGTTGAACCAAGAGTTTTCTCACTGACCACCTTGTTTGGTCTGGCCACCACAAGAAAAGACAGGAATTAGTTACTGGGCCGTACTTGGCTAAGCGTCTTGGGACAGCTTGCGCTTAACCCGCCACAGATCAACCAAGATTCCTTGGTGGACGGATCCCCACCTATCAACACCCCCATGTAGTTCGCTCACTTAATGCCAAAGCCTTGTACAAACCCTGTCGAGACAACAATCGTAGGTACCCAACATCAGTTATTGCAGTAACCAGCGCAAAGAGTTGTTCTCACAATACGCAAATGGAGAAACCAGGAAACCAAATTTGAAAGTCAGATATTTTCTCTAGTCTCCTTTCTGGGTAAATAAACATAATTTTTGATATCAATGTCTGCCGAATCTTGTTGGTAAGAGTTCGACATTATGCACAACTTCCTGTACTTATCCGATGACACAAGATCCGTACATCAACCCGCGCCGGGAAGGAAAGGCTGCAATCCGATCCAAAGTAGAATATCAGGTTCACATAACTATATGATAATAGTGGTCACATATGACCTCGCACGCGTGATCCAGGCAAGGTGTAAAGTACACATATTTAGTGCATGTTTTCTTGGTTGAAGGACCATCTCCAGACTCCGTCCTGAGCTAGAGGTACTCCCGGGACGTAACCAGGCAACAGCAAAACAGTGTCAAATTACCAGTCGAAAAGACGGGCCGTAACTGAGCTGCGCCCCAGCTTGATATGCATATCAATATCAACAAGTCCCTTAACCATCGAGTTTCTTAATTAGATAGTGAGAGGGTTTCGTATTCACTACGCTTTTAACCTTGATTGTCTAGAACGTACTCTCCACTACGTAAGGTTCTGCCAGCTGATTCCGGGACCCAGTGTTCCCGGCCCGCCAAGTAATGATTTCGAGATGTCAGGCTAGGTACGAGATGCGTACATATCAAGGAGTCTCCAACCTATGCAGGAGTTCTCCCGGTCCTCCGGGCTCCGAGTCCGCTTTCTGGTCATAGATTAAGGGTTTGGGAAGATAACTACATGTAGGTATCACAAATCTGTCTCAGTTAGATATGCGCATGGCAGTTCAAAAAGCCAGATAACTGGGTGAGGGGAGGTCCAGGTAGTCCATTCATAAGTCGTTACGGGAGCGGAATATCAGTTCCACTGTGCTAAGTACTCTAAGGTGCATCAAAAGAAGAAGGGCAGGGGAAAGTAACTTCTCCTGCAAGGGACCATTTACCACTGTGGACAACATACTAAATATCGGTACGTGTGTCCTAAGTAGATATACGCGGTAGAACTAAAAAGCGTAGGCACTACATTGCTGTAACACCTGGGAAGCGTTGAAACTTAATTCCGTACATAAATGTACGCCGTTTACGAAATCTCGAGACACTCATAGATGTGTAGACATACATTTCCCTACCTGCCTTCGCTCATCCCCACGGGTAGCTCACTGCTCTCCGACACTTCTCACATGAAACATACCTGATCCTAAGAGACTCACATATATGGCGATATACCAAGCCATTTACGCCCTGTTCAAGTCATACATAGAAACCTAAGAGACCGTTTCCCACACTCGCCTTAGGTAAGCTACGTACCTGGATATAATCAGGTCTTAAGCCATAAGGATCGACCTTTCAAGAACGAAAATCCCCCAGTGTTTTCAAGTCTATACTACAGAGCAATAGTTCATACCCGAAACAAACACCCCAGTAAAGACCCACCCCGCGACACGCGTCCCACAAGCTAAGGGCCACCCAGTCCACGATAATCCTATCTGGCGCTCACCAACTATCACTCGATCACGTGTTAATCACAGAACATCACTCGTTGACACCAACATCTGTGCCTTTCAGCCCCCGACTTGGCCAGCCAACCATCCATCTCACATCATCACAACAGCATTCCTGTGCTGCATTTTGCCAGCAAGCCACAAAGATAAGCCTATGACTCTCGCACCACTGTTAACCGGGGAATAGCCCTTGGCTGAACCGGTAGAGTAGAAGTTGAGGGGTTGGACTGCTTCGCGATTGTTCCTTAATATGCGAGATCCTTGGCATCGAGACAGTTATCGGGGGCCGGTGGCCGGGGCCCCGTGGAGCCAGGATCTGACTATATGGTCGTTGATCTATGATATTAGTTAACGTACAAGGTAACCCGAAATGCGATGGTCGAGATGCACGCCCAGAGAGCTGGGTGGGGGGGGGGGGGGGCGGTGCTTAGGGACTAGAAATACGGCTTGGGTCATTGGCCATAAGAATACGGAGTTGTGAGTAATATCTGCTGGTGAGATTTTTCCCTTTCAATGAGTCTCCACGAACTGTCCTATAACTACGAAATATCTTGAGCAGTGCAAATTACTTTTAGTAAGGGATACAAAGTGCCCGGATGGGATATATATTGCTAGTGCATTAAATATTATAGGTGCCGGATATAGTTCTAGGATAAAAAGAAAAACAATCTCTATTTACAGATATGTTCGAGAGGTCCGGAGTCTCTAGGGAGTCTTGCTCGTGAGCGGGATAGAAGGTACATGTTGAGGCCCCCAGGCCAGATGAGCAATTGAGGTTGTGATATGCAATACGGTGCTCTGACGAATAAAACTAGCAGGGAAATGATGCATCCCTTCACAACACTGAAAACCTGTTCGGCAGGACAAGCAATATAACCGATCCATATATGAACCCGAGCAGAGGGTAATGGCCTTATAAATGAAATCTGCAGATTAGTAATACGGCTCTGTGCCGTAATAGTACGCAATTTCGAAATCCAAGACCTCTAAAGCATGCGCCTGGTTACTACCATCTGGAAGTCTATCGATTGACTGATTTATAATGGAAAGAGATTGAAGAGATGATAATACACATCAGGATGGTATTTGTCGGATTAGTAAGAACTGTATTACCATCGGAATGGGTAAAAAAAAAACTAGCTAAACCCCCCCACAAAAATCCTCTTTTGAGTCTTCTTTTTTGTAAAGTGCAAATCAACACTTACTTTGTGGTTGGTGAAAAGACTCGAACGGACCCCAAGATCTAAGGTATACGAAATTCGATTTCTTAGCTGTGAACATCGTGGCCCCTGTTGGGTTGTAAAGCCCGGACCCACATTTAGAGCTAAACAGGCTCCAACAACCCAAACCCCAAAACTACACATCCAATCGCTAGGCAAAAAAAAAAGGAGCAAAGAGTTCGGTATCCAGGATTCCCACATGGTCACCCACTGCAGTACTAACTGGACGATATGTTGTTTGGGTATGGCAGAGCTGACGGGATGCCCCATTTTCAACATTCTATGACCGAACACATAGTTCATGGGGTCTTTTTCATTTTTTAGTTTGAGTTGTGTATTGTGAGAAGGATTGAGACTTAGGGCCCGTTTGGGAGCCGGGACTGTAGAAAACGCCGTTTTGCTTAGGCCTCCGTTAGTGGGGAGGAAACGGAGAAATTTTAAAACAGAGTTTTAAACGTATTGTGTACTGTTTGGGAGACTGTGGTGTTGGCGGTACAGCGAGGCAAAATTGGGTGATGATAAGAGATGTTACAGTTGTGATAAGAAAAAGTAGGTCTGAGCTACTTTTTTTTAAAAAACTCCGTTTTCATGGGATTAACGTTGTTTTCTAGACCCGCGAAATGGGTCGCCAAACACAACCAATTTTCTCAGAACGGAGTTTTCACCAGAACGGAGTTTCAAGCCCCAATGACTCCGTTTCGGACCGCTCCCAAACGGGCCCTTAGGTTGGGCAGAGAAAACAGCGGCTTGCTGTCATCACGATCTGAATGTCTCCGGAAAACGAGACTTTCCAGAGTCTTCTTTTTTTTTTCGCTCCACCTTCTGTTGTCATAGCCTTCGGGCTGCGTACAGTTAATGAGTTAAGTACCAATGCAATTGACAATCCAACTCCATTGCACGCAATTAATGAATTAGATCCCCCCCAAAAAAAAAAAAAAAAAAAAAAAAAAAAAATCCAACTTCTGTCTCTTCTGAAACACATAGAATCACTCGCATGTTTTGAAAGGCCCCCCCTCGATAACAAGTACAGTAGTATTTAGATCTTCCGCTTACTCTCTCTCAGATGAGGACAGTACAAAGCTTCAAGACTTCAATATAATATCCCCCAATTAAACCCCCCTACTTGTCGTTCTATATCTTATGCTTGCCATATAAAAACCTAACCTTGAAAATTACCGCGGTAACTATACATCTTGAATGGCGCCCATCTTTTCCACCGGATGTTTTTTTTTTTGTCCCTACCGCAATTATTGGTAATTACAACACCTGCTGGACCACATAGAATCCAAAACGGGCATCAAGGATCATTTCTCCAATTTTTCTTCCCAGACCCGATCGGAGCGAGTGATACCACATGAGGCAGAACGCAATTGATAAATAGATGTACACAACAAAGCTAGTAATAAAAAAAAAAAAAAAAAACATTCTAACTACAGGAGAGGAAACTATCTTGATTCTAGCCAATCGTCAGGTATCATCATGACCACACTACACTACATACAACACCGCACAAGTACCTACATACATGTAAATACCTACCTTACCTTACCTTCCTTACCGGTATACCTTCCCCCGCGCAATGGATACACATAGTTTAATACACAAAAGCCAACACGCAAAAAACAAACAAAAGCAACATTTTAAACATCTTAAACAACAACGCCCCCACAGCAACCCCCATCTACAACTTCGCCCTCCCCCTCCTCCTCCCCCTCTTCACCTCCCCCACCCCCTCCTCCTCCTCCACTACCACCCCCTCCCCCTTCCCCTTTACAAACAGCTCCCTCCCACACCTTGCCGCCAGCCCCAGCACCCTTGTCGACACACTCGCATTATCCCTGCGGTTCTTCCCCTCCCTCCTCGACACCGCAATCCTCTCCACAAACGCCCACAGCCGCCCACCCTCCGCGATCCTCCCCTCGTCGCCCCACTTCGGCATCCACTCCGGCGCGATATGGCACCGCGCTGCTGCCTTCGAGCCCCTGACGAGGAGGATCCCTTCTTCTTGGAACCGCTGGAATGCGTTTTTGAGCGTCTCTTTGTTGACGGCTTCGAAGTAGCTGAGGTCGCCTTGGTGGTAGAGTGTTTTGCCCATCTGTTTGTGCACCGGGGGTTGTTAGCTCTCTATCTCTCTCTGTGTGTGTGTGTTTTAGAGGGGAAAGGGAGGGGGGAGTTACGAGCTGCGCCATATCCTGCGCCTGCGTGAGGCCAACCCACACATCGTCCATTCCCTCCGGCGGCGTGAGGCCAATGATGGCCACGCCCGCCAGCCAGCTGCTCTCAATAAACGGCCAGATGAGGAAGCAGTAGAAGTCAAAGTTCTCGCGGCCGCACCTGCGCTCCTGCTCGCTGAGCTCCACATAGCCAATCCCCGACCCGCCATCACCACCATCACCGCCGTCAGCAGCGGTAGTAGTAGCGGCGGCGGCGGGGGGGCCAACATTGATGACGCCGTCGTCCTGCAGCCCGCGCACCGTCTTCTCGAGGTTCGTCTTGATCCCCTCCGTCGGAAACACAAACTCGCCGCGAAACAGCTGCGACAGGAACGCCACCTGCTCCAGCAGGTTCCTATACTCGACCCTCTGATTCGACGGCCCGCCGCCCTGCTTCACCCGCGTATACATCGCCGCCGCCACAATCGTCTCGGAAATAAACAAGTGTATGACCATGTTGCGATAAAACGACAACTGGAAGCGATCCACGGCATAGAACGTCTCCTCGGCCAGCCCATCCACCCGACCCACCAGCCCGCCCAGAACCTCTAACCCGCGCTCAACAACCATCTCCGTGTCGAGCGCGCCAAAGTCCGCCACCCTCCCGCCCTTGGCCCGGATCCGCCCGCGCAGCCACTCGATCCGCCGCACGAGCTCCGACATGCCCACGCCGCGGCCGCGCAGCGTCAGCAGGATCGTGCCAATGAGCGACGTCGGCATCACCACCGACACGCGGTTGATATCGCCGAGCACGCGATAGCCCAGCGACCGCAGCACCCTCAGCCTCACCTCCGGCGCATCGCGATCCACCGGCGTCCCCGCCGGCGCCGTCGACTCCGCGGCCGCCTTCACAATCTGCGACTCGACAAAGTCGCGCAGCGACCACGGCTCGTGGAAGCGCACGTCCACGCGGCCCATGTTGAGGTTTAGGAATTTTGAGCTGCTGAGAAAGTCCCACAGGTTCTCTTTCACCTTTGGGATTCCGAGGAGCTCGCTGACGTAGGCCTCGGTCTCGATGACCTTGTCGTACTGCGTGCTGACGGGGATGACGTATGCGTCCTTGACGCGGCCGCTGAGGATGGAGTCGAGGATGAAGCTCAGGATGCCGAATTTGGGCGGGAGGAGCTTTCCCGTGCGTGAGCGGCCGCCCTCGATGAAGCACTCGAAGTTGTAGCCCTGCGTCAGCAGCGTGTCGATGTAGGCCTGGACCGTGGCCGTGTAGACCTCGTCGCCGGCAAAGGTGCGGCGGATGTACATTGCGCCCGCGTGCTGGAGGAACGGGCCGACGAGGGGGAAGTTGAGGTTGTCGCCAGCGACGACGACGGGGAGCGTGAGGCCGAGGCGGTAGCAGATTACTTGTAGGGAGACGTAGTCGATGTGGGAGCGGTGGCAGGGGAGGAAGATGAGGGATTGGTGGCGGGGGGCGGCGAGGGCGGCGATGTGCCGGAGGTGGTGGATCTCGTGGGTGGAGACGTGGATGCCCTGGTGGTAGGCGCGGGCGAGGAGTTGAACGACGAGGAAGTAGGCGCCCTGGCAATGATTAGTATGAGTGACTGGGCGGGGGATTGCTGTGGGGGAGGGGTGTGGGTGTGGATATGACGGGGGGCGGGCAGATCAATCATTGACAGGCAGAGGTACATTCAATGATCAACCCCCCCTTCCCCGAGTCTACTCCCCACCCACACCGCGCCCCCTCCACAACACAAAACAGAGATTCCAAACCTACCCTAATAAACCCCTTGCTCTCAAACTTACAAATCATGTCATCCACAATCCGGTCCGTCACCTCGCCCAACTGCCTCTCCACCTCGCAGCGTCTCGCCGCACTCCTCCCACTGCCAATGTCGCCCTCAAACAGCCCCATCCCCTCCTCCACGGCGACCCTTCGCTCCGCCAGCTCCCTCAGCTTGCGCACGAGCATGGGGCTGCGCAGGACGCGCGCCTTCATCTCCTCGCTGAAGCCCTTGTAGAAGACCTTCTGCCCGATGGGGGCGTCGTACGCGCGCCAGCCCGTGCCGGAATAGTGCAGTGAGATCTCGCGCAGGAACGAGAACGGGTCGTCGCGGAAGTGCGTGAAGCTGGCGGTGATGAGGTCGCGCGACTCTTCGGTTGTGAGCGGCGTGGGGTGCTGCGAGGGGACGAGGGGCGGGTGGATTAGGGCGGTGGGGGGAGGATGTCGATGTCGGGGGCGGAGGGGGTGGTGGTGGTGGTGGGGGTGGTGGGGGTAGGAGGGGGAGGGGGAGGGGAGTACTGGTGGGTTTGGACATTTTGGGGGTGGGAAGGAGGGGGAGGCGGGCAATTGGAGGGAGCTGGTGGATAGCGAGCAATTGTTCGTAGACACAGCTGTGTAGAGTACTGTGAGATCAAGAGTTCCCCAGCTGTGAATCCCACGAAGAGGTCGAGGAGCCGTCGAAGAAGAAGAATCGCCCTCGCTCGCCCGTTCGTGAGAGCTGGAGAGAGAGAGAGAGAGAGAGAGATGTAACTCGGCTATGCGTGACAGAAACACCCTCGGACTCCCGCAATCACGTGTGAGGGCCACGCCAAGCCCAGCACCGAATCTCTCCCCACAGAATGTCTGCACCAGCAATATCTACGACACCAGCAATATCTACGACACCTGCAATATACAATACAATACCTGCAATCTACAGACCCGATATCCCCCACAGACCCGATATCCCCCACAGACAGAAACACAATGGCAGACAACCCCCAAAAGTCGCTCGAAACCACCCGCCAGCGCTTCAACCAGCTCGCCTCCGCGCTGCGCACCTTCAACGACGTGCTGCACCACGGCCCCGCCGACGCTCTCCCGCCCTGGTACTCCCCCCTCCCCCTCCCCCTCCCCCTCCCCCATTCTCCCCACCTGACACTATAGCTAACCCCCCCCCCCCCCAGGATCACCCTCCAATCGCACTTCAACGTCCTCTCCTCCACGCTCGACTCCCTCTCGCACACCCTCGCCACACACTTCCCCCCCGCCACCACCACCCCGACCGCCCTCGTCTCCTACCCGCTCCCGACTTTCCCGGCCCCCACACAGTCCATCCTCCTCTCCATGCTCTGCAACAAGAAGCCCAACGCCACCGTGTCGGACTGGCACCACGCCGCGCTGCACGACGCCGCCGTCAGCGCGCTCACCCCCGCCGACAAGCGCGCGCAGGACGAGTTCTGGGCGGCGGTCAACGACGTGGTGCAGGAGCAGCAGGTGGAGAGGAGCTGGTATGAGGATCTGTATACGGCGGAGGAGCGCGAGGGGGGCGTGGAGAGGGTGGTGACGGGGTTGGAGATGGTGGAGGGGGTGCCGGTGAGGAGGGGGAGGGGGAGGGGGCGGGGGCGGGGAAGGGGGGGCAGGTGCCCGGGGCGCTGAGGTTGGAGGCTATGTTGAGGTTTATGGAGACGGGGGTGGCGCCGAGGGATCAGGCGCCGTTGCCGAGTGGGGTTGTGGGGTTGAAGCGGTAGGGGGGGGAGGTTTTGGGGGAGGGTTTGTGCGGGGTTACGGTTACTTGTGGGAGGCTTTAATAAATAAAAAATATTAATATCATATCGACAATTACAAGCAGCACATACTACTCTAGGCCCTTTGCGCTGGATGCGTCCAGCTTCCTTCTAGCTTGGCATTATATGGATTCCCGCCGATTTGGGGGGCGGTCAAAAAATGGAGCCAGATGTTGTCAGCATTACCCAGTTAGTTTCCGGTGAGAAAAGAAAAACTCAACCCTCCAGTAAAGTAAAATGGAATTATTTCCCACCACCATGCATCATCAACATTGTCAATTGCTAAATTCTTAAAGATTTTGATACATATATAAGGTGCAATTTACACCCCCTGAACTTTTTATTCACAAAAAAAAGGTCTCCACGCCTATTTGGTGGTTCTACCAAATTGTTAGAAGTAGGTAGAGTAGTGGAGGTCAAACGAGCGATCAGCCCTCTCTCTGGGAGCCAAATGCAAGGCTGGATCTATAATAATTCCTTAGCTAACCAATACCAAGTCTGTCAATAAAGACTCCGGGTCGATCCCTCAGCGCAAAGTCCGCGAAACCTCATCTATACTGGAGCGAATAGACTACGCGAGCGCCTCCGACGCAAAAGACATCGCGCCAGATCTTGCCCGCCGTCTAGCGGCCAACCCCTCAAACCGAGGCATTCTCCAATGCCTTGGCTATCGAGGAAGCGGCGGCTTGGAGCTGGTTTTTGAAGTTCCGGATGAATTTACCCAACCCCAAACGCTGAAAGACCTCATTGCTGGCGATGTAGGTAAAGGCTACGCGGGGGGGGGGGGGGGGTGGACGGCCAATTGACCACCGTTTCCGTCTTGCCCGTCAGATATCGGAGGCCGTTCTATCGGTGCACACTGCGAGTCGACTCGTCCACAAAAATATCCGCCCAGAGATAATTTTATTGTTTCAGAAAAAGGTCGGACGAAGTGATCGACGTCAGTGCGAGTGATTCTGTGGGTCTGGGTGTACCGTTTCTCACGAATTGGAAGATGGTGCGGCAAGTCGATAATCTGTCTTCGAGAATGGGCGAAAACAATTGGATGACAGATATATATACCGACATCCGAAACGGCAGGGTTTGCAGCCGGAGGCACGCTACGAGATGAAGCATGACATCTATAGTCTCGGTGTTTGCCTTCTCGAGATTGGCCTCTGGGAGCCCTTTATCGTCCAAAAGGATAGCGATCCGTTTATGTGTGACGAGTATTGCCGCATGGCTGTCGCGTCCAATATTGTGGAGCAAGAACACTCCGATCAGATAGCCAAGCTGACATTGCCCAAGGCGTTGCAAGAAGTTATGATTACTTTAGCAAAGGATGCGCTGCCTCAGAGAATGGGACTTGCTTTCACTGATCTGGTCCCCCCCCATGTCTTACATGTCTGGAAGGTGTATCTGGGGATCCAAATGATGAAACGGATGTCGGTGTGAAATTTAACGAGACGATACTCCAGTCTTTCCCCAATATGTCGGTTTGAATCGGGTCGCTTGTTATTCGGAGTATGAAATGGTTTTTGCGGTATATGGAATCGATTGTGGATAGTCCCGTTTCCCTGTTGCTTCTCCACCTTTAGTGGAGCAATTTTTGTGTTTATTCTATAATCCATTTTCTTATTTATATCTGCTCTGGAATTGTGGTCATCTTCCTGGTGCAAGCAAATGATTAAGCTCCACATTCACCTGTAGGGACAAAACTCCGAAAACACGTTTTAGACCCCAAGAATAACCAGCCAGTCAAACCGCCGGAATAGTACTATCTAGCACTAGTAGTGGATATATGAGGCAGAGTACTTCGCGTAAACCTTTAGTAGAAGACTTGCCCCCATGACCAGAGCCAGTTATCATAGCAATTAGCTATGCTTAGTGGTAAGCATTCTGCTAGCTCTCTCTAGCTTTAGCCACATATCCAACTCTACTCAACCAGCCCACAACCCCCAATCCCAATCCCAATCCCAATCCCAATCTCACCTCGTAATACCAGTCCGCACTAGTACCAACGTTGTAGTCACGCCCCTACCTCAACCAACAAAACAAAACTTTCCAGAGCACTACCTATTAGTTTAGCACTCACCAGCGATCACTCGGTCCCGAACTTCGAGTACGCGCCGTTGGCCATTGTAGCCCAGCTAGCCGGCCACACACCCAATATTCTACAGCCTATGGGGAGAGCTACATAGCTAACATACTAACCGGTGTCCCCACACTCTCGTCCCCCCCACCGCGTATTGCGTTGTAGGAGATGTGCTTTCTAATGCCCGCCCCCGCCCCCCCCCCCCCCAAAAAAAAAAAAAGAAAAAAAAAATGACCACCGGAAAGGAACCATAAAGCGCACCTGTTACTTTTTTTCTTCTTTACACCTTACTTCACCTCGTACCTATGTACCGTACCGGCCAATATATATTGCAGCGCCGGCCTCCACACTAGACTCAATAATAATAATAATAATGATAACGGGAAAGGTCTAAAATGACACAGTTTTCGGTAGACGTGCTCTACAATAACACATGAATGTGAGATGACACAGTTCAGTAGTATAATATAATCCAAAACGAATACATCAATTAGTATACGTATTGGCTTAGTAGTAAACAAAAATAATATCGAAGGGTCAGGGTTCAAGTTCGATCTTCATCTTGGCACACTGCCAAGCTAGCTCAAGTATCAGGTGGTCTAGTGGAACACATAAGGTCCTGGGTTCAAACCAGGGGTGGGGGTAGCAGTCGCAAATGTCTTAATAAGTCGCTGCAGTACCTTTTGTAGTTTTATAGAACGCTTTGTTCTTTTTTTTCTCCCCTCTTTTTACTTGTAGTAACAGCGGGCGGGCTGTGTCTTTTTGAATCATGTGTTATTTCGGAGCACGTATACCGAAAACTGTGTCATTTTAGACCTTTTCCGTAATAATAATAATAATAATAATAATAATAATAATTCAAAAGATGCCACCCGGGGTACTTGCATCTACATCCACACGCCGCCATGCTCTTGCTTGCTTGGTTAGTCGGTTATGGTACACAGCTAAAGCCCGGGTGTCCCTTTCTTCTTTTAACATAGAGAATCCGCGTCACACGCCATCACTCGCGGCGGCCAATCCAGCACCCACCCACACACCACCCAATCTCATCCTGATATCCGGTGTAGACGATCATTAGCTTTCCCTCCACCCATCTAGATCTAACGGCATCACTAACGAGCCAATTCCGCCAGACATGCCAGACCAGTTAAACAAAAGTCCTATGCAGGTATACATGAAACCCGATTCCCGTCCATCTCACCATCTCTTAGTGCACTGTAGGTAACCCACACGTACCTACATGTATGTATGTAGCTGGCGAGTTACAAGCAACAGCTACTAACCTATCTGACGTGCCTTTGCCAGATGGCAATCGTAGTCCCTGCATTCCTTTCCCGAATATATATCAATGGCCAGATACATGGCCAATCAGATCCAGCAGTGTGAATTACTAAACAAACGTAGGCAGGGCTAATATTAGCCCAAACACAAGATCAGACAAACCTGTGCATATCATCTAGTGTCTTATAAGCAGCTTAAGGGATGAGACTTAGCACATACCTGGGGTGATGGATAGATGGAGGAAGAGGTTTGATAGGCTTGTTATGTTATAGTCCTACAGCCAGGTTAGGGTTGGTGTGTTAATGGTTGGACTCTCACTACCTCTTACCGACAACAATATTAGAGCTTTGGCTAGCTATTCGTTCTTCTCAGTGGCCCTTTTTACGGCCAACGGTGGTCTTCTCCATCATCACAAGCAGTGATTCGTCTTTTCCAGTCATAGGATAGCACTCGTATTCCGAGACCGGCTCCGGTTAAAGTTACATAAAAATGTATGAATTTTTCTTTCGAGATATCTTCGACGCTTTTACAGCTAGATAGATAGATAGAGAACTACATTTCTGCCTTCTACCCACACAAAACCACAAAAAAAAAAAAAAAAAAAAAAAACCCAGGCAAGCCCAATTAATAGCTCAAGCCCCGCAAAAACCAAACTCGCAAATAACTACATCACTACGCAGCTGCCCAATCCAACCAAAAGTGGATCAATTTCACAGCTACATAGCAATAAGAAGAGATAGAGGCTTAACCCTTCCTCTTTGGTGCGCCCTTGCCCTTCGCAGGGCCGGTGTATCGCTTCTTTGCCGGCGTCCCGGCGCCGAGCTTCTTCCCCGAGTTCCAGTACCAGACCATCTGTGCCGCCAGCACAAAGTTCAGGAATGCGCCACCAAGGAACCCGTACAAGATGAGCGGGTCCTCCACTTCCGCCAGGGTCGTAAAGACACGAGCGAGCGAGCCAAAGAGGTAATTGAATACCTATCACAATCACCAATATCAGCCACCAAGTAAGTACCAATTCACCCAATCCACATTTTAAAATACATACCGCAAACGCCGAGAGGTTGCCCGTCGACTTATTTCTAGCCACACTGATAATCTGCGGCACCTTACTCGCCAGCGTCAAGGGGATAGTCGCCGCCTGCAGGTACCCCATAAGCTTCGCGTCCACCACACCCTCACTAAAGAGTGCATACAGCGAGGCTGCCACTACAGGCACAAACGCCGCCGCCCACATGTCCTTCCCCGAGTAGTGCAAGATCAGAACGGCAATGACCACATTCTGTACCGCGATGAGGCCGATCTCGCCATATGTGCTGATTGGGTTTCCCGAGCGGAAGTTGTACGCGAGGGTGCACAGGTAGCCCGCAGTCTCGAGCGCGTACGAGGAGAAGGAGACGCCGCGGGCAGAGCCAGAGTTGAGGAGCTTGATGAGCTGCGGGACCTTGATGATTGTGGAGAGGGTGATGATGCCGACGCCGATTGCCTTTGAGAGCGCGAGCTGGGTGCAGGCGGGGGAGGAGGCTGGGTCGAGCTTCAGGATGAGGGTATTATAGCAGACGGGGGTGATGAGGTCTGAGATGGGGTTTGCAATGCTGGCGGGGAGCTGTGCGGTGATGGGGGCCAGGTGTGGGCGGAGAGCGGCGAGGAGAGGCTCGAGCTGTTGGAGGACGATATCCATGATGGGCACTGTATAGTTCAATATGGTACTTGATAGGTGTATTTGTGTATATAAGATGTTGCAGTATCAATCAGTACGATGTATGACAGAGGCCGGGCGGGGAAGTGAAAAGGAAAAGGGTTTTGTGTGTGTGTGAGGTTTTGTTTTTGGTTGTTGAGGCTACATATGTAAATTGGCCATTCCCTGGGACCCGTTTTCCTTGGCAGTCTAGCTACCCGAACCGGCAAATCGATCACTGGCCCCGCCAAAGCTGCAAGTACCGAACCTGGCTACGTGCTAAGCAGCTGGCAGCTGGCATCCCCTCAACCCCACAAAAGCTTCAGACCGACTACATACCTGGAGCCAAATTACCCAGTTCCACAAGAACGTAAGCTAGGGACATACAGCAAGCTAGGGGTAGAAATATTTAAGGCACCTACTCGCCCATGGTCAACCAGCCGTAAGCCCTGTTTTCAGACCCCTATTTATACCCTCGCTGTAGTTAATTATCGAACGACGAAGCACTCAGGCAACACCTCGTTTCAAGCTCATAATTCTATTTCTATTGGCCTTTTTCTAGATAAATTTCCTTTTAAATGCCAAGACACAAGTAAATGATTGAGCCCGCGCTGAGGGCAGTGTAGTAAGTATTTTTATATATGTAGTACAGTCTCCTCCCTCTCACTCTCGAGCTCTCTTTTTTTCGAGTCAACACCGCAAAAGTCCAAACCCAAACCCAATCACACTCGATATCTTAATATGATCCCTATTTTCCTGGCCGTTGAAAAAAAAAATATACAGTTTAATCAATAAGAAAATAAAAACCGCTGAGCAAATAGAAATAATACATAAAAAAAAAGGAGAATAAAAAGCTTACTCCGCCCTATCCTCATAGGGAACAAAAACGAGAGAGGAAATGGTTTTTTCAAGGAAAGAGAAAGAGTGACCTGTTTTCCCAATAAAAGGGGGAATCGATTCGAATAAATATTACAAAAAAGAAAGAATAGTCTAGGAAAGGCTACAAAATTGCGGCCATTTAATACGCTAATATTCCCACAGTTGTCGCAGCAGCCGCGGCGATAATCATACCCATATCCCATACCTCCGACATCCTGTTCCCAGCGCTCTTTATCGTGAGCCGTCCGGCCGGATCATACGAGGGGGCCTCGGTGGTCGCCCTTGTTCCGTTCCAGCAATATTCCTGGAAACACTCCTGGCACTGTGCAGTCTGTGTGGCGCCTGTCCGCTCCTGCTGTCTGTGGATGATGGCGCATCCAACACATGCATGCCATCTCGCGTCAACTGTTCCGTTGCCCTGGGTGGCAACGTTGTATCCGTTCTCAATCATATAGTCACGCTCGCGTTGGGTGTAGTCCATTTTCTGGGTGGAAGTATTGGAGTTGAACGAGTAGGGTGAGTTGGGGATGTATACGATCAATGGCGGGGGGGTTCTGTCTGGGTCGGTTGTGATGTTGCTAGCATCGCAGCCAAAGAAAGTGGGGCGGTTATTAAGGCCCAGCGAAATGAAGGTGTTCACGTCTGGGATGGCTGGAAATAATGTTCCGTTGGCCATTTCGGCATTCAAATGCCTCTGGTATGTTGCAATAATTGCAGTACCATTGGGCCAGTTGGTCAATTCACCATCGGGCTCATTAGTGTCGGCCGAGTTGTCCATAGCAAAGATAACGTCAACTTTGCGTGGTGGTTGGATTAGAGGGTGTATAGGAACGTTCTGCCCGTCAAGACCACCATCAACGAGAGTCAAATCACGGGTTCTGGCTGAAGGGTTTATTTCGGGGTTGACATCGTAAAACGGGTTCGGGCTGTAGTCTGCAATATCGTTTTCCGATTCTGACACAAGTGTGAGTGCTGCCCCTATGAGTTCCTTGAAAACACCGGTGATGCCGAAGCTATCAAGCTGCGCGATGATGATGTTAAACAGAGATGATGAAGTTCCCATGACGAACCTATTAGATTGTTAGCCATCGAACTCGATTCCGGTCAATAAACTACGTACCCAACATTGTCGAAACCCCTAATGCACACATTGTCCTCAACGGGGGTACCATTGGTCACGTTGCTTCCCAGATATCTCATTTGTGTGAATGCATATAAAGTTGGATCAAATGATCCAAATTCAAATACATTATACTCATAAACTGTCGCGTTGCTTGAAATGATTAACTCTCCCGGATTCCTTCCATCGGCCACAATAATCGGAAACGGCATCGTCGCCGCTACAAAGTCGTCACTCTCTGCAATTGAAGAATAAGTCACGCCTGGACCTCCATTAGTCCAGTTCACAAATTGTCTCGACAGCGCCCGCGCCCAGTAATCCGTCAACGAAACATCGAAGCCCGCATCCTGCTTGGCCATGACCTCATCATGCAAGTCATTATAGTACTTGGTTGTATCAACAATATGCAGCGCTCCCTCGGGGGCCAAGATGCTCTGTTCGAAATCCCATACATTTCCGTCTTCTTGTAGTCTCTGGATCGTGGTGAAGTTGTTGATAACGATACTTCCCAACAACCAGCTCCCGCCTGACAAACCCGCCACATAAGTTGAGCTCTGGAGCAATCCTCCTAGATGTCCTGCTGCTGTTGACCCTGGTGTCCTGCTGTCGAACGCTGCGAACTGACCCCCACCAGATAGCAGCGCCCTGTAGCCACCGCCCGAAAATGCGATGCCAATGGTTGGCGAGTACGATGACATGAAGTTGCCCACATCGAAATCAACCATGGACGCACGGTTCAAGAAATCGGTCAAGGCCTGATCTGTGACCGTATGGCGCTTATCTACCCACTCGCGCTCGCCATCGGAGATATCCCTTGCACTACGGATCAGCGGGGTGTCTGGGCAATCGACTGGGCCTGGAGCGTAGCCTCCGCTGGGCGAGTCGGATACAGCGCGCTGGACGATCTCATTTAACGCTGCGCGTTCAGGAAGTGTGTTTGGTAATGCACTGGATTGTACAGCTGTTGTCGCATTTCCCGAAACGTTAGCTGATGCTTCTCTCTCGATGTGTATGAACAAGTTGTCCCTCGGCGTCGTAGGCAACAACGATGTGGTGTGAGTTAATTGATGTCTTACCAGAGATTATCAGGGCAGCTGTCAACAGCACCGAAGGGCCCAAGATCACAACCATAGTACTAACAAGGGGTTTCTCGTAGCAAACAGACAATCAAAAAAAGATGTAGTAGAAGAAAGAGATAGAGGGGGAGGGGGGTTTTAGGCGATTCCTCAGAGATCTGCTACCTCACAATATGCAATCAGAAGGCTGGGAGAAAGGCTGGGATATTATGTCAACCAATTATTGCAAACAACTACCAGGTTACGAGAAAAACGAATAAAAAAGCAACAGAAGGAAACTGGGTAAAAGAGCGACTGTTATAGGAAAGGACAGGTTAAGGGATTAGAATCCCAGCCGACGTCAACGTATTCAAAAGAATAGTTAACAGCTGAGCATGAGTTGACCGAATCGTGGCTGTCCTCCCTAATCGAGGATGCTATGTAAGTATATGTGTAAAGTGCAAAAAATAAACAGGAGGTGGTGATATGATGATGGGAGCAAGTACTACTAGGTACCTAGGAGAGGTAGGTAGCTGGTAGACAGACCCTGTATCAATTACTACCCTATGGATCCCCCCTCCTCCATCCCCCATATCACCACCATATTTATCCCTAACGCAGCGCTTTCAATTTGAATCTTGGATCGACTGTGCCGTGACCCTTTGCTTTCTATGGTTAAAGCCCCTCTCTCTTGAGCGCAAGCCTGCGCAGCTGCAGGCCAAATCCAGTACTAGCCCCCGTACACGGATGTGCCGTTTTAGTAGCGGGAGTGTAAGACCTACAACTTAGTTCCTTAGCTATTGACTTCTTAGACCTTGCAGCAGCGCGTTTCACGGCCATGGTTCATATTATTTAATCCTTCCCCACCCGCCATGTGCTCAACGCACAGTCGGCGCTTACCGCCAAATAGAAAGAACCCAAGGGCGAGAAGGACCCAAAAAAAAAAAAAAACTTTTCCAGAACACTGAGTAAAGGAAAGCTCATATGCATGCAATTAATGAACTAAACAAAAAAAAAAAAAAGGAAAGCTCATAGACAGGCTCATCCCTAGATCTATCCAACACTACTCTAACTCTCTAAACCAATATTCCTAGAGTACACTACTGTTGACCCCCGTCGACGTGACATATCTGAGTATCCCTACGCACCATTGTATGCACAAACTGCTCCACAAGGGAAAATAGAAAAGTCTCTAACGTCAACCGTTCCTCCCAGCCGGTCTGCTGGTACAGTCAACATTCCAATGACATAGCTTGATAAACTCTCTTTCACCCCTGCCTTATCGGCAGCCTGTTATCCGGGGGTCCAAGGATTAGGAACGATCCGTCTCCCGGCGCGGGCTGTGCACTGTAATTTAAGGGTCCAGTCTATATCACTGATTAATTCGTTCATTGTAATGCAGGTATGTAGTTAGTTTGTGTAGATAGAGAAGGCACAGTATGCTTATGGATACGCTTACTTGAGATAACCTCTAAGAAGCACATCCAGGTAGATACTTTATATAGAGTTAAATTCACTACAACCCATCATAGGGGACACATGTTATGTAGATATAGATCGGCGTTTTGAGCCTGTACCCCCTTAAAATTAAACTGATGTCGTGGCATTACATACAGCGAGCGTGTGGTAGAATCTTAGAATATGAGAAATGCGAAATGGTCGGCCAGCCAGCGATGAAAACCCTGGATTCACCTCTCGCTACACTGCGCGGGCGGCGCCAAGTATGTATGTATTTGATTGTCCAGTCATCTAACGCAATGATGTGATGGTTTCCTTTTTGCCATCTACATGTGCATATGCCTTATAACCCTAGTAATGTGAATGAGATTGTTTCCAATATAGGGAGCCAAGCTAGAGATTGGAAATTGGTAATAATTTAGCTTTTGCGAGTTCGAGTTAGAGGATAGTACTCTTAGAGGAAGCTACCAAACTCAAATCATGTCGTACTCTTACTCGTATCGCCAATGATCACTTAACACAGCCACAGACAAACAAATCACTTATTGTTATAATTACAGCATTTCAGTAGAGTAATCGGTTAATCCTCAGCTCCTGGGTCAACATGTGAGAGAAAGTTAAAGTATTGTTGTAATCAGATATATAAGTGCTCAAAACAGAGTATTCCGAACCATCGCGTGCCGATCTACATATTGTACATAGCCCTATGGTCTGATCCATAATGCGCCACACCTTAAATCCCAATCGGATCAGTTATGTATTTTGTACATGTATGTATGTACGGAAGGGCTGTGCTTCCCATTATGTCGCTTGACTTAAGGTGACCCAATGGTATGTACTGTCAGCCGTCCCTGTCTGGTTCAGACTCTAAGCGATATATTCATTGCTTATTAATATTCGAAAGTACATACTCGTAGCTTCATAGCGTTTCCGAACACGACCAATATTGCATGACATACAAAAAGGTGGATTTGGCGCTTTTTTGTATGGCATGCAATAGCAGTCGTGTTCGGAAACGTCATGAAATTGGCAGTACATGGCCAGCTTAGGTCCCAAAAGTCTGCTGATGTACATGTATGTATGTTCCATAAGTACTCTAGAGTACTCCACATTCTGAGTAGATACTCTACTCTACAGACACTCTTCTACTGAGCACACTGAGCTGCACGCGAAAACCTCGCCGATGCAGTGCTGGATAAATAAGGCCCCGATTGTATGACTTGTGCGCCGAATCACCGGACTACATGTAGGTATTTCGTAAAATATACTGGCTACTGGTTAAGGTTATTGTTTCATAGAGCCACCATAGCTGCGGGGTAGGCTGGCACTACCTAGTGTTTCGATGCAGCTGCGCATGATCGATTTTTGAGCTGAAATAAAAAGTAACATTGCAAGCCTAAGGCTCGTCAGCTTCAGAAGAAGAAATTGTGAATCTAAACTAATGATAATACACGTAGGTATGCACATAGCTAGATGTAGACCCGTAGAGCACTCTCCAATCAACTACATGTGGTACTCTACTCTACGTATCTACAGACTACATGTAAGTCAACGCGGTGTAACTGCGAGTGACCACTCATGACCCTCGGGCAGTCCCACCGGTCTAGATCCGAAATGACGTGCAGTAGCTTATCGTTAAGCATAGACAAGGCGCGGGCACTCTCGCGCACGTGCCTCACGATTTTGGCTTAACCCCAAGCCATCTCGCTATTTTTCACTCCGGTTCGGGCTTCTATGTTAGTAAGTGACCGTGACGCGTCTCTCTCTCAAAAGCCTGAGCGTGGGAGGGAAACATCTTAGCTAGTGCTTTGACAAAACCCGTCCCAAATTTGTTTGCTCGGCCCATCAGTATTTGTGCTCAGGCTTAACAGACTTCTCGGGAACGGTTTGTCTTGTCTCGGGAGGGAGGGATTAAGTAATGCCGGAATTGGGGCAAACGTTGGTGGAGGAGCGTCTTGGCGGTAATTGGTTCATAAAAAGGTTACGTATATCTAGCTATCCACCCACGACTCTAGATACCCTCAAATTTCGATCAGTGAAATGATATGGCGCCCATTGCAGGAGGTTTCCCACGATTGACTTTAGTTTATGGCTTTAGAACCTGAGGCACTCGCCGGTAGTTATCGATGTGTGTAGCTAGAGTAGAGAAAGCCATACCCTCCGATTCTAGCTAGGTATTGACAACGATTGAATTTTGATATCTGAGGTGGAAGTGGCTTACTTCAATTGCAAGGCACCCAATTAGGACAAAATTGGCTGTTACCGCAACTATCCTCAAATTCTTATGCGTTAGTTGTAACCAATAGGGCGTAAGGGCGGAAGGAACTCGTGCCGAATTCTTATTGACCAAGACTATTGATGGATTTCCCGTATATAATCCGATCGATCGCGGGGCTGAGAACTGAGGAATATATAATTGTTAGAATCTCGAATGCCCTTGTTCTTAATCTTTGCTAAGAGTGATGCTGGGGCTGGGTCATATTCTATCACTCGATATCATATGCATAAAATGAGATAAGCTGGATGTTAAATTCAACGACATAAATATTCTGAAACTGGCACCAATAAATTAATATGTGCACTTCTTATCAAATAAATGCCGAGTATGTGATATGATAGTTCTCATCATAGAGTCGGTGTTGTAGTGGGGGTGACATACTGTGATCCATAAGGTTGAGTACATGGAGGATAGATAATATAGGGACGAATACCGCCACTTGAATACCCAACTATATTCATAGAAACAAATGTCCTCCGCCTCAAAAATTCTTCGGGTGCTTTGGGGCGACCCGAGGCCACAATACAAATTCCTCTAGGCTAGTATAATTTTCAACGAGGACAACTTGAAACCTCTTCTTGCCTGTGGTTGGACCGGAGTCGGACCGGAGTCGGAGTTGGAGTCTGTAACGGTGATGGGATAGGTACCTAGTTGGGTTCTATCATTGGTTGATATGTATGTAGATAGAGTACATACAGATAGTGCCTTACCTATTGAGGTTTTTCTCCGGCTTAGTGATTTGCCCGGATTAATTCCGACGAAGAGATGCAAGGAGGGGCGGGGGAAAAGTTTGGGATTCTATGATTGGGTTGATAGAGTACTCTCGGCACGTAGATGTATGTAGGTACGTCCATGTAGGGTACTCTCCCGCATTTTGATCAAGACCCCCAGAGAAGTGCGCTTATGCATTCATACGCACGTACAATCTACAGCATCTATGTGTGGTCCACGAGGCATTGGCCGCGGGGCCCCTGCCTCGAGAAACTTAAAGCATGGAGGACTGTAAGGCGAGCATACTTGGGGCGAACCCCCTCCTGCTCGCCTGCTCGCTGCTCGTGGTTTAAGTAATCATAGTATTACCTATTGGCATGTACTTACATGTATTTAGTGGGATTGATATTTCCGATATCGAAGATTCTAACTCCAGTGCGTGCGCAGATAATTGTATCGTTTCAACAGCAAACTACAAATTTTATAGGTCTAAATACATTAATTGTGCTTCGAGTAGCTCGAGCACCTAGAGGTACTACCTCTGTTTGCATGAGAAAGCAAAGGTATGAGGCACCTCAAGTAGCCTTGTGGACCGCATTAGCCCGGCCCCGGCCCTCATACTCTACACTGATATTATACTCTCGCAATAGTCCTGAAGTACCCGGAGATGCAGCTGGGAGGTCTTTGTGTGTTTTTGACTTCTACTCCAATAGCAATTGCAGATTAGAGCTTGAATTTTCGGGTACTTGTACCTACTGCGAGGAGGTATATATATGTAGTTTCGATGTTACGATGACAGGTCATATTGATAAGCTCTTCTCTTACAAGTAGCCCTCAAGTAAATTCTGTTCTACGTAAGTTAGCATGTTCATGGACATCAATAACCTACTATTAGCAACAAATGATTTGAACCCATTTTTACGTATAGATATATGAATTCAAGCCGGTTTAACAAAAAGGTTCACCACTATGCATTCTCCACGCGAATTTCTAAGCGGAGTATTGTCATTTTTTGATTTAGGCAAGCGGATTTCTGCTTTCACAAAAAAGGGTATCGTAGGTTCACTCAACATGTGCTAAAGCCATCTTTCTTTAGCTAAAAAGCCGGACTTAGCGTACAGTTCCCCGAGAGGCATCATCGTAGCATACAATAGGTCGACTATATTAATGTAAATAAAAAAAAAAAGAATAAAGTAAGAAAAACGCTCTTGATTTTAGGCTCTGCCTATTTAAGCAGCAGTAGTCTTCTCCTTGGGAAGAGGAGTGAAGCGGAGGTATGGCTTGACGATGCGGAAGTCAGGGAAGAGCTCCTTGGCGAGCTCGTTGCTGACGCCGGGGTGAACAATAACATCATCACCGGGGACCCAGTTGATGGGAGTGGTGATACTATGCCCATGTGAGTAAGTGATATTTCATGGCTCAACTGTGAGTAGTGGATTCTTACCGGTGCTTGTCACCAGTCTGGAGAGAGTCAACAATTCTCAAGACCTCAGCGGCGTTACGACCGGTAGATGCAGGGTAGGAGAGAATGGTACGGATGGTCTTCTTGGGGTCAATGATGAAGACAGAGCGGATGGTGAAGGCAATGCCCTTAGAGTCGACGTTGGTGGTGTCCTGGTGGTCGATCCTGTTTGGAAAGATAATTAGCAACATGAATATTAAAATTTAGTACAAATAGGGTAAAAGCTTACATATCATAGGCCCATGAGATCTTGCGGTCCTTGTCACCAATAATAGGGAACTTGAGGGTAGAGCCAGAGATCTCATCAATATCCTTGATCCACTCGCCGTGGGACTGGATGGTGTTTGCTGAGAGACCAATGAGCTTGACGCCGCGCTTGCTGAACTCGGGCTCGAGCTTTGCGAAAGCACCCAACTCAGTGGTGCAGACAGGGGTGAAGTCTTCAAAGATATTAGTAAATAGTACGAGGTATGAAGTATGATTGGAATAGACATACCCTCGGGGTGAGAGAAGAAAACGACCCAGTTGTCGCCAATGAACTCGTGGAACTTGATGTTGCCCTATTGCAAAAGAAGTTTAGTTAAAGCTGAAGATGTCAAATAAGGAAGAATAGAAAACTAACGTTGGTAGTTTCAGCCTCGAAGTCAGGAGCAGTGCTTCCAAGACGGAGACTGTATTGATAATAGATAGTTAGTGGGTTTGATTTTTTAGATAGATCGTTCATGAGAAGGGAAGCTTGAACATACGGGGCAGCACGTTCTTCAGCCATTGTAGTGATTTTGTTTGAGTAAATTGATTGGAGATGAGTGGATGATGTTTGTAAAGAAATGGTGCGAGAAGTGCAAGTGATAAAGGAAGGGATGGATTATAAAGAGGGGCAGAGAAAAAAAACTTCCCCACTATATTAACTTTCTGCCCCGCCATCGTGCACGCAATACGCTGTTTGGATGGTTCGAACATCTCATGTCATGCTTGGAACCAGTGTGCCGGGAAATCGCATCATCAGGGACTCTGTTTATTGGCTGATTTAGACGTTCTTGCATCCTTTTAAAGAGCCGCACGTTACTTGTTTGGGTCAAACGGCGACATATCACCAAGAACAGACTGTTTTGCTACAGTTTTAGACCTTCCGGCTGCAAAAGGCAAATTTGCCACATTATAAATAAATGTAGCTTGGCTACACAGATCTCAATGTTTTTCAGTCCTCACACTCCCACCTCACGACAAATTAAGTTCAGCATTCAAGTTCTTTCATTCAGGGGCGTATTTGAGTTCCTTATCACCGGCAACTCTATTTCACTAATTAGAAAGCTCGAAAACCCAATGGATGCTCTTACATATTCTTATCATAAGCTCTTGCACTCCATGTCTACTCAACTACCGTCCTACGCCTATACGCAGCGTCATTCATTGGACCGTTTTTCTTCAGAAGTTTCTATCGGAGTTATGCGTCCTACCCGCACATGTACATACATAACATAGCGTTTTTAGCGTCCTATTCGCGCCCCACTCCTGAAATCCGAACTCCAATTGCCGATGATAGTCAAGAGATAGCCGAGTAGCTCAAAAAATGCTTCTGGAAGGTGTCTGCGAAAAAATAAAAAAATAAAAAAAGACAAGGGCTCTACAATCCTTCATAACTCGTGCCCTCTTTCCTCCTACAGTTATGCTAAGAGCTTCTTCAGTATTTCTTTGGTTTCTTTGAAGTCTTAACGAAGAAAACCGTAGCCAATCGTCTTTCAACAATGACGCAGGATACACTCCCTCGAAGAACTTCAGAAATTGCCCAACACGCCCAACACACAAACTACTCAGCAGGTGAAAAGAACTTCGAGTCCGAGCTTTCAAAATCTGGACAACAGTCTTCACAGACGTCAACAAACATGGTACAAACGACATATAGGTATCTTGAATGGAGCACACTACCCAGCGATATTTACCCATTTCCCGAGAGGCTTCCAGCCTCAGTGATGAAGCAGACCGACCCTTTCACATGGAAGAAAGAGCATAAGAGCATGATATTGGCATTGGCTTGTTTTTCAACAGGGATGACAGCGTACGCTGCAGGGGCTTATACAAGTGGAATTAGCCAGATGTCAGAGGAATGGGGAGTTGGCAGGACTGCATTGCTGGTTGGAGTGACTACATATACGACTGGCTTTGCAATTGCACCGCTATTTCTAGCACCTTTGTCAGAGGTACGGCTTTTCTTACGAGACAAACATTTTACACCATATATAGCAGTCAGAGGAGTTTCAACATGAGAATGAAAACTCGTATTGAAGCTTGGGGCCGATATGAACGGCTGTTTTTTTACATTTCTTCAACATTAAATCCTACCTGGAATGATGTACTGATAATATTCCTTAGGTGTACGGAAGAAGACAAGTTTTTCTATGGACATTCGGATTATTCAACAGTCAGTTGCCCCTTCCTTGATAACTAAATTTCGGGTTTCTGACATGGAAGTTGCAGTATGCCACCTTTCATCTGCACTTTGTCATAGCTATCCAGGTATGCTGGTAGCGCGTTTCTTTCTCGGTGTTGGCGGATCTACATTCAGCACGATGGTAGGTGGAATTATCTCAGATATTTATCACGCACCAGATCGTGGTCTTCCCATGAGTTTGTTTTCGACTTGTGGGTTGGCCTTTACTGGTGTAGGACCTCTTGTTAGCGGTTTCGTGAATGATAACCTCTCATGGCGATGGATTCACTGGATACAATTGATACTTAATGGTGTCGCTATGCCGATCGCCTATTTTGTCCTCAAAGAGACCAGAGGGAGTGTACTACTCAGTCGTAGAGCAAGAGCGTTGAATCGTTGGCTAGGTGAAAACGAGGAGTCGGATGAAGGGCAAAAGGAGTTGGAAAATGCCGGAGGAATGAGAGTTAGATGGAAAGTACTTGCAGACGAAGAGAGAGAGAGCATGGCAATTGTAATATCAGTTTCATTAACTCGGCCCTTCCGTTTGCTTTTTACCGAGTCGGTGGTTTTCTGGTTTAGTATGTGGGTGTCATTTGCTTGGGCACTTTTGTTCCTGTAAGTCTCTTTTGTTCAACCTTGCTTATATCATGAAGCATTGAGGATTGACAGCTAATTTTATGTGGTTAAGATTCCTCCAGGGTGTTCCTCTAGTCTTCAAAGAGAACCACGGATTCGATACTTCACAGACTGGAATGGTTTTCATTGGTAAGTCAAAATACATTTCGCAGAAAGCTTATCATGTCTTTGATCGGATCCAGCTAACATTTGTTTATCAGCAATGGTTGTTGGTACTCTTATCGCACTTGGCCTTAATACATTGATAGAATACTTCGCAAAAAAATATTTTCTAGCAGGAAATGCCCAACCAGATCCTGAATGGAGATTATATTCTAGCTGTATTATCGGATGTTGTCTCCCAATTGGAATGTTTTGGTTTGGCTGGACATCATTTTCATCGCAACATTGGATCCTCCCAAGCATGGGTGTTGGATGTGCCACGATTGGGATATATGCGATCTATCTCGCTGTATTCAATTACCTTGCAGACGTATACCACCGCTACTCTAGTAGTGCAATTGCTGCTCAAAGTTTTTGTATTCACCCCCATGCAAAAATCTGCGTGAAATGAGAACTAACAATGGATCTCAGGTCGTAATATGCTTGCCGGATGTTTCCCGTTGGTTACGACCGCAATGTTTCATCGTATGACCTTTGCAGGGGCCTCAAGTTTTCTTGGGGGAGTTGCAGCATTGTTAACAATTGTGCCATGGGTCTTGGTATTCTTCGGAACTAGGATTAGAGCACGGAGTGCGTTTGCTAAAGTGTGTATAACTATCCCATTTATCTTAGAATTATTAGCTAATTCAATAAACAGGAAATTATGGCAACTTGAAGAGCTCTAGCACGCTCGATATGTCATGGCTTGTAAGCAATTTATACACCGTTCGAATTGCTTTCACAAGTCATGTAAGACTTTGAAGTTACCATTTTTGGGAGAATAAGGGGTATTGTCTAGGCTATGCCTAAGCTAGGTTATTACGGTGGCTATTGGGTAGTTAATTTGGAATGAGTTGGTCATTCAGGGAGGGATAATTATAAACTTATGGATACTAAGTAATGCGGACAAGATATAGTATATACGTAGAATTTTTATAATGATTAAATGCAGGTTTCTTCAAAGGCGTGTGCACATAAAGGCATCTCCTCCTTGTTTTTTTTGGAGAATTCTAATTGCGGGGAAATCACATGAAACTTGGGGTGTGCATAGATCTTCTTAGCATTTGTAACTACCCCATTTCCAAACTCCGAACCTGTGGCAAAGAGCATCTTGGCTTCTAAAACCACACTTACTCCAGGTGTGTACAGTGTTACTCGAGCTTCGCAAATAGGAAATAAGAACAGAGCGCTTAATGTCTATTCTTTCTTTTGTATGCGCCAAGGAAGCCACCGTAACACAAGGTTCTCCAGCGATTTTCAACCATTAGGAATACATGTATGTATATGTGCTTTTGTATGTACTGACGCTGCCGGATGGAAGCTATTCATCATGATCAAGTATGTACAAAAAAGGGATTTCAAAAATAGGTAGCGTTCAAATACGTCAAGCGTCAGTTACTAGGTCACCTGCCACATTTTCTTGGACAGCTTCAGACCAACCGCGCGAGTACATATATAGATCAGCCAAGAGATACATATCTAGAGTATTTTAATAGCAAAGTACATTTAGTTACTAAACTCTACATGCACATACCCACCAAACTGCCGCAGGTGTTTTTAATCACAAAATATCACTCGCATAACAACCGTGCGATTATTAGCTACAAGCCACAACATAGGATCTTAATTTACAAATCCAGCTGCATATGCTGAGGATATCTAGCCAAATATGTGTTGCAAGGTGTAATGGGGTAATAAAAAATAATACAAAACGTATTGAGAGTTTTCGAAAATACGAGTGATACTCCATGCTCCAAAATAAGCTACAAATATATGTGCATGTGCTAGCGTAAATATTACTCTAAAAAGGGTTATTTCATCGTCTCTAAGCCCACTAAAGCAATTATCTGAAAATACTATAAGCGTAGAGGCTTTGCGTGTCACAGTCTAAAGCCATGGCCAGGTATTGACACTTCTTGATTTGCAGTTACTAAAATATTAGTTCCACATAGATCATAGACGTAGTTATCGACCTGGTTTATATTGTTCATATCACTTATCTGTAGTAACCTCCATGTAAACATTCAGTCCTGGTTATACCAACGCTTGCCTTTGAAATAAGTCAAAACTAGACGATGATATAGGATGGGTAACTAAATGTTAATGAAAAACTGTTAGAAGATTCCAGGTGTACACACATCCTCTTCTAGACTGAAGCAAAATTGAACAACCCCCAGGATTCGCCCAAGAGAGTCTTCTAGTGCCGCTTCCGAAACGAAGACATCCGACGTATTCAAATAAATCTATAGTTGACGCGTTACTTTCTCAGAAAAAGCAGCGTGCAACTTCATTCTAGATATATAGGCTGCCCTCTCATTCTACGGTAGCATATATATGATCATTACGTCCGAATTGGGCACCCAAACTCGATTCAAATACTCAGCACAACGTATCTTTGATGTGTTAAAAAGTAACGGAACTATTCCGCTCTCCCTCATGTGTTGGTAAATTATCGATTTAAACCTTTGTGAGACTATTTCGTAGAGTTATGTTAAATCACGATATCGTACTTGGGGAACCGGAAACAGACAGTGATAAAAAATCAAGATGGAACCCTCACACCTGTGATGCATGACATTGGCATCTTATCGAATGAGGGTATAACGTATACGAGGAGAGCTATAACTTACCACGCGTATATGCCTTGATGGATTTGTATTATTTGGACCTGTTACCTATTAATACAAATCCATCGACATCTGTGGGGGGGGGGGGGGGGGGCTTTAGAACAGCTAATTATAAAGCCTGAGATATTCCCATATTACCTAGAAGTCTGGTGTTGATTTGAGTCTATTGGATGATTAGATGAAGCGGGAGACCATTCGATCTGTATGCGGATGAATGGGTCTACTGCAGAGAGGACAGATATATGGGAGAGAAGCACGTACGCACATCACCAGTACATTAGCTGGCCCTTGATCATGAGCACTGATTCGTGCAATGGGTTAGGGTTGCTGTTTTCTCTTTTCCCATAGGGTAAGGGTTGGGGTTTACAAATATGATAGGTAATTTACGACATCTCCTCATCTCCAACAATTAAGCTCCACATGCAGGAGGATAGATTGCAATCTTAGAATCTTGATAGAATTAAACAGCTTCTCCTTCCCTCATCTGAGGCTAAAGAATGCCGATGATATCTTGACAATTCTATTATTTGATCTAAGTCAGGGTACGGAATCGACCAAGCTCACTCTATTTGAGACAGCTCTTGACTCTGCGCTGCCCCTAACTTTGGAAGTTCATCCGTCATCGAATGTCTGGACCACATCGCGGATTCGGCCTGATATCAACCGGAGATATATCGTAGCTTGGCGAGGAATCACCAGATTTATTCAGCGTTCAATAATCATTATTCTACTGCATTGAGCCCAGCTTGCAGTTCAGCAAGAGGCCAATTCAGTGAAGCCGGCGCTTGACAAGGTTCGGGGCTCACATCCCCGCGAGGTTTACGTTCCTTATCTGGGATTCGAAGTAGATTTCAACCCACGATACCCCACCGGATTACTCGAAACGGAATCCCGGCCGAGTTCCTTCTGGACGCTGGTGTTTTGTGGGGTTTGTGGGGTGCTACCATGTGCATGTGCAACGCACGGCACCCATGTGACGTAGATGCGCTAAGAGACAAGCGAGTGCAACGAGTGCAAGTCAATATCTAAAACCAAGTCGAAACTTCTATCCGAAAGCCCTTTTTCGAAATTTTTTTTTCAAATTGGAGCATTCCATGATTTTTATATCTGGGTATCGAAAACCGTGATTGAATACATAATTCCTATGATTTGTTAGATAAACGTGTGGATGCCAATTGCAGAAGGAGACTTTAATTGCAGGAAACGGTGGTAAAGCTGTAGCACAAGGTTCTGCAGAAGATTTATGTATCAGGTCATTCCGTGGTTTTTGAACTTTCACCGGACATACCACGCCTTTGGGCGCCAATAGCTCCCACGTACTTTTTGAGAGAAGACCCAAGGACACGATTCTTCCACATTATCTATTTTGATCCCCTCCTTGTCTGAGCTGCCGGGCGTTCCACGGCAATTAACTTCCTAGAAACCTAGCGCAATCACTTTTACATAAATACCCATCAAGTGGCCTCCCTCGATTCAAGCTGAGTTCGTACACAGCCATCCAACAGCCATTATATCATAGCTTTAAATTTGAAAGCTTTTACTGAACTACACCCTATATACTCGCAAATCTACCCAAGAGACACAATGAGCTATAGTGCTCGTATCGCCCCACACTTTATGCGAGCTCTCAGGCAAAATGGAACGATAGCCTCACGGAGACCACTCCTCTTCAATGCTACCACAACTGTCAGACCATTCTCGGTCTCTGCCAAATTCATGAGAGGTCCACCAAAGGCTCCTGCTCAAGAAGCCGACAACCTACGGACCGGGAATGAGGCACCCACTTTCCTTGGTACACAAAAACGTCTTCCTGAATTCAATCTGGTTGATAGAGTTGTGCTTGTTTCTGGTGGAGCTCGTGGCCTGGGATTGGCACAGTCGGAAGCTCTTCTTGAAGCTGGGGCTAAAGGTTAAACCTAGATCACTATCTAAACTTCTTTTTGAATTACTAATTCTGATTTATATCATAACCACAGTCTATGCACTTGACAGGCTCGAGAAACCGAGCCCTGAGTTCTACAACGTTCAAGCCAAAGCTCAGAAAGAACTTGGAACATCATTACACTACCATCAAATCGATGTTCGTGACGAAGCCGGTCTCAACAAAACAATTGAGAAAATTGGTAAGGAGAATGGTCGGTTAGATGGACTGATTGCGGCAGCTGGTATCCAGCAAGAGACCACTGCTTTCGACTATAATGCGGCAGATTTCAACAGGATGTTGGAGGTCAATGTCACTGGTGTATTCCTTACAGCTCAAGCAGCTGCCAAACAAATGGTCAAGTTTGGGAACGGAGGTAGCATTGTCATGATAGCTTCAATGTCTGGCACAATTGCGAATAAGGTAGGGATCCAGCTTTTTGTTTTCTGGCACTTAGTTACTAACCCAGAAATCGATTAGGGGCTTGCTTGTCCTGCCTACAACACCTCTAAGTCGGCTGTTCTTCAGTTGGCCCGCAACCTGGCCGCCGAATGGGGCACACATGGAATCAGGGTAAACACAATCTCTCCAGGATATATTCTGACAGCCATGGTGGAGGACCTCTTCGTAAAGTTTCCGGAGAGGAGAGCGGAATGGTCAACACAGAACATGCTAGGAAGACTTAGTCAACCTAAGGAATATCGGTAAGAAACTTCTCCCACACGTCTTTCCGGTGGTTGCTGCTGACAATGCTATTTCACTCATCAGAGGGGCGGCAGTCTTTTTACTTAGTGATGCGAGCACGTTCATGACTGGTGCGGATCTTATCATGGACGGAGGACACCACTCTTGGTAATAACGCAATGGGAATCAGAACGATTGTTACTTTCATTAGGCTTGGCGCGCATAACGTGGAATTTTCGGTGTTTGAAGTCGGTTAAATTAGCATTCTGGAATATTTCAATTGATTTATTTACTCTTTCTGGATCTAAACTACTTGGCGGTGTACCGTTGCGTGCGCCAATTCGATCGAGGTTTCACAGCTTCTTAGGATCTCTCCTGCGGGGAAGTAGTTCGCAATGCAAGGTTCTCCACTTCTGACCCGATACTTAAGCTTAACTATTGACTGTGACTCGAGTGCAGCATGCATGGAAAAAGCATTTCATACAGTCTCTGCCTGGAAATTGCTTTTTTTGAGGTTTAGCTCAATTCCGAAGATACAAGACATAGTGTATTATATAATTATCATTGTAGCGGAATTTTACCTTCATGGCTTCAGAGATATTTCGATTTAATAACCTTTATTTTAGGGCGTCTAAGTAATGACAGCAAAGTAGAGCGCATATATCTAGATTCTATCAGTGGAGTACTACTGATACACATGTGATTCAATTGATGATCTACATGTAGCTACATACATGTATGTACCCGCGACCAGCAACAAGAACCCGAAAATGCACGTCCTAATCTGCAATTTCCATTGGAGTAGAAGTCAAAAATACACCAAAGACTTGCAGCTGCATATTCGGGTTCTTGTTGCTGGTCGCGAGTACGTACAGGCTTACAACGACTTATTCTGCCTCACGATTCCTTCTAGTAGAGGAAATTGAGTCGCGGTTCACCCATTCTACTCTAGTAATAATCCTATGTCTTTTTTATTTTTTATTTTTTTTTGTAGTATTCAAGGCTACGAAAGTAACGTTCCAAGTGAGATTTCATGACTGGCTATGGTGATTCCCGGATTTCCGTATCTAGAAACCGAGCCCTACGAAGTCTGTACTAGTCTATATACACTGTCTCATCCCTTCTGCAATCAGATAATCTGCTCTACCCACTAGGGCCCCGTGACAAACTCAGAGCTGGAGTTATAAACTGCGTCATAAACTCGGACTGTCATAAACTGCTGTTTTTAATTGAAAACTGTCATAAACTTAGACTTAATTTTCTAATTTTGACCACCCAAATTACCCTAACCCACCCTAAATACCAATTTTTGCCCTAAAATTACCCTAGCCCACTCCCAAAATGGCTGTTGAGTTTATGACCATGACACCCAGGTTTTCGACAGCCAGTTTTTAACCAGTTTAAAACTGTCTGTCATACATTCAGTTTAAAACTCCCGAGTTTCTCACGGGGCTCTACTACCCACCTACGTGGTTCATCAAGATACATCATTCTCTATACTACAGTTACGTAGAGTAACCTGCATCTCATTACAATTGTCGTGTGGCACAGATACGCGCCTATCTTGACCTATGGTGGCCCTCCATTTATTTTACATGCGTTGACATCTCAGCTTGAGATATCAATTCCACCTAGCTTTCTCCACACTATGAGCGAAGATCCAAAGTGCAAAAAGGTCATCTAACCTGATTTATCTATGGATTCCGTAAGGCTTTTTCTCTTCTCTGACGCATGGCATATACGGAAGGACAACCTCTTCCCCCCAACCGGTGAAGCGTCTACTCAAGCAGGGGTCAATACCTATGTAGATTAAGAGACACGTAGAACCGTGGTGTACTCTTCGGACTCTTTCAAATGCTAGTCAATTGAGCTAGCTAGCTATCTAGGTTGTTAGTTAATACAAATCCCGAATGTTCAGCACTAGACTATGTATGTAGTCAGTACTCGAGACGCCACGTGTGGTACAATATGTCACTTGTTTCCGGTTTAATGGTAAGCTTTCCCATTGGTGGATGCCAATAAAGAATAGACCCAACGTCACATTGGATTCCAATACGCAAATTACGAGGACGACGTGTGTATGTACCTGAGGCTTTCCGCCGGAGCCCCTCTTATCCCAGCCTGAGTTGTTTATCTAGAGTAGGTATGTGGACCCAATATACGCTCACAATACTATAGCATATCACAAAAAGGTATAGGTATGTTACCTTGCATTTCCCATGCATCATGATTATAACGGCGCCTAACCCGTGCGGAACGGAACATACTTACCTATATAACGCGGAACGACCGCGGGCTTTTGTTGATTGATGAGCTTTTCTTTGGTCCACTGGGCGTGACCAATCAATCGGACTCAAAGAAGTAAGATTCTTTGGCCGACCGTCCTTTGGGGGAACAGCTATTCTCTTATCAAATTATAACACTAGGAGCATTTTTTCAGCTGAAATTTGATTTTAGGTCACAATCCACAATGTAAAGGTAGGCCATTCGCCCCCTCACCAGCCAATATGAAGCGTTATAGGGCATGTTGCACAATGATCCATTTTGGCACAACTGTGGGGAATTGAGGCACCCATGGAATTCAGCTTGGATAAGGAGTTCTAGGTTAATGATGGTGTGCCCGCCTATAGCATACTCATGAGTAACAATGATTAGTTAAGTATGGCTGTTTCTAAAACGTCTTTGGTTGAAGAGAACGCAGCTCTTTGGTCTCACTTGGGTGTTTTTATCGCCTGAGTAAGTGGTTGCCGCGATTTGCTAGAAAAATCAGATCAAACAGCACTATGATCAATTGGTTGCAGTGATTTACTACTATTCAGCTAAGACTCGTAGTGTTTAACTGAGGGTGAAATTGCCTGGTTGTCTGTGAATGACCCTATAATAATATAAAACTCACTGAAAGCGTATCAAACCCATTGTTCGGGCCTGCTGGGCTTACAATATTGCACTACCACAATTAGCTACCCAGGGGAGTTTTTGTGAAGGCACATACCAAATTCCATCATATGGTTAATACAACCAGCATGAGTATTTGTTTATTAATTGGTTTCCCGAAGGTTTCGGAAATAGTATGTACTATGGCCTCCTGGAGGAATTACTCAAATCATTACCCCGCTAGCTACGGCTTCGCAACTTTCGTTCCCAACCTTTTCAGGAATCCTGGCGCTAGCTTAAACTCCTTCTCAATCCTTTCGGGACTCCAACCTTTCTCATCCCTCAGCGACAGTATCTGTAATATCGTACTCGTGTCTGCCATCGTACGGTTTCCACCTGCATTTGTTGTCTCTGTCTCGCTCGCCTGCCGACTATCGAACATCGATCGGCGCGACAGTGTCCGGAGATCATTCGAGCTCTAGATTACCACCGCCACGCCAGTAAGAATTATACTCCCCAAATTTCAAGATAACCACAAAAACAACGCCATACCTTCGAGTTCAAAGCCACGTTTCTCGCTGGGTCTGGGATCGTCTGCTGCTGCTGCACTGATCCTACAGCCCGTAGCATGTTTGCAAAGTCGGGGTCCTGAGCATCCTGTCGAATCGCTACATATGTCACATAACCAATTAACTCCATATTGTAGCTTTAGCTTCAGCTTCTTTTAAAACCCTACCATCGTCTTTGGTGGAACTAGCGTATGTCTCTGGGTGTACTGAGGGTCCTTTGCCGACTGAGATTGAAGACGGACCCGTCGAAGAAGTGGTCTGTGACGAGGGGAGGTCAGGGATACGGGTGGGGTATTTTCGAGCGCCAGCTGGTGCTGCTGCTTTCGTTATTTTTGAGGCTTTGGAGCCCATTGTGGATGTCGGATTGACCTGGCGGCTGGTTGGTCTTGAGTTATATTCGGTATCGATATGGTATCCGGATCCAGCAGCCAGACCAGGGTACATGAAGACGTCATGGATGAAGTAGGGTAACAGGAAGGAAACATTACCCGCTCTGATTAAGTAGCGTGAGGGCTTAACACTTGGCATTGATTTGAGGTTCAGGTTTGTTTCGAGGTGCTGGTGGTCTTTCAATTTGAGTATCAGGTGCTTTAAAACTATGGATTATACTGTCATTTGGTGACATGCAAACATGATTCAGTGGTGTAGTGGTATCACGGGCGCTTGCCATCTAACGATAGTTTGCGCCCGACCCGGGTTCGATTCCCGGCTGATTCATCTTTTAATTTTCTTTTTATTCCCTCCTTTAAAGCGTTTCAAGGACTCTCTGCATTTCACACGTAGTCAACGGTGTTTAATCCTGATATTTATCAAGATACAGGTATGTCGTTCGTCGAGTGATATCCTGTGATTATCTACGAGCGGAATTGGATAGCACGGGCCAGGCGATTCACGATAACTTAGTTACAGTCACTCACGGGGTGAAGGCGGATCCTGCCTGATGGTGGTCAGGGATTTGAGGCCAATAAAAGAGTTAGGTTTTGGACGCCAAGGGCAAATTACTGCAAACAGAACCATCAGACAGGATCCGCCGTTAGTAGGTGAGCGACTGTAGTTATTTTAAGACTTTAGTACTATGTAAGCGTTTTTATTCCTTGTAATATCTCCTTTTTCTTTTTATAAACAGACAGATACGATTCTCCTGTATGTCGAAGTAATTCATTAGACTCCCGGATCCATTTTTTCTTTCAATACAAGTACAAGGGCACTGCCTCAGTTTCTTCAAATATGTACATGTACAAAAACTAGGGATTCTTTAGATCTGTGTGTAGTATGTTAGCCGTGTACTACAGCATCTTTGTGGTACGATTCCGGAACCTCTAAACCCGGTACACTAGAGCATAGAGATAGAGATGAAACTCGCCTAGTATTTTGGCGGCTTTTTCTCGGACCAGGTTTAAAATTTCCGGGACCGTTATCACTAGGGAATGCAGGGATGGTTGTTGATGCCGGTGCCTGCCTGCTCCTCTTGGCAATAGCCTCATTATGTGAAAATTCAATTTTTACTGCAGTTGGCCGGTTGGCGCAATGGTAGCGCGTGGTCCTCCTATGAGGTTCAGACCGAGGTTGAGGGTTCGAGTCCCTTGCTGGTCGTTCTTTTTGCAGATTATTTTTTGGAAGTAGGCAGTGCGAATCTAATCACGTATCTGTTCAGAAAGACAGTAAATTCCAGGCGTCCAATAGTGAAGCAAATAAATTTGGACTTGGGTGCAACCACTTTTGATCCCCAAGTCACCCGGCACACAACTCGCTTCTATCAGGATTGAATTCATGGTCTCTCACTCGGGTGGGTACTGGTATCGCTAGACCAACCCATTTACTGCAAAATCCACTCCCATCTCTCTATGCCCTATCAGCGGCCCGATGCCCGTCCGGCGGCTAGTCAGAAGCTTTGTAGTCGGAGTAAGGAAGGTGCTTCATCTACCTCAGGGTTCATATCGCAGATCTCCGCATGAGTCAATATTATTTCCACCCATTATAGCACTAGCTGACTAGCTGACTGACTGACTGACGGACTGCTACAGTGCCGCACCCCCTTTGTTCCCCAGAAAAGTTTAGGCTAAGCTTATATTTAACGAACTGTCAAGGTTCCTTCTGCGCCGTGTGGCCGCGCTATGGATCGGGCAGTTATGTAGCACAGTCGCTATTTACGGCAGATATGTGCTCGTATTTATTTGGCTTGGGAGGTAAGGACTGGCCCTTCGTTTCTGCACTTTGAATAGAGTTTTTTTCTTCCCTTGCATGGATATGGATAGCTGCTTAATCACGGTCAGTCGGAGGTAAGGTGTCCGCACGCCCGTACCCGTACCCGTACCGCCCAGGGTGGTTGTTATATTTGATATTCCTTACCTCGCTTGCTGGAGGTAGTAGTGGTGGGGGCTGCATCCAGTGGAATGAGTGAGGGGGGAGGGTTTTTATAAGCAGTCCTTCCTGCCAGCCAGCTAGCTATTTGATACTGGCCTGAGTGCAGTGAGGACCATTTAGCTGCCCACATATATACCAACCGCAACCAATTGAAGATGACGGAGCTGTCGGGCAAGCAGGAAATTGATATTGTAAACTCATACTTCGCCGCCTACCAGAGCGGGTACGTCTCCCCCCCCCCCCCCCCCACATCCACTATCCATACTAACATACCTTCCCAGCCAATATGACCGAATAACACCCTTCCTCCACCCCACCTTCACCTTCTCCGACCCGTCCTTCCCCACGCCCACCCCCCAGCGCTCCCGCGCCCTTTTTTCCCTCTTCTGTGCAACCATGGTCAAGTCCGAGCTCCGCCTCGAGCCCACGCCGGCAGAGCCCGCCCCCGACGGTAACGGGTTCGTGGTGCGGTACACGTGCGACTATATCTTTGGCGCCGAGAAGCGGAAGGTGCACAACGACGTTGTGGCGAGAGTAACGCTGTGCGGAGGGATGGTGGGGAGGCATGTAGATGTGTTTGATGTGGGGGTGTGGGGGAAGCAGGCGCTGGGATGGTGGGGGGTTGGGCTGGGTGCATGTGGGGTGCTGGAGGGGGTGGTGAGGTGGTGGGCGGGTGGGTGGTTGGAGAGGTGGTGTGAAGGGGAGGAGGGGGCGGGGAGGGAGGAGGTGGATCAGGACGGGGTGGAGGGAGAGAGGGAGAGGGGGGAGAGGGACATTGTGGAGGGGGGGCAGTGGGTGTTTGTTAAATAGCTCTATTTGTTTTTTATATCAGGGTTGGGGAACGGCGTTAACTGGGAAATGCGATTAGGGAGTACTAGCTTACAATTCTTCTAATGAAATGCTCAAATACTAGCAGGCTATCTAGCTAACCAACTAAATCTCCAGAATTGGGGAGTACTAGCTTACAATTTCTACTCAAGAGGCAGCTAGCTATAAATTGTAACCACCAACCAATTAACCACAGGGACCTCCCAGCCCGCAAGATAATAGATAGATATTTAAAGCTACGCTCCTATCATTAGACAAAAACGTTTCGCAAGAGAGAAGGTTTCCCACATCGTAGCTGACTGGTCCCGACGCCAAGACGTCCCCAATTTAAAGCTAGGGCTTTACTGAACTATCAATCAATCAATCAGCTACTATAGGGTTTGGTTTAATGCGGTGTTTCACTGCTAACAATTGGATTCAATACTATTCTATTGGTGAGGCGGCTACATATACTAGCAAGCAAGATACGCTAGGTGAGTGTAGAGTTATTGGTGTCCCTATTAGGATTATAAATATTAACCTAGATACTCACGCCTCATTCATACTGCGTATTATTTTAAATTTGGAGGTCTCACTACTATTAATGTGCTTATGTCAATGATCTCGAGGTTGGGATAGCACGTAAGTGCACATGTCTCTAGTAATGTAGTTAAGTAAATACGTGTGGGTACATTAGCACAAACGATATATCAAGAAACACAAATACAATATGCCCCCTTCCTAATTCCACACATATGTACACAATATATACTCGAATAAAAAAACCCTTATACTACTACTAGCTCTACAAACAACCAAACAACCCATACAACCCTACTCCACAAAAACCCCACTCCTTCCCCTTCTTTCCTCGTAACCCTCACCTCCCCAATCACCATCCGCTTATCCACCGCCTTACACATGTCCACCACTGTCAGCCCCGCACCCACCACCGCCGTCAGCGCCTCCATCTCTACGCCCGTCTGCCCCACACACTCGACCATCACCTCGATGTGCACATACCCGTTCTCACCCTCGCCGCCGCACGCCTCAACGCTGACATTGACGCCGCTGACGAGGATGGGGTGGCAGAGCGGGATGAGTTCGGGGCACTTCTTGACGGCCATGATGCCGGCGATGCGTGCTGTAGCGAGGACATCGCCCTTTTTGAGTGCGTTGGTGCGGATTAGGGTTAGGGGGGTGGGGTTGGAAAAGTGGACGCGCCCGGCGGCGCTGGCGGTGCGAGAGGTGACGGCTTTTTGAGTGATGTTGACCATGTGTGCTTCACCGGTGGGGGTGAGGTGGGTGAGTTTGGGTTCGGGAGATGGATAGGGAGTGGTAGGCTTGGTAGAGTATGCTCGTGCTTGGAGGAAGGATGGGGGTAGGAATGGGGGTGGTATTAGTGTACTTGAAAATGAAGAACTCCGCATAACGCCTGAGAAAGAATGATATCCCCAGAGAGCCGGCCTGTGCCCCACTGCTACAGCCGCCACCGCCGCTCTTACCCCCCTATGATCCTTATCTACATACATCGTCAATTTTAAGAAGTTGTAAGGACTGGCAGGTTTGTAAAGACCTACCCACCGATCAAGATCATAGGGCGATTCTTCATATTCTCCAGTTCACCCATGCCCGCATGTTTCGCCTTCTTTCTCCCTACTGCCGCACCCACGACATCCAGTAGCTCCCTCTCCATTACTGCTCTATCACCCGCACCAACCTCGGCCTCTCGGTCTCGGTATTTTCTCATCATGTCCCGTAGACTAACCTCTGCATCTCCAAATAGGCACACCTTGAGGTTGCCGTCTCCCGTGATGCGGAGCCTGTTGCAGCTTCCGCAGAAGTTGTGCGTCATGCTGGTAATGAAGCCGACTCGGCCCTGGTATCCAGGGACATGCCAGCTCTTGCTTGTGTCATTAGGCCGCTGGGATGCCATCTTCTGTAGGCTGGGATGTGTAGTGTGAATGAGGTCAACCATGTCCTTGTATGAGACCATCTTATTTTTGTTCCACTTATTGCCATCGAATGGCATGTATTCGATGAAACGTACTTCAATGGGCTTGTCGCGCGTCAACTCGACAAAGTCGGCAATCTCGTTATCATTGACACCTTTCATGACGACAGAATTGATTTTGAGGATTTTGTCAGAGCCGGGGGCACCGAAGCCAAGGGAGAGTGCATTATCGATTGTTTTGAGAACCTGTTCGAGTCCTATACCGCATTCATTAGTCTCTACATCCTAACACCCCCAAAAGGAGTACATACCTTTCCTCCTAGTCATAAACTGAAATTTCCATGGATCTAGTGTATCTAGACTCAGGTTCAGTCCTGTCAACCCCGCATCCACCATGCGCTCCAGCTTGCGATTCAACGCAATCCCATTACTCGTCATCGCCACCTCTTTCAACCCCATACTCCTCAACTTCCCTAACTCCTCCACTAGCTCTACTATATCTTTCCGCACGGTGGGCTCCCCACCTGTTAGTCTGATCTTTGTGACACCCTGTGAGACAAACAGACGTGCGACTTCGAGAATCTCGGGAGTAGAGAGGAGGTGCGCGGGAGGCGAGAGTGGGACGCCCTCTTCGGGCATGCAGTAGACACCTGTATTAAAACTGTCAACATCCACGGGTACTACCAGCTGGTGAACGGGGCACGTACATCGTAGGTTACAGCGCTCAGTAACAGAGATCCGGAGATATGTGTGTTGGCGCCCGAATGTGTCAGTCAGGAACTCCGAAAACGGCTTTGCAGACTTCCTGAGTTGGTCTAATCGGGGTTTCGCCGTCGTCGTCGTCGTTGTTGGGGCTGAGAATGGGAGCTGTAAACTGGCATCTTCTTCCTCCTCGACGGCAGCAGTAAGGCCTGTTGCGATTGCTCGCCTCTGTGCTACTGGTACTGGTATTGAAGGGAGCCTGCGTAAGGATCTTATTGTGGGGAGGCGGGAGCACCGCGATAATAGTGTCGAGGTCGCCATCGTTCGCTGTTTAAAACTGGTATTAACTAAAGAAGGATATCCAAATCTCTCTATTAGTCTCTGTGGCCCTCCGAGTCCGGTAGGTAAAGAAAGTATTAACAAGCAGCTCCGAAAAAATTATATAGATATCCTGCAGGAGAATAATAAATCCAACAAGAATTTAAGGAAGCGTCGACCCCACTCAATTAAAGTGGGTAGCTAATTGCTGCTTATCGATAAATGCCTAACTGCCAAGCCCCATTATGCCAGGGTTCTGGTGTGCCCGCCGCATCCCGGGAAAGGGTCCCGGAGAAACACTCCCGTGAAGAAATTTCGTGATAATAGGTACTCGTAAAAGAAATGAGGAGAAACGAAAGAAAGAAAAATTTGTCGGAGTTCCGGGGTTTAGAGATAAAGTAATCGGGAAGTTCCTGGACTGTTTGCCTGCCTAATTGATGCCGGCAATCTCTGTGTCTGCGATTACTGAAGGCGGCTTGGCGACATTTGCAGGCGATCTCTAATAATGCAAGATCTTGATATTCACTAGTTGAAGTGCAGATTCGAGGTCTGAAGCCCGAGATATTTTCCTATGCATCCCAACCATAACCTGAAGGCAAGACACTGAAAAGGCAGCATAGATAAAACACTAGTGGCAAAAGTTAAGTTAACTGGGAATGTGCTCACACAGCCCCAAGTACTACAGCTTCTGGGGACGTAAAGTTTAGAAATTTTAAGGGTCTAAATGCTCATAGGGTATCTAGCCAGCGCTAAAACGTCTAGTCTCCTTAAGACTCAAATTGCTGTCAGTGGGGTGCTTGATTTTTGATAAACTGTGATAGTAACACCGGAGTATATTTAAGGGCTTTAGATGACAGTAAATTACTGAATACATCATGTAGACCAATTATCCTATTAGACCAGTAAATATATACATACCACCGTGTCCAATAAATCGTTGAGACACTCCTGTCTGTGGTTTTTGTTCTTCCAACAGTATTTCTCAAGATTGATCGAGTGATTATTTATGATTCAAATCATCCTTGTGAACTCCAACTATTCAAACACCCCGTGTATTAAAGGTACAATTTAGAAAAGTTTAAATTCCACAAGACTTAATTCTACTACAATTAAAGGAACTGAGGCGGGTTAAAGGGAGCCTCGTAAATGCGTTAATCAGAAGTTGATGGCTCTGCGAGCCTTGAATATGATTTGATGAATCCCACGTCTTTAAAAGATACCCAGTACTTTCAGACGCCCACCATTCTGGAGGTGGGAACAATACATGCCATGAAAATTGACAAGTTACATAGGCTAGAACTGAACAGGATCAGAACCCCGCCGCAAAAGTAACTTAACCGCCACGTGATCCAGTAACGGGGTTTGCCATTTCCTGAAAGTTTACGTGCTTGAACTTGGGCCCCCGCTTTGCATATCTGTTCCACAAGCTGATGGTGCTTTGGGGTTCTGTCCAAGAAAACCGAAAGAAAAGGTGGTATCATGGGCCACTGAAAGCTCAATACAAAGCTGAAGCAATCTCCTAAGTACTCCTGACCGTCATTCAAAATATATCCATAAACTAAGGGTTAGGTTAAGAATTGGAAGAATTTCATAAATCAACTCATCCCTCATCACCTTAATTTTACCGTTGTGCTTTTAGCGGGATCATTGGTCCAACGCATCTAGGCGCCGCTGTAGTGCATACAGCAAGATCCGAGCGAATGGTAGACCCGAGAACGATGCCATGCAGGTGGAGTGTTGAATAGGTACTCTAGGTAGGCAGGTGAACAGTCCTATCGATGTCCGCCTATGACACGTAGAATAGAATAGGCACCCATGCCCTAGCTACATGTGGTGGTTGTATGATGCCTGATTACTTTTAAAAAAGTTACTTTACATACAACCCACCTGTCTACCCTACCTCCTGCTACTTTACTACAACTACATACTTCTACTGCTAACCTAGTCACTCCCGCAGAACAGAGCTCTCGGAAAACAACCTAGAAAAAAAGAGCCAGATCGTTGTTTGTTTGCCTAGCATGCAGTCGCCATCCTCGGAGGCCAGCCTTCGCAACGTAACCGATAAGATTCGGGATGTTTCTCTGTCTGGCGAAACAAATAGACTTGTTGTCGGGGTTGACTTTGGAACAACATATAGCGGGTGAGAAGACACTTCCTCCCCTCCCTCCCTTCCCCACTTCTCCTTCCCCACCACACTACACGGTCCACTAGTTCCCGTGCCTGTTCCTGGGGAAATCAAAAAGCTTATCATCTCCTCTGCAGAGTCGCCTGGGGCTACACTGGTTCTCCCAGCGAGATTCACGTAATCCAGGTCCGTCCCACAACTCCACAACTCCACAACTCCCCCTCCTCCCCGCCAAGCCCCCACATCCCCACTGACAGACACACCTCCAGAGCTGGCCTGGCGGCGTAAACCTCACCTCTCCCAAGGTCCCCTCCAAGATCGCCTACGAAAAGGACGGCATAAAATGGGGCTTCCAAATCAAGCCTTTCCAGAACTGCATCGAGTGCTTCAAGCTCTGCCTGGACCCCAACTTGCGACCACCAGACTTTGTTTCGCTCCCTAATATCTATGCCCAGCTACAGCAGCACGAGAAGACTGTTCAAGATGTCGTCAGGGACTATCTGCAGATGCTCTACGACCACACTATCACCATGCTGACCCGGTCTCTCGGACAAACGTTTGTGGAGAATACTAAGATTGAGTTTATCCTCACGTGCCCGGCCGTGTGGAGCGACCGCTCGAAGAACGCGACGCTACAGGCAGCGGAGGGCACGGGTATGGCAAAGTCCTGTAAGATTAGGCTAATCTCCGAGCCCGAGGCTGCGGCGCTATATACCTTGAAAACAATACGGCCAAAGAATTTGTCGGCGAACGATGATTCGTGCTTTGTCGTTTGTGATGCGGGTGGTGGTACGGTGGATCTAATCTCGTATGAGATTTTGCAGACGGAGCCGTTGCAAGTGAAGGAGAGTGTTACAGGCACAGGTATGTCTCTTGTTTTAAGCCCCCATTTACGGTGGGAGGTTAACGCTGTAAAGGTGAGCTATGCGGGTCTGCGTTCCTGAACCGCCGGTTCGAGAGCTTCGTGAAGGAGCGATTAGGCTCCACCGCTTATTTTGCGATGAAGGAGAAGACCAAAATTGCGGCTCTCAAGTCGTGGGAGGAGTATGTGAAGCGGGTCTTTGTAGACGGCGAGGATCAGGACGTATTTCCGATACAATTCCCCGGGCTTCCCGACGACGAAGCGCGAGGGATTGACTGCGGCTTCATGACCGTTACAAGGGAAGAGGTACAGGGTATATTTGAGCCCGTGATTGAAGAGGTTGTACGACTTGTAGACGGACAGATCACAGCGGTACAGTCAAAGGGGAAGCGAGTAAAGGTAACTTATATGGCCCTCTCTAATCTTCCCCGCTTGTCGGTAGCGGGCACGTAGCAGCTCTGAAGGTCGAGATATCCGGTGTCAACTGCCCAAGATATCTGCGGAGTTGATACCGGATATTTGGACCCTTGGATTAGACTACCTGCCATGTGCCCGCTACCGACAAGCGGCTAACTGTCCTAGAGGGTTGGCCAAGTGCTAATCACGGCCTCCAAAGAGTATTCTCCTTGTTGGCGGCTTTGGTTCCTCGGAATACCTCTTTATGCGTCTCCAGAACAAATACACCGATATTCTTTCCACTCCCGACAACCCAGACGTTGTGCTCCAACCTGTAGATTCATGGACTGCCGTCGTTCGAGGCGCTGTAATTCGTGGAATGGAGACTATCGTGCAGACACGCAAGTCGCGATACCATTACGGCGTCAAGTACTGGGAGTACTATGACGAGAATATTCACTCTGAAGAGCACAAGTACTGGGACACGACAAGGGAGAAGTGGCTCGCCGAGAACCAGATCAAGTGGTATATCGCAAAGGTTCTAGATATAACCCTAGCCCTTATTTATGTTTGTGAGTACTGACGGGCAGTTGAAGGGAACGGAAATGTCCGAGGATGAGAGTATTGCGTTTCCATTCTATATCACCTTTGAGGACCACCATAGTAGGGTTTTAGTGGACGAGTTGGTCTGCTGCCAGGAAACGTTCCCACCAAAATGCATCGATAGCAGTATGCAGTTCCCTTCCTCCCACTTGAAATTATGTAACTTTAACTAACCCTTCATAGCGGTTAAAACTGTGTGCAAGCTCCGCTCCGATCTAACAAACGTGCCCAAGAGCATGTACACCAAGGGCAGGAACTCCAAGGACGTGGAATACGAAGGCTTGCATTTCACGATGGAAATGACGGTGTTGAGCGCGTCACTGCTGTTTGAGCTGAGTGTCGACGGTGTCCGGTATGAAGATGATTCCCTCGAGCTCAGCTGGCATTGAGTTGTAGTGGGCTTTTTATTTTCTTTTTTGAGACGTTTGCTGATTGCTCTTCCCTTCTCTTGCGGGTTTCATTGTAGGTATGGCGAGGTTACAGCGGACTTTGCTACTTGATCTACATACCGAGTCTGTTGAAAGTCGGGCGGGGAGGGAGTGGGGGAGGGGGGAAGGGGGGAAGGGGCGCAGTTATTTTTTTATCACTTTTATCATTTTTCATTTTTTCACCATCCCGCGAGAATCTTTGATGCGATGGGGGTAATTGGATTTGCATAGCAAAACAAAGGCAGCTATAGATTAGGGTGTGATGGGCCCGGTAATCTTTTTTAAATCTTTTTTTTCTTTCTCTTACGATCAGGAGCTAGCTAGAGCCTGGGGGGGGGGGGGGGGGGCGTTGAGGGATAATCCGCTATTTCATACATACATACTTTTGCAGTGGTTACTTGTAGCCATCAGTATGGTGTGGTACAGTGCATTATAGGCGTCTCCAGTGAAATTGAGTCTCGAGTAGTAGGTCTGCAATTGGCAGAGACTAGGGCTCTAGTAAAGATAATGTGCTGAGCAGGTCAATTTTCTAGATATAGGTACTCGACAGCACTCAAGTACAAACCATATCTATCTGATAGTAGATGTAATCTAGATCTAGATCCTACCGGATCCCTCCTCCACCAGGCGTAAAGTCAAGCACTTACGCACCTTACATAATAAGCCTAGCTGCGAACCAGTCTAAATTTAAGGTTTGGCGCGGTGTGTGTGCCCTTGCTCCCGCTGTCTGTCTGGGCCCTGTTACGGAAAAAGGCTTGGCTGACGTGCCGTGACGTCGATGCGAGCAGCAGAACACACCAGCTCAACCACCGATGTTTTGCAAGATGCCAGGTTTCGGTGCACGAGTGACGGACGGGGCGTTTACTCTACCTCCTCCCCTACAGCTAGCTAGCTACGTTCTATGGCGGGAGTAGCTAGGGGTGTTTCTTGATTTGTAGCTGTGGCCAGTTGGGTATAAATCTGGCTTGCCCACACAGCACAGATATAGGGGAGTACTCTAGAGTAGGTTGTCGATCACCATCAGTCTGTAAACAAGCATAGATACCTCGATCCCAAATCCTCACAGAAGAAGAACAAGAAGAAGAAAAGATGTCGAACCTCCTCGGCCGCCTCCGGCCCAGCCACGACTCGACTGCTACGGACAACCCGACAACCTTCTCCGGCGCCACGCCCCGCGCGAGCACAAACGACCCCAGCGGCCTCGACCAGACGACCAGTAACACGACGGTGGTGCGTGAGAAGCGGTCGAGGAGGGACTTGGAGGCCGCGGAGGAGGAGGAGGAGGAGGAGTATGAGGGATGGGTGGACCCGTATGGGCCGGCGCCGACGGTGCTGCAGTGGTTTAAGTGGTATTGGCATGATCTGCTTGCGTGAGTATATGTCTCCAGCTGTTTTCTCTGTGCGTGTGCGTGTGGAATAATTGCTGATTTGGGGATGTGCAGGTTTATAATCTTGGGCGCGATTGCGCTGTGGTTGCTGATGTGGAGTCCGGTCCCGTACCGGAAGCTATTCGCAGTATCGTATAATCCCGAGTCTGGGCTCACGCCGTGAGTGTTTTCCTCTTTCCCAGATACCCCCATATTCAACATACTGACAGTCCCCGCAGAAGCTCCACCATAATCTACCCCTCATTCGCACACCCCAAGCAGTCCCAAATCATGCCCATCGTCCCCGACGCCATGATCGCCATCTTCGTCCCCTTCATCTCCATCTGGCTCATCAACTTCTTCGGCATCGGCACCCACGGCCCCACCGGCCGCCGCCTCAAGACCCGCGGCCACGGCACCTTCCTCCTCGGCCGCGGCTCCTTCTGGAACGTTAACAACGGCTGCTGGGGCGTCATCTACTCCGTCATGACAGGCGCAACCCTGCAGATCATCATCAAGCTCGTCATTGGCGGCCTGCGCCCCCACTTCCTCACCGTGTGCGACCCGCAGATTGAGGGCGTCGAGGGCCAGGGCTACGGCGGCCTCTACTTCGACGTGACCGTCTGCCGCGACTTTGAGAACCGGAAGGACCTGATCGCGAACGCGATGCAGAGCTTCCCCAGCGGCCACAGCATCGCCGCCTGGGCGGGCCTCTTCTATGTCAGCCTCTACTACAACGCGCACCTCAAGATCTTTGCAAACTACCACCCCTCGTTCCTGAAGCTGCTCCTGTTTGTCGCGCCAATGCTCGCCGCAACACTCATCGTCGGCAGCCTGACGCTCGACATGAGCCACAACTGGTACGACATCGCCGCCGGCTCGGCCATCGGCGTGGTCATGGCCATCCTGGGGTACCGCATGTGCTTTGCGTCCGTGTGGGACTGGCGCTGTAACCACATCCCGCTGCCGCGCAATCGCGAGATCGGCGGGTTCGGGTATGGGCTGCGCGAGATGGAGATGTGGAGTGGGGGTGCGGCGACGAGGAATGGTGGGTGGGGCGTGGCAGAGAGGTATTCGCATAGGAGCTGGGGCGCGCCGGGGGATCTTGCGGGTGTAGGCGCGGGTTTGGGTGGTGGTGGTGGTTTGAATGGTGGTAATGGTGGTAATGGGAGACATCATGGGCATGGGCATGTGCATGGGCACTCGGGGAGGGGACATCGCGGCGGGGAGACATATATGCATGCGCCTCCGGCGGGCACGGGGGTGGGCGCGGGTGATGGGAGTGCGGTGTATAATCGGTAGTCGGGTTGAGGATGAGAGCACTTTTGTTTCTTTGTAACTAGTATTTTTTTTTTCATGATGTATGATTCCCGGGAGACTTGCTCTCCTTACTTCCTCCCTTTCTGTCTGTTAATAGCTTGGGGACTTGCATGGTGGTAATAATGAAGCTGTAATGAATTGATGGTCGTTGTTCCTAATCCCGATATACCGCCATAACTCGAAAAATTGGCCAGCTTCCAGAGATCAAAATTACTTGTATGGGAAACTTCTGATGCAGATCGATGCCATTCAACCAACCACTCGAGTGATAATCCCTGGCCGGAGATAGCCAATTTTTCGAGTTTTGGCGGTAGTGGAGTCCTCTCCGGGAAGACGTGAACCCAGACAACCCCAGGCACCCCTGCCCCTGCCCCTGCCTTCACCCCACCAAGCCCCACCACCATCCCGCCCCACCATGCTGCCCCCTCCATCCATCCATCAATCCAAGCCCACCAACTACCAACCCAAGCTAGAAAAAAAGATAGCCCAACCTAAGCCCGACCAAGGACATCGTGGCCGAGTGGTTAAGGCGACAGACTCGAACCCCCCCCCCCTCCCTCTCTTGACCTACACGCCGAGAGAGTGGCCTACCTAGTTCGTGTTCATCTGTTGGGTTCGCCCGCATAGGTTCAAATCCTGTCGATGTCGTTCGTTATCGTGACTTTTTTTTTTTTTTTTTTTTTTTTTTGGTTGGTTCTTACATACTGTATATATGTAGGTAGTGGACTTTTGTTTTGCATGGGGTGTCACTCGTGTGGGTTCTAGTTTGCAGGGTGGTGAGCTGGGACGAAAGAGCCTATATATACAACTAGGGCGATTAAGCAGAACCAGAACAGGACAGAGCCAGGTTACTTGGGAAAGGCTTCTTTGAGGGTTCATACTACTCTATTATGGATAAAAACCAATTGAGGGATACTAAAGAAGAAGCACAAATTATAAAAAAAAACGACGTACATAAAAGCCATAACGCAAGAACCACAATAACCCCCCACCCCCCCCACCCCCACAAACCCCATTCCTACAGCAGTAGCCAGTCCATAAAAAGCAGCCAGAACTCCTAGAAAGAGAGAAGAAAAAAGCAAAGGCTAAAGAAAGAAAAGAAAAGAATTGCTTCGGTCGTATTGCGTAAAGGTGGTATAGGTGGGTATAATCTGATCTGATGAGCAATCAAAAGAAGAGAAGAGAAGAGAAGAAGAAAAAAAGTAACAGCTTTCTTTCTAGCAACAAAAGGTCTCAGGTCTCAAGTGGACGGAATGTAGCTTTAAAGACGGGCGCTGCCAGAAAATAAAAAGAAAGCCAGAGGAAAGCCAAAGAAGTAGATATAAAACAAAACAAAAAAATCAACCAAGCAAAGAAAAAACCCAAGCAAAAACAAGATCCACTATAAAACACCATAAAGCAAACACCCACCAACTCCCACTCCACTCCACTCCACTCCACTCCCACTCCCCCTCAATCATCCAACGGCGAATAATCCCTCCCACCCCTCCCCTCCCTCCCCTCCCTCCCCTCCCTCCCCTCCCTCCCCTCCCTCCCCTCCCTCCCGTCCCTCCCATCCCTCACATCCTGCACCCCATCACCCACACTATCCACCTTCAGCAACAAATCCACACTCTCGTCCCGATCCCGCTCATCATCGCCATCATTCTCATGCGGCGACTGTCCATCATCACTCCTGCGGTCCAGCAGACTCAGCGGCCTCGCCGCCGGGCTCAAGCTCTTCCTCAACGAACCCAGCTTCCGCACGCCCCCGCCCCCCGGCGCAAAGCTGCCCAGGCCGCCCCGAAGTGAGCTGCGCGACTGCGTCATGCTGCTGCTGCGCTCGTCGTGCTGACTGCCGCCTTCGGAGGAGGATGAGGGGGCTTTCGACGCCTCCGTGCTGGAGAGCGTACTCTTTGTGCCAGTGCCTGGGATGATGGTGCTGCGGTCGGCCTCCATGCTCTTCTTCATGACCTCTCTCCCCTCAAGAAACACCTGCAGCTCCGCGCCCACGCAGCAGCACAGCAGCTTCCAGTTCTTGGCCTCTGCGAGCGCCAGGATCTCTTCCAGCTTCGCTATCGTCTCCTCAATGTCCTGCAGGATGCGCGCCTTGACGTCTGCCGTGCTGACCCGCTTCCCCGTGCCGGCGCCGGCGCCAGCGGCGGTGGCCATGTGGGCGCGCAGCAGCTCCTCGAAGCCGCCGACGAGCTGCAGCGTGTCTTCCCAGAGGAGGATCCCGTCGCGTAGCGCGCCGCCCTCGTCGCCTGCCTGCGACTGCTTCTCGGATAGCGCCTCGCACTCCCGGGTCCACGACTCGACGGCCGTCGCCGGCGTCGCGTATCGGTGCGAGGCCAGGAGGGCCGAGGTCTTGGTCTTCAGCGCGGCCAGCGCCGCCTTGTACGACGATGTCTTTGCGCCGACGACGGACTCGCCCTCGGCCAGCTGGATGGACACCGCGGCGAGCTTGTCCTCCATTTTTGCGAGGTGGACGCGGATGCGCTGGATCTCTGCCTCGAGCTCGCCCTTCTCTGTGCGGAGCGCCTCCATGCGGCGGCCCTCGTCGCCGTCCTCGATGCTGTGGATCTCGGCTTCGAGGAGCTTCGTTTTCGTGCCCCAGGCGGTGACCGTCTTGATGAGGCTCTGGCGGTCCGAGATTTGCGAGGCGTAGATGTCCGATTCGACGTCCTTGATGTCGGCGAGCTCCTTCATGCTGTGTGTTATACCGTGGCGGGCCTCGCCGAGCGACATTGGCGGCGGTCCTTGCCCTTGCCCCTGCCCCTTTCGCCCGCCGCGCTGCTGCTGCTGCGGGGGCTTTGGTGGTGCGGGGGCGAAGGTGCCGCCGGACATGAGGGCGGTGGATTGGGCGTCGAGGAGGACCTGCAGCTGCTCGGTGAGGTGCTTGGATTGTTGCCGGAGGGAGTGGAGTGAGCGCTGGTTGGAGTAGGCCGAGTAGCTGCGGGCGTAGGCGTAGGTTGTCACGGCTGGGGGTGGGAGCATTAGGCTTGCTGGGGGGGAGGATACCTCGGTGGTGCTGGCGGCGAACGGGTCGCGGCGGGGTTTGTACGTGGGGAGGTGAGGGGCGGAGGTGGACGTCGTAGTGGTTGCGGTGGTGAAGCGGGATTTGCGGCGCGGGGGAGGAGAGGAGATGGAGGTGAAGGGGTCGGAGAGATTGCTGGGCGGGGAGCCGCGGAGGTAGCTGGGGGGGTTGAGGTCGTCGGGGGAGGTCATTTTGATAACTGCTGTTTCTCCGTGGACTGGTATGTATGTGTGTGTGTATGCAAAACAAGCAAGCTCTTGACGGGAACGAGCTGGGTACCTGTATAATCTTGGGGGGGGGGGGGGGGGGAGTCTGCAAGCTATCCAGAGACTGTCTGATGTCTCGAGATGATGGATGATGGCTGCTCGAGGGATGAGGTTTGTTTGGTGTTTGTGATTTCGAGCTGTCAGAGCTCACGTTGTCTCTCTCTTGTCTGCAGCCACGGGTTCAAGTCAAGTTCGGTCACAAGCGCGCCAAGACCGGGGTGGCCCTGGGCAGCCCTAACCCTCGCTTGGGCTTGTCAACGATTGTTTCCATGTTTGGAGACGATATTAACTATTGCTTGAGTTGAGCACTCGTCGTGTAGCTACATAGAGTACATGTAGTTTAGTTATCTTTAATCTTTAATCTTATCAGGAGTGGCCTGTCGTATCAATAAGGATCCTGGTAGACATCTACTTATCACAATGCTGTTCTTAGCCTTCCCCCAGAGAAAGCTTAAGCCTCGGGACCTCTAAACTCCAGAAGTATCTCCATTATATTACATACGGTGCTGTAATATGTAAAGCACTTAGATCTTCGACTTCGGCGTAGCCCGAACTGCCTTTCCAGGATCCTTCGTTTCTAAAAATGCCATATATAAAACAATCTGGCTCTTACCCTGGCCGTCTGGCCAACGAGCACTTTGGAATAAGGCAAGGGATTATCTCATACTAACACCATACTCGCTCACTTAAGGGACGCAGTTGCGGACTCGACCCCCCCCCCCCCCAAATCAAGATCCACGGTTTCTTGCAAACATCCTAATACGGCACCAGCATCTAGAGTACTAATATATCCATTTCCTAAACCAGTGCGCAGTGGATGTCATAGCTTGACACCTTGGCAGAAAACACCTCTCTCTACGTAGGGCAGAGGGGGAGGGGGGAGGGGGAGGCACTTTATTTAACCTCCTTCCCGTCGCGACTATCGATCGGCCAAACAACTACCGCCAGCAGAGTAATTGTTCACCCGCCGTCACCAATCATCACTCACTGCAGGGATTCCCACTCTGTTTTATTCGCAGGGCTGCCAGTGACGTCACATGCCTGTTCCTGCTTGCAATAACAAAAAGCCGTCCTCATCACCGATTCCGATGCGATGTCTGTGGGCTTGCCCATCCCATCCCATCCCATTGCTTCACAGCAGCGTCATACATAAGGCTGATGCATTATTGGTGATGTGGGACCGAGGGTATGGGAAAGTTGAAGAGAGCGCAAGACAGGTTCTTGCTCTCACCTCTGGGGAAAGAAGAGACCACCCCCCCCGTCTACTAGATTCGTACCTACCAAAATGTGGAATAGAGTAGGGTAGATCAGACCACGAAGAATCCCCCCCCTCCCTCCATCTAGACTATAACTACCCGCGCAATTGCCACCGTCCTGTCAATTCCACGCCGTCCATCGCATCCTCCTGACTATCACGTTAATTAGCCAGCCAGCTAGCTAGTCGTCTCTCTCCCACCCATTAATTCCCGACCCACAATCATTGGCCCTCTCATTCCATCATTGACCCTCTCATTCCATCATTGACCCTCCCCACTCCACCAACTAGCCCCCCCCTCCCCACCTTTTCCTCCACAATGGCCAAAAGCACCGGCACCTCTACAGCCCTCACCATCGTGCGCGTCTTCCAAATCCTCACGCTCATCGCCTGCTGGGGCATCCTCGCCGCGCTCGTCAACATCTACAGCAGCAACGGCGCCGCCGCCCCCGCCGGCGTCCTCTGCCTCTTCATCGTCGCCCTCCTCGCCTCCATCTGGGCCTTCTGCGTGCTGCTAACCCAAGCGCGCGCGCGCAACACCGCCTACTGGATGGCCGCCGGCGACATCATCCTCCTCGCAGCCCTCATCGCCGGCGTCGTTCTCATCTCCCGCATCACCTCGCGCTGCAAGCAACAAGTCGCCTACGCCACGAGCGGGGACGGCACGAAGGTCTACCCCACTACTACTACGGTGGCGGCTGGTAGCAGCGACCCTGTGTGGCATGGGCACAACTGCGATCTGGCGAAGGCGGCGATGGGGCTGGGGATTGCGAATATCGTGTTGTTCTTCATCTCTGCCATCTTGGCGGCGCTGGTGGTGGTGCAGAATAGGCGGGAGGATGAGGAGCTGGTGAGGGAGAAGATCTATACGGAGGCGACTACGAGAAGGGGGAGTGGGAGTGTGGGGTATGTGGAGAGTGAGAGGAGTGGTAGGAGTCGGAGTCGGAGTCGGAGTAGGAGGCATAGGCATCGTCATCGCAGCCCGAGGTCGGGGGAGTATATCATTCATGAGGAGAGGATTGTGTAGAGTGGGTTATTATATAGTCTGTGGTGTTATGGTCGGCGTGGTGGGTGTTTTTACGAATTTTATGAAGGCATGAAGAAGGTTTATGAGGACTTTACGAATTGTCATGTCTCTCTCAGGGTCGCACGCATACACATTATACGGTTTTTAACGAGCTATATGATTTCCGAAATTTATGTATAATTAATTTTTCTCTATTTCTTTTTCTTCTCTTGTCTGATAATTTATGGCCGGATATGCCGAAATAATAATCATCATCTCATTGAATCGATAAAGCGAATTTTCGCTTAGCATGATCAGGATGTCACCGTTGAGTTGATGTTTCTCTTGGCACAAGGCTGAGAAGTAGAAACTTACTTATACATGTAAAAACATTTGTTGCAACAAGCTGGCCGGTTGGCGCAATGGTAGCGCGTGGTCCTCCTATGAGGTTCAGACCGAGGTTGAGGGTTCGAGTCCCTTGCTGGTCGTTATCTTTTTTTTTCTCTCGATATTCTTTTAGTAGAAATTTTAGGCCAACCGGCATTTTTCACCCTCAATTTTGAGGAAAATGCTGATTGCAAAATTGATGGTTGCGGGTAGCAAAATTGACGGTTCCATGCCGATCCCCATGCAAAAATGGTTTCACAACTGCTAGTTGCGGGGACCGTTTTGCTGGGTGACAAACGGTATTTCTCAAAATTGATAGTTGGCCTAAAATTCCTAATCCATTCTGTCCTTAAACAAAGAAATGACGGCATGACCAAGAACCCTTTTTACCTGGTCAGCTCTCTGGTGTTAGGTCGCCTCGACCAATGATTTTCTGGGTAAATTCGAGGGCTTCAACATCTCCATTAGCCTAGCTAGAGCCACCGAGTGATTATTGGTGAATTTGTTCGGATGCCGTACGGCCGTATGGATGCAGCCTTATCTCCGTGCACGTGAGCTGCGTTTATTGATGATGGCGCTTCTTTATATCGCCGGGAATTATAATGAGCTTTCGGTTCTTTCCTTTTACGTGCATTCAATATATACCCGAACAAAGTGTGATACGAGCTCGCAGCATACATGTATCGCAGTACCTAGAAGGACATTAAGAAGGCCGGGCCATTGTAGGTACATGTGACTGAATTCAGACCAACCAGAGCACCGCAGAAACTCCACGCGAAGCTATGTACAAGTAGGTGTCGGCAAGTTTTTTTTTCATTAATAGTGATATGACCATTATATGTATTAAGAAATCCATGGTAGTGTATGTACATGTAATTAAACATACACGTAACCATCAGAAGCAACGCCTTGGATCTGAACTTTTTTTCACAGATGGATCCGAAGGTCGTGGAATTCGGGAGAAGCTTAAGGCCGGGGTGGGTGATTGGTTCTCTTTACTCGAGTTTTAATTGTCCTTTTCATGCCCTTTATTTCGTAGTCCTATGGCAGGTCACCGTGGTTGAAGTTATCCATAGTTATCTCCAGCGCCACTCCTAGGTTTTACGGAGATCTGTTCCCGGGTGCCAGGAAGTATGTTTGCGTTGTTGGGTCGATCTAGACTTAAAATATGGTTATACTTGTGGTTTTCGGACATGAACTCTCACTCACACCCTGCTCTTGCAATTGCTAGCACTGACATATTTAGTGAGTCGCTGCATGTGGCTAGATGTAGATAGAGTGTATGTACAGCACTTTGAACTTCCTCCTGTGGCCTAGTGTTTTCAGGCGCATGGGTCGAGGTTCGTTCAAGCCTTCTTCCCGAAGCTTCTATATAGAAACTATCATGCTCTGGGTACGAAATCGTGTTACAATGAGTGAGCCTGAACCCCTTTGGATCAGCGACGTCCATCAAAATCAAAGAGAAAAAAAAAACCACCGATCCCCAAATTCCTTAATGATGGAGGGAATTCCAGCTAAAAGGGTGTTCTGGGACGAGTAACTACATTGTAGCATTCTGAATTTAGGGGTACGTGTGCTTGTAGTCTATGCACATAACGGGAATACTTTATTCTAGCAAGCCGAACTTCAAGATCTTTCATGGCAACTTGGCCTTCAAAGTAGTATCGTATCGTGTTCATATCAATGTATCATGCCCTAGTGTACAAAGGTTCTGGTGTACACGAGATAAGTTATCACCCATGGGCCGGGAGGATAGACAGGGACAGAGACTTCCGCATTGGGACGTAAAAGATAAGTTGTCTGAAATATTAGGATATTTTGAAGACTTTTGCTGCCAAAAGCTCTGCAGGGGCGCTCAAAATGGCGGCCTAGTCTAACATCATTTATGGTATCCTGGATGATAATGTCAGGTCATGTCAATATTGAACTTCATCATGAGGTTTCTCCTCTCCACCAAATTACCCATAGATGTATTAACCAGCATCCAATTCCATCAACGGCATATATCTTCAAGTCATCTTCTTCATTGATACTGGGCTTGTAACAGTTAGGGGATACATTTGTTCAAAGAATAACATGTACATGAGTCTGGCGAAAGCGGGCATGGGCGAGCCATACTCGCCCCCACATGATATTGGGGAATCGATTATGATGATAAAGCTTACTACAGGTAAAGGCACTAGCTGGGTGCAAGACTAGGGCGATAGGTGTTCGGGACTTGGAGGTTTTCAGCCTACCTGCCGTCTGTCACGCAGGCGCGCCTACTAGTACTAGTGCTGCCGTCACGCAGGTGCGCCGCCTCTACTCGTACTTTCGTGACGTTTGTAAAAGGAACCGCTATTGCATACCATACTAAATTGTGGACTTGGCGCGTATTTGTATGGCATGCAATAGTGGTTCCTTTTACAAACGTCACGAATTCCCACCAGCAGATAAGACATTCTTCCTCAGAGGATACCACAGTATCCCATTGTCGTTGAAAAGCTATCTTTTTTCAAATTGTACCATAGGGATTATTAATAACACGTACGCACCCTTTCGCTCGCTCGCTACCAACAGCCTTCTGAGACAGATACTATGGAAAATGAATGAGAAAGTAATATGAAAAGGGTAAAAATAGGTGTCGTTACAGAAAAATAAGAAAATGAAGCAAGTAAGAAACCATATCAGATCGCCCCTCCAAGATACTCGATCGTCTCCCTAACTTTTGCACTGATATTTGAGTCTGCACTAGTGCCAGTGTACATCCACTCTACAACATCTTCCCAGACCTCTGGGAATAGCAGTGGGATCTCTACAGTGGCACCTCTCTTTACATGCTCACTTAGCAGTATCGCCGCCAGGAGTGGTGCACGGTGCAGCGCATATTCGATATCTGGTATATATTCGGAAAGTGAGTACAAAAAAGGTTAATCGGAAGAGCTTGAGGGGTAAGACTAACGTATTGGCACAGCCGGCCTCCTCTGAGTTTTCACCTTAACTACGTTTTGCAAAATTTCAACCTTAGTCCCCTGATAATGCTCTTCCCGGTGTCTAATGTGATGCCGTGGCGAGGCAATATGCTTTCTGATTTTACACGAACTTGATTTTCTTACTGGGAAGTACTTCTCCATGTAAAACGGCCTGCTCGATCTTGACTGTGGGATAATCCTCACTTTGACAAGCCGCTTTGTTGTGTTCGGATCGTCTTCCTCTTGCTTCTCCTCATCCTCTTGCTTGATGTTTTTTGAGGATATTGAAAAGTCTGATAGCGCCTGATGAAGATCATTTGGAGAAACATGAGCGTGACGGGCTCTGGACGACTGAGCAGGTGGGATGGCAACAGCCCGGATAAACGCATCCGCGGTTGATGAATTGAAGAGATATACATCACCCCATTCGCGGAGTTTGTTTGCCGTATATGAGAAGGGAATATTGCCCAGAAATGTGGGATCAAGCGGATTGTGTATTTGCTGTTCTGGTACAGCTGCATCTTGAAAGATATTTTGCGTGCATGCCGCCTGCTGAGCTTTTGAGCCGGGCGACACGCCAGAGCCATCAAAATCCTCGTCCTTTACCTTCTGTTTCCACCACTCTCTATCCACATCATTCTTTACGTCCTGGTACTCATTTTCACTGAAATCCCGCGGGGGAGATGCACTTCCCCGCCGGGGTAACTGGATATCACCAGCTTTGATATCCACCATCCTAGGCCTTGGATATGGCTCTAGCGCGGCAGAATGTCTGCGGGGAATGGTCGATGCTTGTGCGATATTTCTTAATGCTGGGTGGATTCTCATCTGCAGTGCATCTGTCTCCGTACTAGAAGAATATGGCGGTGTATCTAGCTGGTAGTTGAGATTCAAATAGTAGTCTCTTGCAGCTACAACAGTTGGAGATACAATATCCACAGGCGGTGTTAGAGTTTGTATGTAGTTTTTATGGTCGTATTGCAGGCTTTCTAGTTTGATTATATCTGTCGGAGGTGTGCCTAGACGCCTGGCTGCAATTGTGGGTGCGGATGTCGTCAATGTGAATGGGACATTCGTGGGAGAAGCAGTGTAGCTACACTCCCTTGGTTCTTCGGGGGTATACTGTGACATTATAGAAGCAGGAAAGAGAAGAAAATCTTGGTTATGCTGCAGGAGTGTTGGTATATGTGTCGGAGGATATTTGGACTGGAAGACACAAGATTCTAGTCTCATTCCGAAGGCTACACTGGGGGCTTCTCGATATTCTTTGATTGTTCTGTATGGAGAAAATCTTCGACCATGTGTTGGTTTATGAGTAACAGACAGCTTCTTATGAGAGTACTAGATCCATATGCAACTAATATTCATTGCCAAGTGGTGTGCTTGCCTGATTTGATAAGGATATTAGCAACTACGGCATAAGCTATAAGGCGTTAACAAACAGTTGAACTACTCACACAATAAGATACTGATAGGTATGAGTTGAGACTACCTCGGCCGTGCCTCTCAATTGAGGTCCGACATAACACCCGTTGATATATATAGATCAATCAAAAGTATGACATAGATTGAGCGATAAAGCTCTTTTACCTTTTATATATTAAAAACTAGGGCCTGGGGATTAATTCCAGCGCGTCGGAGAAACATCGCTCAACAAAGACATCTTGACTCGACGTTAGCACCCAGCCGTCAGAAATGAAAGTCCGAAACTCGACTACAAAGTTCTTTGGACCCCCTCGGATGACGTGACGGGATGAGATACAACGCATTCGTAGAGTGGGGCCGCTTGAGAAGAAACAATCAAGGGCCAGCAAGGTCAATCACACTCTTAATTCTACGTACGTATGGTGTAGGTAGCTATCAATGCCGTTGGTCATCGCTCACATGAGCTGCCGAAGGTTAGCAGCAGGACGAAACTCACAAGCACAAAGAGAACGAGATAGAGGGCGATAAATGAAATGATTTCTCTACATATCATGCATTACTAGATTGAGAGGAGGAATCTCGGAGAAGACGGAGAACTGATGAGCATTTCTCTATTGTGGCCTCCATCGCGCTGGCTTGGCCTTAAAGCTACACGTACCTACCATCGGAGGTACCTAGATGATTTATTTGACTCTTAGATCTCTGACTATCTGGCTGGAATAGATGCACTAATCAGGACAGTCACTAGAGATTGCGCATAGTCGTTTTTAGAGCCGAATGGGGACAAAGAAAGATTAGCAATATTCCATTCCAGTACGTTTCCCTTTTTTTCTAGTCACGAACAAAGGGCTGCATAAGGGTCCACCGCGTCTGGTAGATAAGTGACCCTGTAAACCTTAATCTTTTTTCTGTGTATGGGCAGCACAACAAGTGGCCATAAATCATAGCCAACGTGCTCCATTCTACACACTCTACCACTCTAATCTCCCTTCACATAGGGAAAAAAAGACCAACCCGAGTCCCTTGTACCAGTATCCATCCACGGTGTGCTGTGGAGCAACTCAGTCTCGTGTTTGCCTTTCAAACACATGCATTTACCTCCCTGTACACTATTCTCAGATCTGGACTTCGAACCCGATACTAGCATTCCCCATTAATGGGTTTAAGTTCAGCCACTTGTCGGACGCCATGAAGTATATTCTATTTTGCCAATATTTGAATAGCTTCGGACAACAATCCCGAAAAAGCCCTGAGTAGATATAGGAGGTTAGAGGTGAAAGGACTTGGGCGGATGGATAAGTTAATATCAACACCGGACAAGAGAGTATGTATTAGAGAGCGTGATTCTATTTTTAATCTAATCTTGATCACTTTCTTCTAGAGCTCAGCACAAAGACATAGCTGTATCCGTTACAGTTACCCAAGCACGTGGCAGAACAATATTATGCTGAGTGTTTGTTTGACTTATGTGCAGATTGCTTGATAGGAAATTTAAATAAAACCTGATCACGGCACACACTGGTCATGTCACTTTACTCCGAGAGCATCCCTTGCATAGCGCACTTGCTAGCTGCCATATATCAGGTTTCTCTACCTCACCCTGTCATGAACTGGTTTAAGGAGAAGGCTTCTACTGTTTCTTTACTGTGTTTTTGTTAGTAATTCTTTGGAAGGTCTTATAATTAGTTATTAGAAACACCACAAAGGGATGAAAATTATTTAGCTCGATCGAAATATGGCATCATCCTCATTCATGCGCAAATAAGGGGGATACGGAGAAAATCATCAAATACAAGAAGTTTCAGGAGAGCAACTAAAGTAGGTACATTTCGAAAAGAACTCAGGAGGGATGCGGTATTCTCCACATGCATATGTCATGTCGTCGACGTCAATCTTCACGCCATGCATACTTTAAGGGATGAGGTCCATGGAAAAATCTCCCTCGGGGATATTTTATTGACCTTTAAAATCAGGACTCAATCTCAGTTATCATCTCGGCCTTCTGCTCTCCCAGTTGTAATATACTAACTTAGCCTCAGCTAGCAACAGACTGAAAATGGGCTTCCGGTCTCTAAGTTCTAAGCCCATGATAATTCTCGACTGTCATTATTTTCCTAAGCAGCCAGCCTAGCTAGACACGGACCATTAACCAATAGAACAATTTTCCCCGTCCGTTGCAATGCATTATTCGGGATAGCAACAGGTTTCAAGGATCGTTCTAAGAAGCAGTTTTAGGCGCTCTCAAAAGCAAACACATCAGCAATGCACATCTCAAGTTGTACAGAAGCATATGCGTATGCTCGTGAAAGTACTTAATCACTTCACGTTCCTCACCTGAGTCTAGAAGTTCATGATGGTGCGATATCCTGTGGTGTGCATATATTCTAGGTACATAAGCCATGTTACGAACTAGATTTTCGGATCGAGTATGTTCCCCCTAAGTTTGCATATGAGGTTTGACGTGAAGGCAGAAAGATTACGTACAAATCGGTACTATCGAATAACAGTCCGATCAGGGAACTCTAAACATAGTAAAACCAGAACAGGTATCACCAGGCAAAGTTTATAATCATCATACTTTAGGATATATGATAAGTGGAACTTCAGCGCAGCCTGTTGTATCTGCTTGGGGACTCGATAACACTGAAAAATTGTTGTGTCCCAATCCCGCGCGGTCTGCACATGTCCACGCCAACCATCAGATTCGGTACTATTGTGCGTGATGGAAGGAAAGCGCAAAGAAAAGAAATTCTTACTGCGCCCCACGGAACAAAACCTAAGGTTCTTGGAGAATTTTCGTTTTTTGAAAGGTCCCATTGGTTTCCGGCTACATATATCCGCACTTACGCACACTGCATGTATGATTCCAGGCTACAACCCAACCATTAGGCGAACCACATCAATATCTCATCATGTAGCTATTCGCCCGTCCTACATATGTGAGGAAATGTGCAGCCTTTCTCAATGCCCCCGCTTCCCCCTAAGGTTTGATAAAGGCTGTAAGATGCCCACCAGCTCCTCTATGCGCGGCTGTCTTGTTCCATCTTTTAGAAATTCGAAACTTTCCAACCTGTCGTGTCGGCCCTTTTAATTGTCCTACAATATACCTTCTTTTTGCCGACCGATACCTTGCAATGATTCTTGGCTCCTTCTATCCTAGTAACTTCTTCGTTGTATTCCTAGTTACTATCATTTTTCAGTCTTTGCTGGTTCATTCACAGCAGTTGGATCCTATCAAGAATGTATGCAGTCGGTGGGATCATCAATGTAAGTAGTCTTGCCGACCTATTTGTTTCAGCTTTGACATTAATTCCAAATTAAAGCCGCAATCCTGAATGGAAAAATCTACATTGACGGCGGCGTGGAAGTCTTCGTCGACCTAAATTCCGCCGGAGAAAAACAACCTGGTACCCAACAAGTAGGAATAAGTTAGTTCTTTGTCCACCCTGTGGATTCATGGTCACTCTTTAACAATTTACTGAACTCTCCAGACAAGTATTTGGTATCGTTAGATATGACCCAACAATGGTCCTGGCGGGGCGATATGCCTCTTAAGGTCCTGGATTACCAAGAACAACAGCAAAGCGCTCGTCCGCCTTCATTGACGAGTGGTGCACTATGGTCATGGAAAAATTCCCTGTATCTATATGGCGGTACCACAAGTAGACTCAATGATTCCTTTGTTGGCTACGCTGCGCCTACTACAGACGACGTTGTGATGTGGAAATACGATGTAGAAAAAACAACATGGGCCCCTATCAGCTTTCGAAATAATTCAGCAATAATGCCACGCTTGTCCAACGGCGCAAGCACTGTTGTCTCGAGCCAAGGGCTTGCGTTTCATCTTGGCGGCGCAATCGATAATGGAACGCTGCCTGTATCAGAATCAAATATCACCTCTGGGGTTTCATTCGTTAATTCTTTCTACGCATTCAATTTCACGGACGAAAGTGCCTCAAAACTCGGAACAGACGGCTTGGGTGATACATCTTACAGGACAAATGCGCAGATGGTCAATATCCCTGATCTTGGTAGTAAAGGGATCTTAGTTCTCCTAGGAGGCGGCTACAGAAACTCATCCGCCAATGGTATGGACTGGAAAGGTTAGTTACCTCCGATCCTTGGTCAATGATAGTTCTAACGTATATTTATATTATATCAGGTGACCTGGTTTGTATTAACCTTTCCGCGAATAATGACCACAGCTTCCTTAGTAACAATAACAGATTTCAATGAGTAGTATAGGCATTTTCGACATTAACTCCACCGCTGTCGGCGGAACTTGGTATAACCAAACTGCCACTGGCGACACCCCAAGCCCACGCATAGATTTCTGCATGGTCATTGTCTCTGCACCCGATAAATCTAGTCATAACATGTACGTTTCCCGATTTCATTTATCATATCATGGACACGCCAAACTAATGTACAAAGCTTCATATATGGCGGTTGGGACGGGGTTAATAACTTTGACCAAGTCTACGTTCTCTCAATACCCTCCTTCCGGTGGATTAAGATCTTTGAAGGGAAAGAGGAACGCCGCTCCCATACCTGTCATGTTGTCGGTAACAGGCAACTCATGACAGTTGGCGGCCGCCGGGGAAGGACGCTACCGGGTGAGTGTGATTGGCAACCGAATACAATTTCGCTATTTGATATGGTTACTTTGGATTGGGTTCCGGAATATAAGCCGAATGGGACAAAGTGGGAAGTGCCGAAACCTATCTCGGATAGGATTGGTGGAGGGTAAGTAACGAACAGTCTAACCCTTGATTAAATAGAAATATCTGATCGGAAACGTATAGGTCCAATGGAGACGCCACTCTAAACGCACCAGAAACATGGGCCCCAGGGCTCGAGGCAGTATTCATTTCTGGTGGGATCTCCCCCGACCCAGAAACCGCGCCCTTAGAACCCACCCGGAAAACTCTATCCAAATCTGCCGTGATCGGTCTCTCTGTTAGCCTTTCTGTTGCGGTGCTTCTCGCAATGTTCATAGTATACTATCTCTACCATCACTTCTGCTCCAAAAATTCCGGTTCTTATTCCCAACCCGCGGAGCCGGAACTACCAGCAAAAAACCCTCCTCCAAATGGAGTCTTTCAGGAGCTTTTTAGTAGCCTTGGGATGCAGAGGGGTGCGGGAGCGGAAGCTCCTCGTCACCAACCTTACGTATACGGCTGGCCGAGAATGAGGGGAGGTGATAGGAACCCGTTTGAAGTATCGTGTGAGGGGGTTAATGGGCCCGGGAGGAACAGCATGGCTGCTGGATCTCCTGTTGTCGAGAAGCCAGAGGGGAACTGGATTTGATGATATGATTATGAGTTGCTGTGTTATGTTGTGTTGTTATGTTTAATTTCTAATTTTGATACTGGTTATTGATTGTATGCATAATATGCATGTATTATTATGTAAGTTATGCGGGGCATTCTTTTTTCTTTTCTTTTCTTTCATGGCATTTGGAATGCATTACCTTTATATTTATTCTACGAATTGAACGAATTAGGACTGATCGAACTTCTATCCCTTTCGCCGGTAATAATCTGATCATTGCAAGAATATTCCTAGCTATGTAGCCCACAAGATTTCGGCGTAGAAAAGTCATTGAATCACCCATAGCTAGAACCGACTGACACGTGCTATATAACTATACGTACAGCGCACACATGCACCCAAGAATCATCCCTAATACATTGCCAAGTACTATAGACATCAATGAAATGTTCATATATGCTAGGCTCACGCGACAATACTTGTACAAATGGAGGATTCCCGTCCGCGATGGGATAACACAACAGCACGGCAGACATATTTATTCAGAAGTCAAACGAGTCTCACAATCGAATTACTAACAATAGTTTAACGTCTCAATGGTAAGAACCCAGGCCTTGTAAAACCTTTACCAATAAGTAAACCCTTAAACAACAAGCTTATTCACCATAATAAGGCCCAATAAGTGTTATTTAAGCATGCCTTGAAGATAGAATAAGGCCTAAAAGAATATCTACGCACAGAGAAAGCTATTTTAGATTTATTTTTTGGGTAAACTTATACTTTTACCCGTTGTGACGTTGGGGTACAGTATTAGATCTACTAAGTTAAAGAAAACCGAGTGATCGTAGATGATTCTCTGTGATACAATAAACAATGTAAAATGCTTTATATATTTTTTAAGGTCCCTGAAAAATATGATTCAGTGGTGTAGGGGTATCACGGGCGCTTGCCATTCATATGAATTGCGCCCGACCCGGGTTCGATTCCCGGCTGATTCACTCAAGCAACATGGCGCAGCGGAAGCGCGCCGGGCTCATAACCCGGAGGTCCCCCGATCGAAACGGGGTGTTGCTAAAACAATTCTTTTTTTTCTTTATTTTGATCTCATAATGCGGGCGAATGAATCTGTCAGTTAACTTCATAGTCCATCACTCGACCAACAAACCCGTGACTGCCAAGACATTCACTGCCCCGTTCTATTATTCGGGTTCAACATTCCTATGTATGTACACCAGGCTGTGCCGGCACCTGTTTGGTTGAGAATGGTGGAGATTACCAGGTATTCCCTGTTTCAACTTTCATTTAAGCTATAATTAATGTAAGGCATTCCTTCTCGGTACCATACCCACCCCACCGGAGTCTCTCTTATATTTAAGAAAAGGATTTGCATAACTTAGAATACCGTGATGAGTGACTCTGGTACACATGCTGTATGATTCGATTCTAGTCCTTAAGTTGTTGTGGCTAGGCACAATATACGTAGTGTGCCAAGTGACTGGACTTAGACGGTCATGACAGATGTAGCTGATTTAAACATATTTAAGTGATAGCTATTGTCTATGCGTGAATCCGCGCCCTTCATTGACATGACTGTGGCCATCACGCTTTCTAATTCATACCGAGGGGCTCGGAATGGCACATGGACAGTTTATATGCGAGATGTAATGGTAAGCCTCCACATATTATACGCGAGTTGTAGAATTAGAAGGCTTCGTCTTCAATTGTGTACTTGTTATACTGGGCTGTTGGTGTAGCCAGGAGAAAGGAAAAAGGAAATAGAAGACAACAACGCAGCGCGGGGGTTTCCTGTGGATCCGCGACCATTCACAAGTTGCCCGGCTGAGCTGAGTGGACGCCACAGTAGTATGTAGTATGATCTGGCTCTCGTTTTTGCAATTGAGAACTTAAATTTCTGTTGGAAATATAGCTATGTACTTATTGTCAGCCTTACCTGTCGCCCGTGGTATAGATACTTTTTATTCACGACTAGCGCAGACCTACATACCAGAGAATCACGGAATATAGAAGCCTACATGTAGCTGGCGCCATAGGCGCACTTCCAATCGCTGGATATCTGCATGCTAGAAATACCGACATCAGCCACGTACTACTTATATCTCGATATTGGAGTCAATTGATAGGACTTGAGATCTGCAATCCATATCCATTTTAATAATCCATGAGGTCTCAAGTGGTACCCCGCCATTCCTCGCCTCCCCCTCCCAATACCACACCCATGGCCATGCAATGCACATAACTCAACTGTGCTTGTACATACATGTGTCTCTAGAGGACTAGATGTAGTAATCTTTGCACAAGATAGGTCCATTTAGTAATCCAGTTACTAACTTACAAGCCTTCAAGACTGAAACAAGCTTTGTCGCTTTCAAGCGCTTGGTTCTGGTTATCTTGGCCTGATCGCTACTAAATAAAGATGACAGGTTTCGGGGGGTGGAAAGACAAAACGCTTCTACTCTTTAGGTTTAGCGTGGTTTGGGTTATAGTTACATGTAGTTAGTCGAATGGAATATTGTTTTTCCGTTGCTTAGTTAGTTGCCCACCGCTCATGCGAGATCACTCGGGGCCAAATGGTCAAAATTGGGTATTATTGCTTTTCAAAACAATAGCAAGACCGGGCACGTCATGTATGTCTTATCTGCACCTTTTCCCTATCGATTTTGCTACATGTACTTTATAACTTGCTAGATCACCCCCCAATCCACAAGCCAATCAATTGTGATTCTACCAACTCTTCGTCATGTCCAATCTTCGACTAATGATTAACCTAGCTCATTATATCCAATCTAACCAATAAATCTCAACAGATTTCCCATTATATTACATTCCGACAAAAACCAAGACAAAGAAATAACGCCGTACCGTGCAATCAGAAATTAGTGCCCAACCCAAGCTCCAGTCCCAAGAAAGAAAAGAAAAGAAATAACTCCAAATAATCCACAAAGAAAAGAACCTAGCCAACTCCAATATGCAGGGCCCTATGAAGGCTTTACACCAAGTCCGCCGATACCCTATCCTCCGTCGCAACTAGCGTCCACCCCCTCCCTCTACTAGTATTCCTGTCCAGCGTTGTAGGCTGCCTTTCCAATCCCGCCGGTACAGTCCTCACTTCGGGCGGACCCCTTATCGACCATCTTCTCGGAAGCCAACTCCTCCTATCACCTCGTATTCCGCTTTCACCGCTACCTCCAGTCAACGGTGTAATAGGGCTCTCCTCTAGCGGGGACACAATGTCATAATCGAACCACTCCCCACCGCCACCCGTGACAGGTGTAGTCCGTACCGTCGCACGGCTTTCGATGCACCGTTCGCTGGCCGCATTGCTGGGGCGGCGTTCCTTTTTCTTACGCACTAGAACACGGAAAGCGGGGATGCAGTAGCAGATATGAGCGCAGAGAACCTCAATAGTGGACCAGAAGATCACCGCGTGCAGGGTCTTGAGGTTGGGGGGTGGGGAAGTGGTAGCGTCGTGCGTAAGGACCGAGAAGCGCAAGATAGAGGCGAAGATAGAAAGAGAGCAGAGGCCGTAAATGGCGATGAATCCGTAACGTTCACGAGTGCTAAGTTTTAACGTCGAGATGATGCAGAGAGGTATTGCGGAAACTGCCTTGGTTAGTTGGGTGGTTCGCGGCATAGTCTTTGGTTACTGGCAATGGCATGCAGAATATCAATTCAATCTCATACGAGTACACGCTTGCGCATTACTCATATCATGTCGTAGTTTATACCCCGGCCATTGCTAGTAATCATGGTATGGAAAATAGATAAGGTCAAGCTTACTTAGTAAGTCGGTCGCAATATTAGCCCATGAGGAAGCCACAATCCAAGTCCTGGACGTGATGTGCGTGCAGAAGTCCGATTCCATAGACCTACATTTATTTTTTCCTTTTCGTCAGCCTTTTCCTGCAAGGCAATTAATGACCAGGATTGGTGGCGGTAGTGGTGGTGGGAGGAGTAATATAGATACATACCAATTCCGGTTAATAGGCCTACAAAACAGCGCCTGGCCAGTCAAAACTCCCGGGAAGGACAACACTGTCAACCCCGTAGTAACGTAGAGGAGCCATCGAGACTTCCAGTTGAGTGTTGGTACTAGGTCGTAGTAAAGGGAGAGGAAAGCGCCCTTGAGAACCCAGAGATGTACGGTATATGTTATGGAGGCCCAGAATGCTCGCTATGGTAGAAAAGTTCTATTAACAAGCTGTTCATAAAAAGATATACGTATACAGCTGTCTCTCTTATCTACATGGTACTTTTCGTTTCTTGCAAGAAAATAATCGAAAGACCCTTGGAACAAGAGAGAGAGGTGGAGACGATCCGGAAGAGAAAAACCCGCCCCGATCTCTAATTAATAGTTGTTAAGCTCACCTGAAGATACCGCACGCCAATCGCATCCACACCACCATTCAGCTCCTCCCACGAGTTCCAGAACCACAGAACCGTCTCAACGGTGTTCAACACTGCAACCACAACCAGAAACACCTCTCCAAAATAGGCCGCCGAAAACTTCCCAATGCGTGTCTTGCGGATGATGATGAACAAACGGAGGGCCGTGAGAAAAGGAACCAGAATCCCGGTCGCAAGGAGAACCGCGAGGAGGCTGCGGGCGTTGGTGGCTGGACCTCTCATCGTGGTGGTACGTAGCTAGTTGGTTAACTGACGGTCACTGCATTCAAGGTGATGGTATTGCAAAAACGAGGGTGAAAAGAAGTAGTAATAGTAGCTCTGTATTTATAAAATGGGCAAAGGATTAAAGGGTAGAAGTTATATTTAATGAGCGAAAGAAGAGAGTGGGTGGGGGGGAGGGAGGTGATCTATATGACCACCACCACCTAGTCCTCTCCTCCTCCTTCCTCACTTGAGGAGTTTCTACTGACTGCCACCCCTGATCGTATTGTCTGATCGCTATGCACATTTTTACTATCCCAGCAATTATGTTCTCTGCACTTTGAGGAGGGGCCGGTGAGATACGATGATCCCTCATTGAGGCTGGGTCTGGGTTGGTGGGTTGGGTTTGGGGGGGAGGGGGAAACATTACAATATGCCACTGGTAGAGTTGTAAGGTTGTAAGGATGGATACCCACCAGCTACGGTACCTCTGTGGGTTATGGATAGATGGAGGGATGCCACTCAGGAGATGCAGGTGCCGGCAGCTAACTAGATATTACGCGCCCCTACAGCAGGTGTCAGCCACACCCACCGCGCGCCAGGGCCAGGGGTTGCCTGGTGCGGGGATCGACCTAAGATATCCGTCCATCCCACTTTGAGGAACAGGCGCTTTAAACGCGGAGGGAATGACCGTGTTGCCCAACCGTCAAGGACTTCATCTAAATTGCCATCACGGTAATTGCACCCCAATTCCACTCCACTAACATTGCTAGACGGATGCGAAGCGGTCCCGCACTCACGATGCCTCGGGTATCTACCGGATTCCAGAGTAGGTATTCGTAGAATCAGGATTCCCTTCAGCTCATGTATGTAATACAGATTTCGCTTGTCAAGTCCAATGACACACTTACTAACAGCCAACGGCGAACCCTCCGATGGGACTGAAAGAGAGGTGGACGGGTGAGGCTCCTCTGAACCCTGGTCGCCATCCTCCGGGCGCTTGAACCATACTACATAATCCACTTTGGCGTCCTACACATGCATGTGAGCTCCTCTTATAAAGTATTTGGCTCAATGGCTTGCTTACCAGACGCCCTGTGAAAGAGGGGGCGGAGCGTGTTAAGAATTGACTTTGAAAACTGATACTCTAGGCGACTGTGATTGCGCAAGATCGAGGTAAAGACGCATTAAATGAGATTGATGGTGATAACCAAGGCACACACGCGGCGCAGTGTGGAAAAGGGTGACCATCTCTGAGCAAAAATCGAGTAAAGCATCTACGGGAGTTGGGTCCAAAACTGCGTAGTAGGACTACAAAAAACCTCCGAGAAACGTAATTTCAAAATGTGGGACAGGTGATAGTACTCTGTAGCCGCATATACGCAGTCCGGAGGAGATCCGAGACCTAAGCTAAGGGTCTAAACCTCTTAGATATGCGGATTATTAATTTTCACTTACACCGTGGGAATATTACTTGAACTTTCCTACGATAGTTGTGCCTTTGAGCTTAAGGTCGTATGCCAATTCCTCTTGGGTGCTCTCAGCAGGAGCCATGGATGGGGTGGGGAATACTATGTATCTTTCCTAACCTTATAATTATCGGATCGAGATTCATACCAGATTAATCTTCAGCACATCCATAGATCCATGAAGTTAGTAGGCAACGTAAGCTACATTCTGCCTATTGCCTATTCTCACTCAAGAGAAGAAAGAGAAGGTGGATATCGCCACCAACATCAGCAGAGCCCCCACCCCACGACAGGACCGCATCTTCTCTTCCCTGTCCAGAAAGAAAAAAATGACAGCCCCAATCCGTCGAACCTGGTAGGGGCCCGTCATCGTAGGAAGACTTTTAAACTTTATGCCGCAACCTAGGTAGGATACCTACATGTAACTACCCTCTAGAGTTGACATCTAAAGTAGATGGAACCTCTAAACGGCGAAGAAGTCCATACGTTGGTAGTTGTAGCCGCGGGTAGGTACATGGATGTATGTTCCTACTCTGGAGTACGCTTCTGTCTTGCGAGAACATCTCCAACTCTAGAGTAGGGTCCTCGCACATGCCTTGCATGTATCAGGATGGCATTTTAAGGTTTATGCACTCGAGAGACATTGATCAGATGAACTGTTAGAACAAGCTGCCATTCAAGAGGATTGATAGACATGTCGACAGCCAACCGTAGCGCAACTACGCGTGTAACCAAAAACCAAATCGGCCTCCCGCAATCTATTATAGATACCTAATCTATATCATGTCTAGCAGTTTAACGGGTGGTTTCGAGATCTAAACAAAGGTGAGCCGAGGCTTACTTGCTTTGAATTTTACGTTACACTCTACTGTGCACGGCTCTTGTCTAGATCAAGCAGTGCCCCGGTTTAGGTTCTTGCCTGTTACTGTGCTCCTGTGATATGTATGAACATGGGATGTGGCGGTGGTGGTGTCACACTATTTCTGGCGGGTTGGTTTGGTTTTTCCGCTGGCTTAGAGCGGTTAAGAGATAGGCGTTACCCAGTTGGTACTGAAACATAACGAGACGTCTGACAATTGATGGTCTTTTGATTGATAACAATAATAAAGGAACCGACAACAGACCAATGAGGACAAAGCGTTTGTATGAAGTGTTTGGCTTCGCTGTCATTCTGAAAACCTCAAGTCCACAAAACTACGTATCGAATGAATGCCAATTGAAACTGACTATGTACTGATAACAATCCCCCGTCCCTCCAAGCACCAATAGCCCCAGAGTAGATTCGAATCTAAGTAGTTAGTAAAGGAAGAATACGCTGTTTATAAAAAGCTCTTTTATGCAAACACTCTAAAAGATTATACAAAGCCCCTCTCCCAGCGTCCCCTACACCTCATTTTTTTGAATTCACAAACCCATCATATTGTATCACATGACGCATATCCCACCCCACAAAAAGAAAAAACACCCGGATCCCCTTTACAAAGATTACGCCCTTTTTCTATCTAGACTACATACATCTAGTGGTGCTGCTCAGCGCCCCTGTATCCAATCAACTTCCTCCTTCCAATGATCTCTCCAATCGTGAAGAAGCCAATGACCTCGGCGGCCAACACGCCCCCGGCGAGAACCTGGGCACGGGAGATACTCTGGAGACGCTCGAGGAGGTAGCGCGGGGACATGTTCAAGGAGGCGGTTTGCGACGACATGTTAGAGATGGTCGCAGAGGGGGCGGTGCGGAGGCCTTTAAGGGTGTTGATTACAGGGGAAAAGGTGGTGCGGAAAGTCTCGAGCTTGCTGAGTGGTGGGTTAGCGGGCATATAGGGTTACTAATTGGGTGCGATAATAGGGGGAATATAAGGGGTAAGGGTCAATGATAGTTCGGGGGAGGCGTGAAACTTGGTGATGAACAATGTTGATATACAGCGATTGATGATATTGAGTGATATATGGTGAACTTGGAGTGGGGGTATTTACGGAGGTGCCATCTTCTGTCCGTGGAAGACCAATTTCGACAGTTCAAGTCCAACACGGCCGTAGTACTGAGCCGGGGGGATCATAGCTATCAAAACCATGCCAAGTTAGCACATGTCATAGAATTGAGGTCATCCATTCCATCTATATCACGGGGGGAAACGTGATATATCCGGATAAACCTCATCAACGACTCCGCATCACACGACAAACACTCACCACTAATAGTGTGGATCAGTTTCCCCGTTCTGCCTCCAACCTTCATGAGCGAGTTCCCGACTCCGCTCGCGGCAGCACCAAGCTTGCCAGCAGCAACCTTGACAGCGTCCTGGGCCTTCTTTGACGCTTCCTGGGCCTTCGCAGAGGCCTCGGAAGTGGCCTTGGCGGCGGTCTCTGAGCCAGTGGATGCGAAACGGCGGGCAGTCAATTGCCTGACCGCGGGGCTTCGGACGAGTGAGGAGCGCATTTCTTTGTGTGTTGTGGAGGTGGGGGAGCACGACTGTGGAGATGGTGGTTGAGGCGGGGGGGGGGTGGAGATAAATGGGATGGTTGTTTCTTGCAAATGCGATGATAGATCGGAGATTCGGGGAACTACGGTTAATTTTTTTTTCCCTTTCGTTTCGAAGGTCCGGGTGAGGGCTGTGGCGTTATTTGTGGCGGTGCGTGCGGAAGGGTTAAACGGCTCTCCGGGACTACAGTCGTCTCTGGGTCAACGACGAAACCAGTTCGATGGCGAATAGGCCAATCGGAGCCAATAAAAGCCAACAAAAGCGCCCCGACCCCTTTGCTTTGACTGACTATCAGCCCAAAAAGTAGCCACTCGTCATCGAGCCGGGTTCGTCGTTGACCCAGAAACGACTGTAGAGTAGACAAGCAATAACTAAACCCGGTCCTTTCCCAATGGGGTAATCACCTTGGCACCAGGGTTAGGGAGCACTCTACAGCGGATTTAACCTCTAGCACCGCAGGTACAGTCGGTCTCTGGAATCATAGGTGGAATTTACAAAGTGAAGTTTTGTATTTGCGTGCGGTCTAAGGTTGTGGACTGTTGAATTCTAATTGTTACTGTTTTTAGTTAAACCCCATTGACTGTTGACATCACGCCAAGGCCGGCCGTCATCAAGCATGATGGCTCTTTGAGCGACGAGAGGTAAACCCGCAAAATGCTATCATGCACGGTCTCGTAATAATCTTTTGACTGACAGTATCCTAGCTTTGTTCTTACTTTCATATTCCTATAGAAGAAATTCTTGACCTATTTGTCTCTTATTTCATACAGGAAAATTATTAAAGTGTATCCAAATAATCATTCGGAACAACATCCTGGTGTCACACAAAAGTCCTAGGTAGAGTACCATTAAGGTGATTTGAAGATGTACCTACATGCATATAAGTATCTTTTATTAGAAGCACCTTCGGGGGGAAGTAAATCATGGAGTCGATTAATCTATCCGCAGGCCTGGAAGAATTATGACTAAACAATTACAGTATTTTAGGGGTCAATGGCGAATGACCAAACCAGCAAGATCACGCACTTTATCCAGGTAGAATAACTCATCTGTAGTGCCAAATCAGAATCTATGAAGCACCGAATGAGAGCGTTGGATTACTAGCGATGCCGACAATTCTACGTGCGAACCCGCTGTCTCCGACTTCAGGGCATTCTAGAGTGCAACGGCGGACGTCCTTCATCACATGCCTCGGCGGCTGTTGAGGCTCACGCGCGTTCCCTCAACACCGAACTAGCCCATGTGAACTTGTCTTCTTCCCCAGATTCCTCTACCCCACAGTTTTTCTAGGGCCCTACTCTCTCTCCAGTGTCTGCTTCAAATCCCCCATCGTCGTCTCCCCTCACTTCATCGCCATCTCAGTAATATATAGCTAAACTGTAGTACCCTTCATACCCCTCCAGCTTCCAGCAGCAGCCGTAGAACCAAAACTCCTCCACCTTATGCCGGGCTCGTGATTGCCTCTGGCCAACGAGACTCTGTAACTATGGCCAACCAGTCAACCCTCCGACCAGCTCTATCCTCGCTGCTTCAGCAATACATAAAGCTTCTGCGCTCATCTCCGAAGTCTCTCCGCATCTTAGCTGCGACAATACTATGCGCAACACTCGGTGGGCTCTGGGAGCGCCGCCGCCGTTACAGAAAGGCAGATGAAGGTCGAGGACGGGTATTAGTCCGACGGAATTCCGCCATCCAGCTGAAAGATGGTAAGTACGACTTGTGGTGGTTGTATTCAGCTCCGCAGGCGCTTACATCATCGTCATCATAACTCTAGGTTCGCGATTGATCTACGTCCCCTACAAAAAGACCACTGCAAAAGTGGTCATAAATCCAACAAAGTCTACCACCTTCGATGCGCATAGACGTCTATTCCTCGAGCCTCCAGGGGGTCGAGGTTTTAAATCTCAAAGTAGCCTGGGGGGCGGGGAGGGCCCGCCAGTCAACACTAAGCCTGGGCTGAATCTGGCATTTTTGCACCAGTTTCTGAGTCTTCTCAGTATCATGATACCGAGGTTAACAAGTAAAGAGAGTTTCTTGTTGTTGCTACACACGTTCTTTTTGATCAGCAGGACGTGAGTGGAGAATTTTTTTTTTAGCATGTGATCTGCGGCGTATAGGGCTGAGCCTAAGCTGACATGCTGGACAGGTACCTGAGCTTGGTGGTTGCACGACTTGACGGTGAGATCGTTCGAGATCTTGTCGCGGGGAACGGGAAAGCATTTGCTTGGGGAATTGGTAAATGGCTAAGCGTCGGCGTACCAGCTGTCTATTGCAATGCAATGGTAATCCTAACTTCAGCCCTGGGGGGGCTATTTCAAATTCTCGGTGTTTTTTTTTTATATACTGACCAATCGTGATGCAGATAAAATTCCTCCAGTCGAAGATCTCTATAGCATTCCGCACGCGACTAACGCGGTACATCCACGATCTGTACCTAAACGATAAACAAGCTTATTATAAGCTACAGAACCTAGATGGTGGACTTGTGGGTGGCGGCGCTGACCAGTTCATAACGTCTGATCTGCCGTTATTTTGTGATTCAGCTGCCGCACTGTACTCATCTCTTGGGAAGCCATTTTTGGATTTGGTTGTTTTTAACTATCAGCTTGCAAGATCATTGGGACCACTTGCACTGGCGGGAATTTTGTTCAATTATGGCGCAACTGCATGGATGTTGAAGAAATTTTCTCCCCCATTTGGAAGGCTCGCTGCTGCTCAGGGGAGAAAAGAGGGAGATTTCAGAGGATTACACAGTAAGTTTGGTTATCGGGGGTGTATAACTGGGGTTTTGTTTTACTGACCACACTCTTTTCTAGCACGCTTAATTGGCAATGCCGAAGAGGTTGCATTTTATGGTGGCGCGGAAATGGAGAAGGGATTCCTAGAAAAAGGTTTCAAGGACCTGAAACAGCTGATGGAAGGCATTTACAGTGTATGGGCATTAACTCTTGTTACCATGATTTTTACTCATAATATCCGAATTTTAGATGAAAATCCGCTACAATATGCTTGAGGACTTTGTCTTGAAGTACGGCTGGTGTAAGTCCCATATTCCTAAATCGGTTTGATATAACTCATCTAAAAGCTTTACAGCGGCACTAGGATATCTTTTTACATCTCTCCCCGTGTTTCTCCCCGCTTGGGGTGGTCTCGGCGGCCTTGTTGAGCTCGCTGGCGCAACCGCAGGTACCAGTCGCGAAACAGACAGGATGAAGGGGTTCATTACCAACAAGCGCCTCATGCTCTCACTCGCTGATGCCGGTGGCCGTATGATGTACTCTTTCAAGGATCTTTCTGAGTTAGCAGGCTACACTTCCAGAGTGTATACACTAGTATCGACCCTTCACAGAGTCCACTCTAATTCCTACTCGACGCCAAGACCAGAGCTGTACGGCGCGGCAGATATTCAAGGTACACTGCATAAAGGTTTCGATGGTGTGCGGCTCGAGGGCGTTCCAATCGTTGCTCCAGGCCTTTGGCCACGGGGTGGTGAGGAACTTGTCGACTCACTCGATATCACCGTCCGGGAAGGCGAGCACCTTCTCGTTCTTGGTCCTAATGGAGTTGGTAAATCGTCCATTTCTCGCGTAGTAGCTGGTTTGTGGCCCGTTTACCGCGGCCTTGTTTCCCGTCCCCGACAAGGCGGTATGGGAGGAATCATGTTTCTACCTCAACGTGTCTACCTTGCACAAGGAACGTTAAGAGACCAAGTCATTTATCCCCACACCGAGATGGAGATGCGAGCCGATAGCCGCAGTGATCATGAGTTAAGGTTGATCCTGGATGCGGTCAGACTGGGTTACCTACCTGACCGGGAAGGCGGTTGGGACTGTAGAAAGGAATGGAAGGATGTTCTCTCCGGTGGTGAAAAACAGCGTATATCTATTGCACGTCTGCTTTACCATGTAAGTCCCCAGCGAAATTTTACTGTAGCTCGTTCAAAGCTTACTTGTCCAGGAACCGAAATACGCATTCATAGATGAAGGCACTTCCGCTGTCTCCCAAGATGTTGAAGGCCTCCTTTACGAAACTGCCAAGGAACGCGGTATCACGCTGATTACGATATCTACTCGCGCTCAGCTAAAGAAATATCACACATTCCAACTCCAACTTGACGGCCCTAACGGAGGATGGGAATTCGACCGGATTGGCACGGAGCGCGAGAGAAGTAGCGTTGAGAACGAGCTGAGGGAACTGAAAGAGAAGGTCCAGAATGTCAAAGCACTCCGAGAACGGTTAAAAACGGTCGAAGAGGATTTAGCGAGGGTCTTTGTTACCGGTGGCGAAGAACTCCCGGGGTTCGAAGGGAAGAGCGGGGAGAGCTCTGGGGGGATCAAGGAGGGCAGTGTTGTCGTGAAAAGCGGCAGCGGGACAGAGGAACACACTGCGGAGGAGGTAACGAGCGAAGAGACGAAGTCTGGTGACGATGAGAAGGTTCCGAGCGAGGGGGGTGAGAACAAGGGGAAGCAAGTGGATTTGGAGAATGAAAGTTTTGCTGATGCAGTGAAGAAAGGTGGTGATGAATAACTAGACGCCGGAAAGTAATTTATGTTGTATATGAAATGTATTTGAAGTTGCATGGGAGAGGAATATCTACATAGCATATATACATGTATTCATTGTTATTTTACAATGTACTTTACAATCTATTTCATAAGCGAACAAGACATAAAGTGAATCATACCACATCACTCGTTTCTAGTCATCGAAAAAATGGCCCTCTCCACACATCCAACACTTCGAAAGCAAATCATGAAGAATCACCCATATGCGCCAGCATCCCAACAAACTCCTCGAACAAGCAAGGAATGCATCTTGCGACTCATCTTTCTCCTGGTTGGTGAGTATGATAATCTATTGACTACATGTGGTTTAAGGCAGTCAGGTCATAATGAATAGTGAAGGACCCGCTATCAAGAGGAATGGTATCCTACCTGTACTCCTATAAGATAGCTTATATTAGTTTTCGACATAACAGGTTCGCACGGATCATCTATACGGGTCTGTCCAACATCCTTTGGGGAGCCATTGGCGCCAACATAACCTGGCCCATGTGATGCGAGTGATAGTGTATGATTAACAGGATTGTGTCACTAGACCTTTAGCCCATCTACCCTCCTTTGATCGAAAGAAGCGTCGGTTGTAAGTAACCACTTGCTTCGGATCTTTTATAGCTCTATGTGTCTTATTTAGACAAGATTAAGACGTTGTGATGAAGGTTATACATACGCAAATCTCCTAGTTATCGATGGGTACAAGACCAAAAGTCTCAAGACTTTGTCTCGAGATACGAGACAACAATACATCGCAAGAGTAATACAAATTACCAAATAAGTCAAAACCAAAGGAGTCTAGCCCCGAAACCTTTCGAAACATGCGAGTGAGCGTCCGTGATCTAGATATCGGCATCAAAATCAAGTCGTTCTGCTACTTCTTATTTTTCTATGACTCTAACCTTATTATATCTATTGCATAAATAGAAATGTCTGCCTAAAGTTTATGATTGGGGGTCAACATAGCACGAGGGGCAGGATAATCTAGGGAGCAAAAATTTCCAATTTTTGCTCCACTTACTTTGATAAGTTCCGGCCTAAGTCTCGAAACTTCGCACAATATATAGCACAAGTATTAGCAACCCCGAGACCTCCCTCTGTAATTTGACAGAAAAGACGAAAAATCTTCAAGTATCGCCTTGTTTTGCATTGTGCCCAATATCACCATCTAAGCCTGGGCTTACAGTAATCCTAACTAGTACCATGAATGCTACAAGACTGGTCTTTGCATGAGAGAAGCAAACTTTCTGCAACCTCTGGGATTCATGTAGGACTAACTGCCGAAGCACAGATCTAGAAAGACGTTCACATCCAAGTTTAAATTTCGGCTTGATAGTACAGATATCAAATGACGTCACTGGATGCTTGTAACGAAACACTCAGGCTATAGGCTACTGTGTGGTTGGCGACACCCTGCCTTTCTACCCTCACATGTTCCTCTACCATCATGTCTCCTCAGATGGACTCTCAGATCCAGAGCCAGAGCCATCCAATATACCTAAGTATATACACGCACCCAACTAGGTTTTCATCCACCTCCTTAGCTTGGTAATTTGCCGCGCTTCGCTGGTATCCAGCCAATTAATATTACATACACACAAATATGTATTCTAACCCCCCTCTCTCCGTTTCTGATGGAGGCCATCCCCTCCTACTCATCTCTTGCGCATAGTTCTATTTCTAATTTTGTTCCGATGGATAGCCTGTTCAAACACCTTCAAACCTAGCATGTCCACGTGGCCGGCAACCCAGCGAATCACAAACAGGTACGTGCTCCCTCATTTGTTTGAACTCCTGGCCTTCTTTTCCATCTCTTGTCATCACTCCGCTGGTTATCACCCCCTCATGATCCTCTCATCTCTTGCCAGCACTCTCATGCTAAGAACCTCTAGGACTCATTCGGGATTACCTGCCTTAGGGGATCCGATTCCCAACGAAATTTCTGCTGGCCAGCACCATTACCTCAGCGCTATCTCCACGAGGGAGATACTGACGATAAACTCAAGAAGATAAGGGATGAATTGCTCTACCCGAATTGAGTCGACCATATCGGCAGTATTTGGATCGAATAAGATTTTTCTTTGAAGAAAAGTCCATCCAGAGGCTATGGTGCAGGTTATACCACATGGAAGACATAAACTGCATACAATACTCGAAAAGGCTCAATTTTACTTTTATACAATCTAAGCTAATATGTACTGTAGTTTTCAGGGTACCAGGAGGATTTAGGTTCATACCCTATCACTCGCATACCAGTACCAAGAAAAGGTATTACATAAAGTCTTAGCTAGAGATATCAACCCCGCATGTCGAAATTTATTATCGATAAGCACCCCAGAAAACGATACCAGAAACCTAGACCGCACTCTCGAAAAAAAAGTACATTCCTCCGTCTTTGGCCTTCTGCATACCTTTGAGTCCTGACCCGATTTGACCAATTCTTTGTAATTGAGCTTAAGCCCATGTGGCATCTTTCCCTTCTATGCATCGCTCTGAAGTGCGGGGGAGATCCCTGGCGGGGATGAACACATACGTTTCATATCTTTACGGTTTAAAAGCAGCTAGCGTACGGAGATTTCTTTAATTTATCCATCCTTCTGACATCAAATCCCGGGAATGATAGGAGCGCCATGTTCTACGGCAATTAAGTACAAATCAAGTACCGGTACTGACTATACTAGAAGAAAACGATCACAAGACTCAATCATGGAATATTCCCGAGTGATTTTCTCTGGCAAAATGTTTTCTGGATTCGCCACAGAATTCAATTGATTTTCTAGCTGCAAAGATTTGCAGCCTTCGTATCTGTCATATGAGGATCACGCAATCAGCCAAGTTGTCAAACAACATGATGACAGTTTTGGTCGTGCATTGCACTAACTAAGCTTTCGATGATGAGGTGGGGTTAAGGTTTCCTGTTTCGGAGAACTCCAGCTTATTTAATTATTGAGATTTTATTTACATCATCTAGTTGTGAAGTTGGTTGTGTTTTTGATGGAAGATTGCTATCAAAATTACAGTCATGTAATGGCGATTTCAAATAAGCTTTTTTTTCGATTCCTTGATTATGATACGTAATGAGTGAAATCATGAGATAGCACTCACTTACTCAAAGACACGGGCTGGAAAGCCAGAGCCAACGAAATTAGGATGGGAATTGGAAATTGCACTGTGAAGTGATAGTCACCGTGATCTTGGAGGTGGGTGCAAAATATTTTTTTCACTAGGCATGTTTGTAGGTACATGTAGGTACATCATGTAGGTATCTCCATGATCGAACACGCCACTAGTACATACCAGGGTATGGAAGGGGAAAACACAACCTGATAAGAAAAACAAAAAACCGAAAGAAGAAACAACAAGATGAATTATCACCAGAATCTTCCTCGGATAAAACATCTTATTAATCCGCGAGCAGCTTACTGGGCCGGTTTCCAAAGCAATCGGGCAATATCTGGTGGCGCGCATAAACGCGTTCAAACGAGAAATATATATCGCGGTATCGGGATATTGCGATGTTTCTTTGCTGCACCATGAAGCAGTGGGTGAGGTTTTAGGCGGGCTAGCTGCGGGCGAGAGAAGAGCAGAATGAGTATCATACTCATAGAGTACATACTGTTGAGAAATGAGCCTGCCAGCCACTGCATCGGTCTCTGCAGTAGGTACGCCCCTCACTAGCCTAGACCTCTCCTTCATGTTTCCCCTTCTCCTTCCCTCCAAGCGAGAGTCTAACTTATTACTAGCGGTGTTCTCAAGCTGGTCAAGGTATAATACATACCGGGGTTACGTACCGACGTAAATAGACCGGGTGCGAAGATGTCGAGACTCGCAAGAGCACTCGTATGTATGAGGATCCTAGGAACAAGGCGGGTACCCCCACAGGAAACGAGCAGGAAGCGAGAAAGAGAGTGCGCGCCTCATTGCAACCCGGGCCGCGAGATGCCGTTTTCTTAAGGAAAATCCACCTCGGCAACAGTCTGCGCACGTCCTCCTTCCCCGAAAAAGAAGTGCATATCGTGCAGTCGGCATTGCATACCTATTCTGCCCACATCGTTACCCATAATATCACTGACCCTCTCACCCCTACCCCACTATTAAAAAATGCAATGTACCATGGTATCGCAGTCGTGTCACAGATACCAACTGTTTACAGCTGGCAAGGCGGCTCCAGACGGTCTCTAGAGCAATGGCATGCCCGTTATTTCTCTCACCGGTTCATCTTGGAGACTCTACTGTACCTACAGCATACAGCAATCTAATTAAACTATACCCAGCATGTAGAATTCTATATGCAGCGGAAATGAGGGAAACTATTTTTGGGCGTTTACAATCTACATTGTACCGTTCATCCCCGAATTTGATAAAGATAATTTCGGTTGTTTTTCAGAATACCTTTTTCGTGCGTTCATCCCGTTCAACGTTTTTTTTCTTGGAAGGAAAAAAAAAAAAAAACAATCCTAATGGAGAAATAGGAAACAATATGATGGTGAGGGGGGGGGGGGGGGGGGGTGCGGTGATTGATGATATGCGATGCAGAAACACGTCTGCGATACGACAAGCATTATTCGCGATATTCATCAGAACTCGTACTACCTACCTGTCTACCGCACATACCAGTGCACCTGTAATACCTACCTCTACATACCTCTACTATCTCTACACAAGGTTGCAGGACTTCAATGAACATCGATGTTACGTCCTCCGGTCCTGATTGGAACACATAAGTAGAGTGGTTTACTCTGCTCTATCCTATCTAGACAGGCTACACAGATGCGTGTTTTGTTTTACTTCTCAGCCCTGAAATTATGTATGGTACATATATGTAAGGGTACAAACCTACCGGTCCCCCGCAATTTCAAACCTTTTTCCACCTCATGCCGTCGTGCCAGGGTCCGGTGATAAGATTTCGGGGAGGGCAGGATTAGAATTACTGGGGAAAGGTTGATCAATGGGCACACTCTCGGAAAGTATATCCCAAGCGTAATTTTTTTTCAAGTTAGATACATATATTCCTTTTCTTTATTTCCTTCATTTTCTCCCTTCTTTTTCTCTCGATTGATAAGATTTGTATTAGAGAATAATGTTAACAAAAAAAAAGCCCGGACTCTAGCTCTCCGATATCGATAATGTCCCCCCCATGAGCTCACGTGTGTAAAAGAAAAAACGATCACCCATGGCCAACATACTTTTCGTTCTTACGACAAATCTTTTTAGGAAAGACCTGCTGGAAGAAGACCTAGCTAATGAAATGGATTATCATCAGCTAATTAACAGCACAGTATCCTTTTTTCGGTAGCAGCAGCCCAGTTCTGGATACGCCAAGCGCCGCTGGATGATCCGAATCACAAAACGCCTGGTCCACAGAGAACACATGGCTCTGGAACCCTTTAAGCCTCCTTTTCCTGTATGTGCATGCGTGATCAGCCTGCTGCTGCTGCTGCTGCTGCTTCTCAGCCTTGTACGTCAGTTGGGTGAAAAGAGAATGGTGGATGTGTAAGAACGGATGTTAGATCTGATATGCCACAAGACGCAGGCTAGATTACTTGCAGAACCGAACCCCATCGTGATCTCTGGACTGCGTCTTAGACTTGTGAAATCCGTACCAAAGCTAGGTTAATTACAGGTAGATCTATCGATACGGAGACTTGAAGCTACAATTTTGTTCGTTTTTATTTTTTTCCCCGGTCGACGAGATCACGCTGTACCAAGATATCGGGACTCAGCTAATAATAAATGGGGGGGAAACGCCCATCGATGTATCGATGACATGTTCCATTGATTGGTGATCCTCTGGAAATTTTGGATTTCCGGTAAAGGCGCATTCAGGCTACTTTCAAGATGATCCAGAACTTTGTAAAACCAGGGAAATGCGGAGAGGTTTGCCTGTTCATAAAGTATCACTCGGTGGGTTGGAATGGCTGCGCCAAAAAAGGGAAGCTGTCGGTCTTCCGCGCATCTCGATACACGAGATCGAGGAATTTAAGGAAAATCATCCAAAGGGCTCGTGTCGGTTATTTACTCATTCGCTGTCCACTCTCTGCCCCGAGCTCTCATGTGCTCAATCTGTGCTCCGTGCTTAAGCTTCCTCATCCCCCCTCCCCCTCTTCTCCGGCCGCTGTTTTGCCGATTTGCCTTGCTCACGAAACTACGGGTCCGCTCCCTTCTGCTCGTGTGCCAGGGCCCTCAGTTGGCAGTCAACGTTGTCGTTCCCGTTGTTATTGTTCCCTTCCAAACATAAAATCTTTTCTTTACCCTCCCATCGACAATATTATTTGCCACCGCCTAAATAACGGGTACGTCCTCGCTAACGCTCAACGAATTGTTTTTGTTGAATAAGCGGATTAGAGCAAAGCAACAAAAGTGATCTTCCCTTTTTTTGATACGTGTGTCAACCACAAGTCCGATAAACACGCCACTACCGAGATCTTTGGCGTCACTCCCTACACGCATTCCGATAGCCTTCCTCTTTCCGCTCACTGATCGGTGGAAGAGGGGAGGGGTTAAGGTAGACTCGCTGCTGCTGTTATGGGTACATATCGACGGGACGAACATTTGACCCCGCTCTTTCTTCCCCCCGCCCATTGATTCATGCCATCGTGGGAAAGTAGTTATGTATGTATGTGAGTAGGCAGCAGCAGCAGCAATTGAGCAGGGCCAGTAGAAGGTACGGGCAAACAGGCAGGCAGGCAGACGTCAGGTAGGTAGGTAGATGTAGGGTAAGGTGAGCTACTAGCTAGGAAGCAGAGGCCATGTCCATTCGCGTCGACCCGTTGGTGCATAGATAAAAGGATCGCGCGGGACACGAAATTATTTTCATTGGTTAGCTGCAGGGCAGGACATTTTGTGCTGTGCATTCAAAGAAAAAAAATTCAAATGTTTTGGCAAAGTCAAAAAAAAAAAAAAATGAGAGAGAGAAAGAACCAGAGCTTGGTTTGTGTTGGTCTATTGTGGGACACATGGGGTTCTCGTTGTCGTCGTTGTTGCTGACTTGCTTTGACTCGACTTGCGCAATTGCTTGCTTGCTTCCTTGCGGCCGCTTGTGCTGTTGTTTGGAGGCTTACTGCTTTGGTGTAACCCGCGTATTTATCCGTGCCAAACCGCTTTGACTGTCGCTGCGTTGCTGCTGGTGATGCTGCACGACTTAAAGTTGCCTTGATTGGCGATTGGTCGGATTGATTGCCTACATGTAAATAGGGTAGGTAGAGAAGAGCAGAGCAGGTGAGGTAAGAAAGGGAAATTAGGAAGGAAGAAGGAAGGAAGGTATGCCAATAGCAATGCCAATTGCAGAGGTACATGTGGAGTACTATCGAGGCAGGCAGCGCAGCAGCTACTCTAGCTACATAGCTCTAATAACCACCTATCCAGAGTAATGCTTTAGGTACTTTACCTTACCTGACCTCGACAGGCAGCTTAGCTATCATAGGTAGGTATAAGGCTTTCGTAAATTGTTTATGTAGAGTAGAGCAGCTGTTTGTGCGTGTGTGTGGATGTGTGCCATGGACCGGCGGTACCTTCTTCTTGTTCTGCGTGATCTTGTTTGTCGATGTGGATGTCGTGTCGGTGATCTGCCCAGGCAAGAGCCGCATTTAGGAGATCGGGGGGATTGCGGTGGTGGTGGTGGTGCTGCTGCTGGTGCTGTTGGTGGTGCTTGACGAGATGCAGATATCGTCGACCAGCGCTCTCGACCCCACCACCCTTCTTCTTCTCTTTTCTCCTTTTTCTTTTGCTTTGCAATTAAGACGGTGTTCTTATGGCGATCGGGTATGTATGTACGGGTTGTTGTTTCGTTGGCGGTTTTCTGCTAGCTAGCTGTTGGGATAAACCTTGTATGACGTTTCTCGCTGCTCTGCTGCTCTCTCTTCTCTCTTTCCAACTCTCCGAGTTATCCACCCTGGCTGACGGACCATGGCCTTCTTTGTCGATAGATAATTTCGTTTCTTCCTACGGGAACGGGGTGGGGAAAAAAAGAAGCTGTTACCCTAGTTGAATATCCAGAATTAGCGAAGTTTCGTGTGATGTGAACTGAACCCTTTATTTTCTTTTCCTCTGGCGAACACCCGCTGCCGAACCACATATCCCCCCCACCTCACTCTCCCCCCAAAGGCAGGGGTAGTGTAGTACCACCACCGACGCAGACCGACCCGGCCGGACAAACCACTGACCGCGAACCAAAACCAAACCAAACCAAACCTCCACCTCCACCACCAACGACGACCGCCCAAAACACGCCAATATGCCCCAATTGGCCAACCCACCCGCCCAACTTGTTCTCTAGAGGTTTTTTTGCGTTGTGGCTGAATTGATGAAATCTGGCCCTTGCTACTACGACTCTCTTTCATGGAACTTGGGGTTGTGTTTGTTAATTTGTTTGTTTCAATTACTATTTGTACAATCGAGATCTCTCTCTCTCTCCCTGCCTCTCTCACTCTCTCCCAATGACCGCTAAATCGACGTAAAAAATAAAACTGGAAAAGATGACCCATAATAAAAACACACATGACGCAAATGAAAACCGTAGAAAAACAACCAAAAGGAAAAATATCATACAATCAAACAACAAAAGGAACCCATTTCTTTTTTCTCTTTGCGCGCGCGGTCATGAGCGTTTAGGCTCCCACGCCATCACAGTCCCCATATTTATGCCCTCGATGCAGGGCAGGCGCTCGCCAATGACCTTGAAGCCCATACTCGAGTAGAGCTTCTCGCCCACGGCGCTCGACTCGATGCCAGCCCAGACCTTGTCCTCGATGGCGCGGTCCAGGCCCCACTGCACAAGGTGCCTGCCGATGCCCTTGCGCTGCTGCGCCGGGTCGACACCGAGCCAGTGCAGATGCCAGCGGATCTTGCGCTCGGCTGTGTCCCAGTGCAGCTTCTCGAGGGTGTTGCTTGCGATGCGGAGCTTGTTTGCGGCGACGGGGTCGGCGGAGGGGTCGGGCGCGATGACGGCGTTTATTCGGTCTGTGACGTTTACGAGGAATCTCTCGAGGCCTAGTAGAGTAGAACAGTTAGCTATTTGTGACTTCATTGAAAGGGTGACGTAGTAGAGGGAGAAGGGGGGGGGGGGGAAGCTTACGGAGAAGAATGCCATCACGCTCGGCCTTGACCTTCTGTGCGATTGCGTCGTTCCCAAGGCGCTCCCACATTGCGTATCCCACGACTTCGCCGTCATCGTTCTCGGCGACTAGAAGGCGCATTGAGGGTTTTAGCATTGCGTTGCGCGCATGGCGGAGACGGGTGTAGCGGAAGGAGTCGTAGTACTCGTGCCGCCGGGGGTTAAGGTTGTCGAAGAGGGCATTGTGGAGGAAGGCCTGGCTGCTGATGTCGGCCACCCTGTTGAGGTCCTTGATGGTTGCTTCTCGTACCCGGATGTTTATCTTGATCTTTGGTGAGGAAGAGGGTGTTGTGGATGAGAGTGTACTTGAAGGGATTGAGGGAGGTGTGGAGATGGGTGAGGGTGTGGAGGTCGAGGTAGTTAATGGTATAGACATTGCAATTGTAGGTTGTGAGTAGTAGAAGACCTTATTGTGAAGGTTGGTTGTGAGGGTGCTTGATAGTGGTGGTGGTAGGTAGTAGTTATAGCAGTAATAGACGGTGGTGGTGGTGCTCCGTATATATGTTGAGTATTGAGTAGTAGGTACAGTGAGGCAGATGGATGGGCCTAGGTACTATATATTGATATTGAGGAATTGCGGGGAGGATCGATTGGGTTTGGGGGGGGGGGGGGGGTGTGCACTGATTTCCTTGACCGCAGGTGCGGCCAGACCATGGTATATATATACAACGGAGGAGTTTCATTCGTGCTAGTAGTAGTTAGTAGGCCATCAGTGATCGTAGTTCCAAGCTTGGCTAGTGCCATATCAGCACCCTACATATTGCAGGCAGAGTAAGTAAAGTAGAGTAACTTACTTTTCCATGGGTCCCTCTTTCCCTTGATCCTATTACCTCCCTCCTCCTCCCCCATCCTGTCCTGTCCCCCCCTCCTCAACCAGTCTAGTGGGGCGCTGTCATTCTAACCTCATTATCATATTTGTTTTCTTTTTTCCTCCCTTCTCCCAATCCGTTAGGAAAGTGAGAAGATCAAAAAAAAGGACTCTCTCTCAAAATCCAAAATCTCACGGTGATGAATGCGTTGTCCGGCCCCCAGAAACTAGACCCCGCATTTTGTTGTTGCTGTGCCTAGGAAGGCGAAAAGAGGGCAAGGAAAAAAAAAAAAAAAAAAGCGATTACCACGTTTACAACAAGTCAATGATCGTTGCGGTGGTAGTGGTGGTGGTGGTGGTGGTGGTGCCCGTGGCCGTGGTTGTGGTGGCGGCGGGCTGTCTCATACTGACCTAACGAGCAACCTCACTCACCACTCTGACTTCTTGATGCGGAAGGTTCCCTACCTAACTACCTTCTCGACTTACAATTCGGGACCCAGATGCTCCGAACGCGATAGCTGCTCTTGTATATGCAATTGTGAATGAACCAACTTGCGATCCCTAGCAGCGCAGCAACAAGCAGCAGGAGATATTGTTTTTAGCGATACCTTACATGAACGCCAGCTGCCTGATGCTGCTTCTGCACAGAGTGCACATATCATGATTTCTCAAATTTCATGATTAGTCCCTTTGTAGAGATTTTAGAGGTTGTTCCCGAGGGAGCGGGGGTTAGATTATGTGGAGCAGCGAGTAAAAGTAAAAGTAGCTGGGGGTGTTTTGCTGCAAGCGCAAGCCTTGTTCCCACCCCCCCCCCCCCCCTCGCTCTCTCTATCTCTCGAGAAAAACCACCAATTGGTGTTTCCCTGGCTGCCGATCGGCCGAACGACCGGCCGTGTTACAGTTACCAGGACTAGTAAGGGCCGCTGTGTGGGACACAACTGACAGAATCTTGGTCCAAGATTGATTCGGAAGGAACACGAAATTACTAAGTGGCCTAGAGTAGAGTTAGGTAGGCAGAGCATATCTGCTCTCTCTAGAGGTAGACCGTAGATAGAGTTGTAGCGCGCGCCTTGTCCGGGGGTTGTTGGTTTCAATTGCTGTGACGCTGTTGCTGTTGCCATGGCGACGAACGGCCGTTTGTCTCCTGGCTTTTACGGATTTTTTTTTTGTTGCAATGCTCGCGTCGAGGTCACTGAGATAGGAAGGCAGACGCAGAGAGAGGTGTTTTTCGAAGGCTCGCGAAGAGAGAGGTATGTACTTTGGACTGGGTACATATGTATTCTGGTCGTAACTGCACGAGCATAATCTAGAGATGTAGGTAAGAGTAGAGTACATATGTGCCATACTCTACTTCTGAGGTCCTACAGTATATTGCACCTATGCTAATCTTAATTTACTACCTGCTCCTTGGGATAACAAGGCAGCCAGACAGATATAACCAGATGGAAACTCTACATAGGGTAGAGTAGAATGCCTAGAACAGGTACACACAGGCACCGCGTCGTCGTATCGATAAAGATACATCATGTCGTTCTGTATGTAATGTACCTGCCCGACGACTTAACTCGACGCGACTAGATACATGCTCTGCAGCAGCCAGCCAGCAAAGACCAGACGATGCCGTTGCCAAGAGAGAGAGGGGGGTTTCTTTCTTTTCTTTCTTTGGACGACCACACGGCAGCGTGCCGTGGGATGTGGTGGTTGAGACTGGAGGTTCTGCTGCTACTACTATTGCAAGAATAGCAACTCGTATGTGGTACATACTCTACCATGTAATCCACATTTCTGTAGTACATCCTGTACTCGCCCTGTGCATACCGTACTCGCTGATTTGACCCAGAATCGTCTTCTCCCCTCTCTGAGACTACTCTTCGGCTTTGCTTCCGCCCAGAGGGCCAGCCTGCAGATCGTCAAATTGGATGTGTGGAGTCCCCCGCACTGCAGTGCAAGTGCGCACTGTGCAGTAGAGTGCTCTAAAATCTTCCCTATCTGCCTGCCTGCCTGCTACCCTACCAGTAGATGTAGAGGTAGAGTAGTTCTACGCGCAGGCGCTGGACGCCGTCGCCCCCCTATGGGGCCAAAGCATAGCATAAAAGGGCACTTTTTTTCTTCCCTTTTCGACCCTTTTTTTCCCTTTTCCCTACTATCCCACACCTTTTTCCCCGCTTCTCCCCTCCCCTTTGCCCACCCGGGACCCCCATCCTGTTTGCGGATCAGGTAGCCGAGCGGTGATCCGCCAACAGATCAGGTAACGTTAGGGTAAGTAAGCTATGCTGATGGGATGATATCACAACAACACACGAACCGGGAAAACACCCAACCCCAGTGCCCAGTCTAGGAAAGTAGGGTTTACCTTTAGTTTGCGCCTACCCAGGTAGGATTTTGGAGGTAGAGTATTCTAGGTTTAGGTATCGCGGTTGCCCATACCGCCCGTGCGCAAGCAAAAACACTGGAAAGAAGGAAAATTGCATATCTGCCCTACGGACCTTCCACATCACATACATGACACAGACAGACAGGCACATCATCCAATTCATGCTGCACCAGTTGTCTTTCTAATAATAGCCAGCCATGTTTCTGGTTTCTGGTTGCTGGGGAGGTATGTCGTGAAAGAACTACCTAGTCAAGGGAAGGGAATTGGCCCCCCCCCCCCCAATACGATATGTGGAGGAAGCAAGCAAAGAGGTGGAGGAGGAGGGAGGAGGAGGAGGCCGTCCGTGGTGGAGGGGGCCCTGCCTCAGCCCGGGTTTACTCTCCATGGTTTGCAAATCGCGCCTATGTACCCTTTACTCTAGTGAAGGTGAGGTTAGGTTAGTTAGTGGATTGCTACTCTACTTTTTTTCGCGAGCCGTTGTTGTTGTTGCTTAATCAGTAGGGGAGGGTCCCACCAGAGCCGCCCTTAGTGGATCACAGGGTATCACTCTCTGTTTTTCTCTCTCGTGAACTTCCCTCCTCGAAGGCCCTACCGTCCCGACGTTGCGATAGCTGCTTAGCTAGTCGGTCTCTTCTCACGATCGTATCAAATTCCGGGTATGCCCGTAGGCAACGTCATTATCCTATTTCCTTTATCCTATTCTAGCTTCATGATCATAGCTACATATACATTGCTAGCTAAGGATATCGTTTCATGGATATAATATCTAGGTCTTTTTTTCTTTTTTCTTTTTTAACCATCACGAATTACAACTGTTTGCCGAGCTTTCAAATTATAGAGTAGAAAAATCCGATTGCAGGGTCATATCTAAACGGAAAATCACGCGACCCAAACAGGAGTTTTATCCGCTTCAGGCAACTTGCCGTGGGGATTCGGCTGGGAGAAATACAGGACTTGGCATCGGTCCAGGATTTGGGGGGGAGGGTAAAGTACAGGTACTGTATGTAGGTAGAGTAGATACTTCCATGGGTACAGAGTGCCTACCGCGGTACGATACTCTGGAGTAAGGGTAAGGATACCAAGGAAGGTAGAGTAGGGAAGGGAGTCAAGCGTCAACACTGCCCGCCCCCTGTCTGGCCTTTTTTTTCAAGCTTCAGAATCACGGACGCCCGCTGCTGAAGCGAGACGAGATGAACTTTGTGTTTTGGGGGGGAGGTGGGGATCGAGTGGGGGGAGAGGAGGTGGTGGCGGAAAGTCGTTCAAGGTTTGGCCGTTTCAGTTTGGTGTTTTATGGGCAGCCAGCGCAGCTAAATAAACGTCATGCTCGGTGTTTCGTCTGGCCTGCACGGTCTGTGCTCCACGATATGTATGAAGCATCATGTAGAGTGGAGCTTACTACAGTTACATACATCTGTACACACTCCACTCTACTGTATGCAGGCAGCAAAACATGGCCTCGAGCTCGATCTCTAATCTCCAGTCTTCAAGTTGCACAATGCGCGTGGCAGACATGTGTCCGTGTAGCTCGCACAGATGTTTCTTTACGTCGTCGTCGCTTTCAATTGCTGTCTTTCGGGGACTATCTTGACGCTTTTCGGGCCCGACCTCATCACTTCCCTTCGCGAGTGAATAGCCGTCATACCCGGGGCGTTCCTACACGATGAGATGTTTAAGCGCTCTGGCTCGGGCGGGGGCTTGCAATTGCTTGCTGGCCGATTCTCAGTTCTCGGACATGACGATGATACATGCCTATGGGGGCTCGACCGGGTAGAACAAGGTATGTATGTATATACCGTATGTAACACACACAGGTAACTAAGTCGATGTTTACCTCCTCGCAAGAGAGAGGTCGAGAGAAGGCATCAAAGCCTGTGATACGCACCTCCTGCTCTATATCCGGTGCTCTGCTATAGGGCCTGGAACATGTGTTGGTTAAAATTGGACCTGAAAGTAGTACTCTACAGTGCGATCTCACGACGTAATTTGTCGCCCACGCACGAGGGCAAGACGCAATTCCCCTGAGCGTCAAACTGCTGCTGCTGGGCTTGCTCAATTGCGGGAGCGGCGTCCACGGCCACATATCGCACGGAGGGAATGCAATTTCAGAGACAAGACACGCGAATTTGAAGGTTACGGCGGCGCGGTTCAGAAAAAAAGAGTTATATTGTTTATTTGTGCTGTAGATGCGAGATCTGGGAGGTACAGCCGGCGATATTGATAGGGGTGTCACGGGTAGGATAACTGGAGATGAACGTACGGGGGGCCCGGACTCGAATACGGTCACTGAGGTATGGTATGCTCTTGCCGGTTGATGATCGACTACTTAGTAAGGATTTTTTCTAACTTCGCAATTTGACCTTACTCGCGCGTGTAACTAGAATGAAGGTTCGCGTAGATCTGAGACGTTGGTGGTTACCTTAGACAGCTTTCTATCTTTGGGACGTGACAGGAGGGCATGGCTCATCACGCCCGTGTTAGAAGGTCGTTCCTGTAACACGGAGTCGTGACAGGCACTGGTTGGCACGTGCATCCTTCCATCCCTTCCGTCCATTCATCGCTGCTGTAGAGTAATCAACGCTGACATACCGTGACACCGTTCTAGAGGTCGTGACAGCCTTATGGATCATTGGCACTTACTCAACTCTAGCTACATGATGCATCTATGGC